ATATTGAAAAGCACTATTTAATCCCTTTGATTAAACCTCACATTGCCTAAACAGCATTGGGAATGACATAAACTAATCATAACAGCAAATGGGTCAACCTGCTTTCAGTTCATTTAGCATTTCCAAAATGTTGCAATGCTTTGCAACTGGTCACTGTCATGGTCTATTTGTGATTGTCTAAATCTAATGGACCTAACAGATATAAACAATGAGGAAAAAAAAACAAGGGTATATTTTCAAACAGTTGAACAAAACATAGAGATGGGTTACAACTTACAAGGATAAACAATGAAATGACTAAAATTTATCAAAGTTTTGTTGTTGTTTTGTTTTCCAAAAAAAAATTGTTTCTTTCCAGAATGAGATGGACTCAATTGGAATCTATGACCCTTGACTCCTCCACTAAGAAAACCCAATAAGATAGGATTGTTCCATAATTTCATTAAACCCCATTTGAATAAATTCAATAGAAAGTGAAGGGTTTTTATATTTATTTATGACTTCAACACCAGATGAGAAGAAAGGTTAGTCTTTAGTCAAGCCCCATCTGAGAAAAAGTGTTAAGCTAGTTGGAAAGGATGATGGAGCACAGCAACTTGACAAAGCACTTATTAGATTTTGCTTAAAATGGATGAGCTTGAAGTTGTAATTTTGTATTAATATTGACCAAAAACAATAATATAAGAGATGGGGTAGGGGCCTGAGCTGAGGGCCTCCTCCTCTGTCTCACTGTGACAATTTGTCCAATCCCTTGTTCCAAGTTTTTTTCTTTGACATGGTTCTGGTTTTGGGTCAAATGGGAATTTTGCACACTCCCCAAAACAGGCACACACACTTTTTATTTAGTGTTAAAGGTTCGCCCGGGATTTAGGGAAAATGATGGATGTGTCTTTCCCTAAGGACTTTGGACTTTGACACCAGAGAGAGAGAGAGAGAGAGAGAGAGAGAGAGAGTTTTGAAGTTTTTGGAGATTAGTGGTCTTTATATTGAAGAAAATTTGTGTGCACTTTTGATTCAAAATGTGTCCAAATCCCATGTTAGATTTTAGCCTTTTGTGGTTCAGCTACTTTCTACTTTCTAGTAAAATGCAACACGCTCGTGTCCTTCCACTAAGTAAGCTGCAGTCACATTATGCATATAATAATAAACCATTTATTTTTCTGAGCAAATTAACATAATGTTTTTGTTTTGGCATTTGGGGATGCGGCTTGTGTGATTGCTTTCTGATATAATCCCAAGGTGGCAGACCACTGCTTTTTTGCTCTAATTGTTTGTTTATCATCAATTCATCATGCAACCAAGACTGGTCTCTCAGTCTGGCAAATCCATACTTTCATGGCCTTGGTGACAGCTGTGTCTTTGGTCCCCATAACTGGAGCTTATTTATACAATGGCATGGCAGAACAAGTATTGAAATTATGGCATGTGTTACTAATCTGTAATTGAATTAGGAGGAATTGAATTGATGAGGAGTTGGATTGAAAAGAATTAGATTTTGGATTCCTATTCAAGTTATTTACTAAACCATATGGATTGATGGGCGTTAGATTCCGAATTCCTATTGAAATTGTTTATTAAACTATATAGAATTAGAGTAGGATTAGTACTAATTACTAAAATGTTTTCATTGTTATGTTAAAGTAAATGTCAAATTTTAAAATTTTAAACTGTGTGAGAATATAATGGGTAAAAAAGATGGATTCCTAATAGGTTAATTCTACAAGAATTAGAATACCGTCTCCCATCCAATAATTGAATTAATCCAAAATCAGGAATTCAATTCCTAATTTTGTGTGGGCTCCACTTACTTTTTAATTCATTGATATGAAGTAAACATAGGAATCCTCCATATATGGAATTCAATTTCTTATGAGAATTCCAATTCCTGATTAGTAAATACACCATTATTGTAATTCACGATTTTCTCTATGTTATTAATACATGAATATTTTGAATTATTTTGATTACTTATTTCCTCACGTTTACTAACTCATAACATAAGGAATCAATAATTATATTAGTTTTATATTAAAATTTATAGTCTAATACCTGAAAACCCATAAATTAGAATAATTAGGAGGAATGAGTTGATTTCATACTCAGCCCTTCTCTCCTCTATTCCTAATATTTTGATTCATTATTTCATCAAAAGTGTGAAAGTAACTAATTAAGCATGCATGCCATTTAAGTAAAAAGAAGATGATAGTCGGAAATCTATTATCTCATCAAGAGTGTGAAAGTATATATAAGATGCACTCAAACTCACTAGGTGATAAATAAAGTTAACAAATTGAATCTAAGTGGTGGCAACTTTGAATACACGCAGCGATAATTTGACTTGAGTTGAAAATAACATGACACTACTTGACGAGTCTGAAAATAACATGACACCACTTGACACGTATTCATGTATAACATAAACACTTTAATACGAATAATGAACGTGACAAGTTATTAATTTCAAACATAAATACTTTAATTTCGACACAATTAGTTAAATAAGTGAAATTAGAATTAACATGTTCTAAGTGACAGAAAAACACGATCCAGTTACCATGTAAATAAGAATTTACACTAACCATAAATTATCTAAAAAGTTGTTGGATAATGATTGCCTAAATTCCCCGCCTTCTATGTCAAATTTAAAATACCAAAGCTAGTCCTAGTATGGTAGTACAAATTACCATTTGAGAGGTTAAGGCCAACCACTCCGGGACACGTGGACACTGTTGCCCTCGGACACTGTAAACATGCAATGCAGTAGGACTGTAGCACCCACCACCACTATCATCATCATCATCTTCAATCATCCATTCAAACAAAGTGCACGCGTGTTGAGCTCTCAGGCATGTCGCTGATGTCACGGTGACGCGGCATAGATGAACAAAGATCTTCGTACACATGTAAAAACTACGTAAATCACGGAAAAAACCCAACAGCCCTCCTTGTAAAGCAAAAATGGGAGAGGGAGATATGAGATACGAGGTTGGTTGGGAATGAAGCAGGTTCAGAAGTTTCTACAGAGAACAGTGAAAGCGAATCTAAAGAGTAAAACCCTACTAGAAGTGGTCAAAGATTCAATCTGGACGGTCTGATCTGATCTGATTGAGATTGGACGGCCAAAAGGGCCTCTTGTCTTTGCCTTGGGGTACAAACCACGATAGTTGCTCCACAAGTCCCCAGCCTACATACAAACTCAAACTCAAACCGAACTGATACAGTAAAGTTTATTCTAATTTGGAGAAGAGAAAGATCTGTGAGTGTCAAATACATCACATCAGTTTCAATTGTTATTGTATCTTCATGGAAAGAAAAAAAATCAGAGATAGAATGATATTAACAGTTGTGACAAGATCATACACGTGGAAAGAAAAAACCGATAATTTGGGCACGAACACTTTGGTGTTATACATACATATATACATTCCAAAGACAAACAAATTGTTATATATACAAATTATAAGTTTTTTGTTGATTGCAATGATGAGGGGATTCCCTATCTTGAAGCACAAGTCAAGTGCACGCCCTGTGATTTTCTCAACAATCCAATCCCAGATGAACTCAGTAAGTTCATCCCATTGGAACTGGATGATGTACGTTGCTAATGAATCTGCTCTAGTCTAGGGGTTCAGCTCAACATATTTTGAATTAATGTGGAGGGTTTGCTATTGGTTATCTCATTTCATGTTCAACAAAACTTGGGCTGCCATGCCACAGCTAGTGGAGATCATCAACCTCTCAAATGCAAGTTTGTTTCAGCCGCACTCTTCCCACCAAAGGAGTTCAACATTGGATTGGACATGATGCATCCAGCCTCCGGGCATTGGCATCACAATAAGAAAAGAGTACCAAAGAGGTTTGTGTTTGATGCCTCTAACTAAGATAGAGAGTCTCGGAGCCAAATACTACAAAGGGGAGAACAATTCAAGTTTTAGCTCTCATGTTTTGGATAAATTTTTTAATGTTCCCGGTACACTATGTGGTTGATGTACCATTCAATACACATAGAACATGTGGAAATATTATCTAATACACATAGAATATGTGGGAATATTGTCCAATACACATAAGACAAAAAATAAAATAAATCAACATAGAACACGTGGTGTACCCGCAACATGCAAAAATTACTCTAGGTTTTGAGCCCACAAGACCGAAACGCCATTGAATGAGCTTTGTTCATTGGATGGTATAATGCATCTAGAGCCTTCTGCTATGGTTGCATCCTTGCGATCCCAACCGGGTATTTTTTTGATTTGTAATCCAATCTTGTCTTTGGGTTTAAAAATCTGGGCTCAATTCATTTTATTCCTCTTTCTAGCCATTAAACTGGCCCAAGTCAATTTTGGCCCTGTCTTGTTTTACATTTGTGAACAATTGGATTGGGCAGCTACTTCTACTTGTGCACAGGGGAACAATAAAGCTATATTGGGTCCAGATTTTTCTGCAGCTTCAATTTTCTCCCCAAGAAATATGGATGGGTATTTAGGGGTTTTCATCACCGACAAGCATGAGATCTCATAACCAAGAGGTGTTTGATGGATCAAAGGTTGAGGTTTTGAGGTGAAGATATGAACAATGCATCAAGTTGTGAAAAACCTAAAAACAAACATAAAAAGTTGAGGCCTTGTCTGCTTTGTTATGGGACATCTTTGTGTTGACAAGACCTAGAGAGTAGCACCTCAAACGTTGTACGAAGTTGGTTATACTATGGATCTGCGTTCAAGCAAGGTTGAAGCCACCTCTGCCTCATAATGCGAAGAAAGACAAACGGCTTGTGTTGTGTCCATTAATTGAAGAGAAAATATATACATAGGGTTTAATCCGAAGAAGAAAAAACAAAACAAAATGACTAAATAAACATTAAACATTGGAGAACTTGAACCCACTTCTTCCCTTCTTCTTCTTCTTCTTCGACCCACAAACAACCTTTGAGAATGCCATAAATAAATTTAAAAAACAAATTAAGAAAGAACGAAAAAAAAATACATACCTAGTTCCTAGTTTCCCCTGAGTTGGTTTCGTTCGCGTGCCAACCGTAGCAGCACAACAGCCACAAGGATGATATAAAAGATATTACAGATTAGACACAACGGAAGCATCTCAAGCCACATGGAATATGGAAGTATGGCATGCATTTGAAACCAGTAAGTTACCCACATGAAGATTAGTACCAAAATGGTGAAAACTTTTGGAAGACTGTATTGAATAACTAGAAGCGTCCACAATCTAATGCACATCCCTGGCAATGGATTGTTGAATGGATAATCACCACCATTCACTGCAGAGACACAGCCTAAAGCTAGCCCTAGCACGACTATGACGGTAAGCACGAGGGAGCTCTTCTGTTCTTGGTTGGCGTTGTCCATAGTGACTGAGGAGTGAGAGTTGACAACTTGACAAGGAAGGAAGGGGAAGGAAAGCAAAAAAGGGCGAGGCAGAGAGAGAGTAGCTAGGAAACCTAGAGGAAGAGGAAACAAAATATGAAAATAATGAACAGGAATATTGTGGGTGGATGGGGGCTTGCTTTATATAGAGTGTACCTCTCTCTCTCTCTCTCTCTCTCTCTCTCCTCTCTCTCTCTCTAAAACCTTTGTGTGAGTCTCGGTTGAGGAATGCACAGAGGATTGGCCGGGAAGGAGAATGGAAATGGGTGGTTGTGACATTGATGATAATCAATTAACTTCGAACACAGAAAGGGATTATTAAAGCTTGTGGGGAGTTACGAGGGGGAACCAAGGGTTTAAAAGGCTGAGCGAGTTGTTGGGTTCATCATAAAGTTTTCCCTTTCATTTATATCAAATTGTCAAATTTTATAATTCTTAAGATTTGAAATTAACTTGTTCAAAAGGCAAGAAGTTCTTGCTCCCTCAAATTCTTGGTCCCTATGTTTTTGTTAGAAACTAATTTACCTGTATATTTTTACCTCTAGGTACATTATTGAACTTGTATATTTTGGTAACTTAATTTACAACATATAAATATAGGTAAATTAATGTGTAAATTAGTGTAATTTATAATATTGTTTGTTAAAAAAAATATAAAAAAAAGTAAATTGAGCTTAGACCCATAAAATTCATTTTTAATCACGTACAACCCTTTCCTTTATTTTTCTATTTAAAATACCCATTTTTTTCAAATATAACCCGATGACTAGGATCCAAGTAAGCAAGTTACCTAATCTAGCTTAAAATCTGATTTATTCTATTTTTCAGATTCCAAAACTACCCCTATTTACAAGTTAACGTGTTATGTGGGGGTATAACTAATGACACATGTTGAATTTGGAAAGATCTTCAAATAGTTGAAATGGATGTAGGAATTAATTTAGAAACTTATTTGAAATTAAATATTAAATTCAACATTAACGCATTAGTAATCTACATGTGATTAACGTTTTGGTTTATTTAATATATATATTTTTTCCTTTTATGAATTATACTACTAGTAATCTATTTTATTATAGTTTTAATGAATAATAGTATGTTGAAAAATATTTTGATAATCTATTTATTGTTTGTTTTATGAAAAATATTTTTTTTAAATGAATCTATTTTTTGTCTAAATAACGTACCTATTTTTTTCTCTAAATAATGTACCCTTTTTTCTCTAAATAAAGTACCTATTATTTGTTTTATGAAAAACAATTTTTTAAAATGAACCTATTTTCTCTCTCCAAATAACCTTTTTTTTTTTTTTTTTTTTTTTTTTTTTTTTTTAATGTACCTAGTAAAACAATGTAAGTATTTTTTTAAATGAACCTACCTATACACATTTATAGGTATATTGTAAAATAATTTACCTATGGGTAAATAATGTACCTATATTTTTCATAAATTATTGTGTACCTATTTTTAATTTATGAAAAATGTACGAAAATTTGAATTACAAAGTAACTGACTTAGTTTTGTTTTTAATATTTTTGGTAAATAATATACCTATATTGTATTTAAATAATATATTTATATATTTATATGTACATATTTATATTTATATTTTCCATGGGTACATTATTGGATATGTAATTTACAAATTTTTTTTTTGTTTGCAAATTTAGGGGGCGAGTGAGAAGGAATGACAACCAAAAGAAATTGGGTGATGGATATGCTATTAATAGGGAGTATTAATTACAATTATGGTAGTTAATGAAATGCTTGAAATAAATTATAAATAAAATATAAAGTCTGGTGGCAACAATGTAAAAACATAGGAATACTACAACCTCTTATATCCTACAGGTCATTTAAATTTGAAATTGGGTTTTACACATAGATTTATAGAGTGATGGGTATATGTCTAGGAAATAGAAAATGTAATGACCTATATTGGACAAGCAAAACACATACGGTTTCCCTGAAACATGTTGTACCACAAAATCATAACTAAGCAATATTTTCAACACACGAACACAATTTTATGCAAATTTGACTATTTGATTATTAGTTGTTTAAATTTCAAATTTATTGGTGAGTTGTTTCCCTTAATTTATTTTCATAATTCTATTGATTTGAAATTAGTTTGTTCAATCCTGCTCCCATCCCTCCCACCAAATTGTTCATCGCATGAGAAGCCATTGACACAATAAGGCTGGAGGAGACTTTGAATGCTAATATATGTCCATGTATATAAATCTTCACCTGCTATGCTAATATGAATGAAACTGCCTAGACTTTGAACGTTAATCAATACAATACCTTTCTCTTTCATATGTTAGCAGTTAAATAACATATAACCGTCGTCACTTCCACTGAGGCCACTTGGTTGTTTCTGTGGATCCTTTCCTAAAATTTGAAAAACCAGAAGTATCTGCAGCATCATGCCATATCATTTCCATCTGGAGGAAACAAACGAGAATAGTCGTTGGACGTTAATTATATTAGAAGAAAAGGAAAGAAAAGATGCTGTGAGTTCATGTGTTTAGGATTCAAAATATAACACAAAGAAAGTAACAACAGAGAAAAACATACGTCTCCAACAATCACTGTGTCACCTTCCTTGACACCAAGTTTTATAAGAGACTTGTTCACACCACAAGCCTCCAGAACATGTTGGAATCTTCTCCCAGAATCCACATATCTGTTCGAACACATTCATTATAAATTTGTCAGGAGTATTGGACCAACAGAAAGAAAGATGTCAATTATTCCAAAACAGATACAATGAGGCATTGGCATTGTAATCAATTTGGAGAACTTTCAATGATGTAAGATGTGACTGACTGCAGATTATAGCAGTAAATTGATGAGACAAAATGTGTGGGTGAGATAAAAATAAAACCCAACGAGACTAAAAATATGGTGCAATTTAGAGCCATGTTAAAGGCATTGTATGCACAAGTTTTTTAAATAAATAAAAAATTATGAAAAACAAAAATGTATTGAAACAATTAATAAGCTATTCAGGTCCAGGAAAATCCTTTACTTGGAGTACTATATCAACACAAAACAAGAATTTAACATCATGAATTGAATTGCGCACAGAAAACAACTAAAAACAGGGAATGTCCCACCCAGAAAAGTAAACCCAAAATTGAGAGGAAAAAAAAAGAAAAGAAGAAAACTCTCAGTGATAGAGTGGCTAAATTGGTCTGCATCAATTGATCAATCCGTATTCATTAGATATTTTCTACCAAACTACATCAAAAGCAGAGGTGGATACTGCTTCACTCTATTTACTAGTGAGATTGTCCGCCTCACACCACTGATCAATCCCTTGCCCTACTCTATTCTTTCACGAAGAGAGAGGCAACAAAATGAAAAGACTTTTATCAGTCACAAGAATCAAAAGAATTATATGCATAATAATGCATCTTCATTGCATACCGTCAATGTGCATTTAGAAGCTAAAGCTTTTCTTAATTGTTCAAATGCGATATCATAACAGGTCAGACTTATGAAGTCAAGAAAGCATAAGATGGAAAAACATGGAGGCGACGATAAAGATTTGTTAACCTACCGCCAATTTGTCATCTGAACAAACCGTTGCAACCCAGATCCCACAACATGCCAAGTATTGGTAGTGCTGTCATGAGTGATCTCAAACTCATTAATAGAAGCAGTTTGCTGCTTCTGCACCATCTCAGCTACGTGATTTAAATTGACCGGATCTTCTGTACTTCAAAGGAGACTTGTCAACACAGTGACAAAATAACATATGGAGTTAAAACTTATCTATCCTATAAAACGAAACCAGAAAAAGAATAGATGTATGTCTAAAAATTGTCAGAAATTCTTAGGGGAATGTAGATATAATTTATTTAAAATAAGAAATTTAAAATAAAAAAACTTGACCTGCTAACTTGTCCTCGGATATTTTATTTTCTCGTAGAAGCTGGTAAGCAGCAGAGGACACTTCATGAGTTCCCTCTCTTTTCACTGCACTCATGCAAAAAACTTCAATCCCACGAGCTTCTAAACTTTCTTTGAACGATGGCCAGTTTTCATATGCATCTGGAAGGTCCATTTTATTGAAAGCAACAACATAAGGCTTTTCAGCAATTTCAGGACTAAACAGTTCCAACTCTAGACGGACTGCATCAAACTCAAATTCTGGCTGTTGTGATGAGCCATCAACAACATGTATCTGAGATTTCCAGAAAGATGAAGTTCATATCAATATACAACATTGTTAATACAAGGCAAATAATAATGATGGTGATGATAAAGAATTAAATAAAACGTAAATAACAAAATCAAAATAAATAACAAATTTTAAAATAGTAATTAGAGAATAAATATGGAGTTCTTTTGTTTTCCCTAGCCAGAGAGAGAAGTAGACTTAAAATTCCAAAATTTAGTCTTCTGAATTTTGTACGTATTGTAAAATAGGAAGGACGGACCCAATATATAATACATGAAATTGACAAAAATGACAAGAAAAAACACCATATATGTTAGTTGAAAGACAATACTTATTGTGTTTCCACGGGCTCGACCATTAAGATAAGGTAAAGACAGTAAGATGATAAAAATAATCAACTTGTTTTCAACCCGGAGCATAAACAAAATTTGTAACTAAGTTTTCAACAACTTGGGAGATGATGGTCACAGCTTATACCAGGGCAGAACACCTCTCAGTGTGCCGTAGAAACTCATGTCCCAAACCAAAACCCCGGTGTGCTCCTTCAAGTAAACCTGGCAGATCTGCTACTACCATTGTAGAATCATAGTCAAAAGAAACCACACCCAGATTAGGAAGTAAAGTTGTGAAGGGGTAATTTGCTATTGTTGGCTGAGCAGCACTTATCACACTCAAAAGTGTGCTTTTCCCTGCATTTGGGGCGCCCACTATTCCAATATCTGCAACTAGCTTTAGCTCCAGCTCCAACCACCTGATCAATAATACCATCATTTCATTCATACTGTTCAAGTAGTGAAAATGATAACACAAAGATAGCAAGTATCTCTAATTTTGACATGGCGCTGGGAGCAAGGAGAGGCCAATTATTGTAAGATATCAGACGGCCTCTACCAATTCTAAGAATGAATTTAACTAAGCTAACCCCAACTGTTTGATACCAGCTAATGATTGCCTATTTTTCAAACTCAAAACCTGCAAGTAGAACAAAGAGAAACACTACATGTCTACAAGAGAACCTCCTTTACAACAACATGAGTAGAGATATCCTGGAAATGCACCTAACTTCTACTTACACCAATATTTGGGTCACACTATCAGTTTGTTTAAACGCTTGGTGCATATCAACATTTACTGCCAGAATAATGTCTCAAATAATTCACAAGTTTTTCACCATTGTTCTACTTTTGAATGACTACATGCTAACAGAACAATTCCAACTATCAAAAATCACAATGTAAGAGCCAAACAACATTAATGATAACAACAAGAAGCACAAACTTAAAGCAATGCAATTCGGTTGATTAGAGAACCAAAAGAGCTGAACTCACATTTCAGGACCCTCTGCACCATTCTCAGCAATCCTTGGCACCTTATTCGTCCCCGACTTAAACGAAGCGTTCCCTCTCCCGCCTCTTCCTCCCGGCAACAACAATGCACGCTGCCCGGGATGCAATAACTCCAGAAGCACCTCCTCCTTCCCAGCCTCTCGAACAACAGTCCCAGGAGCTACTTTAATCACGACGTCCTCTCCCTTAGCCCCATTCTGGGACTGCCCTCTTCCATGATCACCTCTCCCTGCCCGAAAATGAACGCTGTTTCGAAATGGCAGAAGTGAATTCATCGAACCATCTACTTCCATATACACATTACCTCCTCGCCCACCGTCACCGCCTGATGGACCTCCCAAAGGCACGAACTTTTCACGCCGCATTGCGACGACGCCGTTCCCTCCATCCCCTGCCTTCGCGAAGATTTTTGCTCGGTCGAAACACCGCATTACTGCTGGTACTCCCTTCTCCTTCACTTCCCCTTCCTCCAATTTGCCCTCATTATCGGATAAGTTCACAGTTTCGCCCTCCTTAAACCCTAGCAATTCACCGTCATCGTTTTGATAAACACTTTCCAATTCGTCATCACTAAACCCCTCAATATCGCTATCATCATCTTCCTCGTCCAGTTCAGAATCATAAGTCCCCTCAAAGACCTCAAATTGACCATAATTCACCACCAAATTACCATCTAATCCCTTTTCTTCTTCTTCTTCTTCCTCCTCCTCTTCACTGCTTAAATTATCAATCTCCTTCTCAACTTTAAGCGCGACATTTGATTCGGAGAGCTTGACTTCGGATGAGAACTCAAACGACGACGAATCCAAAGAAGGGGGAGAGAAGTCCTCTCTGGGAGGCAAGCGAGTGTAGGTGGTGGCTTCGACTCCGATGGATGACAACTGTTTGGCGCCAGTTCGAGCCTTCAGCTTATGGCTAGGGTTAGGGTTAGGGTTAGGGCTAGGGCTCCGTACTGTCTGCTTCTTCACCGGAGGTTTGCGAGTTTGTGGGACCCTGGGGCGAGCCATAGCGTACGGACAGAAGCTTATGGATATGGTCGCCATTTTCAGGCGCGGCAAAATGAAACTCCAAGTTTTCTTCAGCTGATAAACTGCTAACGGAGTTTGTCGTTATGCCGCTTATCCCCATCTGGATTACGCCCCAAAACGCAGCGTTTCCGCCATGGGTTTGTTTATCCTTTTTTGATGGGTTAAATTTGTTTTTTTTTCTTCATCTTTTTCCCTTCTTGGTAACATTTAGGTCCTTTCGCCAACGTAGTTGTTTGGGCCTAAATTACACATGCAGGCCCGATCAAAATTAGGCCATATCAGAAACAGGAGTTTTGGGCTTTGTTTCAGAAGACAAAAATCAGCCCAGGAGGTTTTGGAAGCACAGATCCTTGTAGACCAATTAGCAAGGATTAAATTCACCGACTAAAAATCAATTACCAATAAATGGTGATTTAATCCAAACAAGCCAGTTGCTAAAAATGATTTTTTGGATTAGGTCCAGTTTCAAATATCCCCAAAAGCCTAGGCAAATTGATCATCACAATTGGTTTCAATTCAAATCAACAGATATTTTTGGAAGATCTTCTTCCCAAGAAAAAGACCCATGTGATTTTGAAAAGTCAAAATTTTCAACTAAAGATAGAGGAAGTGATGGGGAGTTAATGAAAAACAGGCTAACCAAGACAACACTCTCTCCATAAACCATTCAAAAAATGCCAGAAAAGAGGGGCGACCAACTTTCCTTTCTATACTTATAGTAGGTTATGTTTTTTAGAAATAAGCAGGAAACAATAGGGTTGTTCACCAAAAGCAAAACAAACTACAAAAGTCAGGTTATTTAGGTTATCGTTTTTCAAGAAACAAGCAGAGAGCAAAAGAGTTGGTTTTTGCCAGAAAAGGCAAATTGACCATCATAGAGACTAACTATTGATAGGTTTCTTTTTCGCCAAATTAAATCAATTCCCTCTGCATTAGAAAATCTTTTTGAAAAAAGATATGTCCTCATACATTGAAAACAAAGCCTTATTCAGATTCTCTATAAATATAAGAGGAAGTGAACATGGTTGGGGACAACCAAAAAAACAAAACCTCTCAAAGTCACACTGACAAATTCAAAACAAGAGCTATTTGATGCCAAAAAGCCTTCAGACCCTGGGACGACCAAACTCTTCCATTCACACAAAAAAAAATTCAGCCAGAACTCATGTTTTTGACTTCAACTCAATTCAGAGAAACGGTTCACAAAGGAAACGAGTTCTCTCTCTCTCGTCACAAATTTGGTTTAGTACAAGCCACATCAAGTAGGATTAGGGTTTTTTATAATATGAAAACCTCAACAAATTTACAAAAATGTCCTGAGCTCTCAGAATTGCCAGAATAGCTCTTAGATGACTCATAATCAAGTAGAATAGGTGTCGTAATGCAATTCCAGGCCAGTAATCATCAATCCAGCCCTGTCCAGATAGAAAAAATCTCATTCCTAGCCATCCAGCAGGCTTCCTTATGGCCAGAACAGATTAAAGCTCTGCCAATCTCAAGCATTTGGTATCGATTTCCAGCTAAGCTCCATCGGTTGAAGGTGCTGATGTTTGGATCCAGTATAGTTACACTCAATCCAACCTGAGTCATAGGCAATCATCCAGGCAGAAATTGAAGTCCAATGTTCTATTCTCCCAGCAGACGTGGCATTTTCCTTGTTTCTTGAAAGTCCTGTAATAGGCAGTTTTTTCTCAGAAAAGTTTGATCTATTCCCAATATTCATTTTGGCCAAAACTACCAGTTTATTGTGATAAATTGTGAAATCCTCGTCAGTCTGAGGCAAGAAAAGAACTTACTTGGGAGATATTCCTCACCCAAATTCACAATCACTTGTTAAAGTCAGTAACTTGTGGTGCAAGTTGTCTATTTTTCATAAGTCTATTAGGGTTTTTAACTGCTAACAGTGGCACGCTCGCACACCAAAGAAAGTTGACTTGTTGACCACCAATGGTTTTCAAGCCAATGGGCAATTTTACCATACCATCACAGGATTGAACTAAAAACGGGTGAACAGTAGTCCAACTTAGTGAAAAATGTCTCAGGTTAGATGAGCTCTGTAGATCCGCTAGTGATTATAAGCCTTGTAGAAATTAATCCATTATCTAGTTGATTTTGATTTTGATTTATGGGTTAATGACTGAAATGGTCCCCCAACTATTGCTCCAATATCATTTTGGTCCACCAACTAAAATTTTCATTTGAACCGTCCTTCAACTCTTTATTTTGTATCAAGATGGTCCTACTGTCAAAGTATGTCAATTTTATTGTTAAATTGAGGGGTAAAACCGTCCATATACAATTACCAAACTCATTCCCCATCTCACGCCTTCAACCCATATCTCAGCCTCTCTCGCGACTCCAACCCCCATCTCAGCCTCCTCCATCTCTTGCATAAAGTAGCAACTTCAAGCCCAAAGAAGCCTCGCAAATCAGACTAACCTGATTCAAATATAAGCCATACCCAACAAAACAACCCCATATCAAATTTGAGTTGGTGTACAGAGAGAGAGAGAGAGAGAGAGAGAGAGAGAGATGGTGCAGGTCATGGTGAGAGCGGCTGAGAGTGGTGAGGTTACGGTGGGTGGAGGCTGAGAGGGGGTATGTTGCGAGGTTGGAGATGGGGGTGAGGGGAGGTTGCGGGGTTGGAGAGGTGGGGTTGGGTAATGCTAGGCTCGTTTGTTTTGGGGGTAATGCTGGGTTTGTTTGTTTTGGGGTTACTTTTTTTACTTTTTGTTATTTATTTTTGTATTTATTTGGTTTTAAATTTTTTTAATTAATTTACACAATAGAGAAATTTTTTTATTACTTATGTCAGCCAAAAAAAGCCATGTTGGTGGTGAGATTCAATTTTTTCAATTTTAAAATTAGGTACAAGTTCCTATAATAGTTTCCTTTACTTTTTAATTATTGTTTACTTTTTAAAAAAATTTGTTATTTTATTTTTAAATTTATGTGATTTTAATTTTTTTAATTATTAAACAATAGAGAATTTTTTAAAATTAATTGTTAGGTCAATCTCAGGAAAAAAAAGCCATGTGGCTGGTGAGATTCAATTTTTCTAATTTTTTTTTAATTTTATAATAGTTTCCTTTAATTTTTAATTATATATTACTATTTTAATTCATAGAGACATTTTTACCCCTCAATTTAACAATAAAATTGACAAACTTTAACGAATGACCGTTTTGATACCAAATGAAGAGTTGAAGGACCATTGAAATGAAAAATTTAGTTGATGGACTAAATGATACTAGAGCAATAGTTGAGGGACCATTTCAATCAATAACCTTTGATTTATTTATTTACTTTTTAAAGCTCTTTTGGTTTTATTTGGTTTGCGCACGGCTCAAGATCAGCAAATGATCTCATCATTCCCTCATGATCAGTTTTTATATATAAAAAAATATAAAAAATTCAACTAAATAGACTCAAATGCCCTTAAACTAAAATGCACATAAACCTAAAAATCAAAATGTTGTTAGATTTTTTTTTCTTTTTTTAAAAACTATGTTAAAATAAAAATTTAAGAGTCTTTAAACGCAGGTTTGAAGAAGTATTGGAGCCCTAGTCAAACAAATTGTGAGTGCAAATATGTTTTAGCTCCAAGGTATTCTTTTTCCCTTCTTTTTTTTGGGCCCAATTTTAATATAGGTCTTATTTAAAAATAATAATAATTGGCATATTAGCAGAAAATATGGGGATAAATGGACATCCGAAACTAACTTCATAAGAAAATAAATAACGATAATGGTGGGCTTTAGCCCTCCTATCTACCAATAAATATTACTACAAAAATCGAAATAGACGACGGGAAACCACGGCCGTGTAAAAGGTTTTCCAACCGTCATGAAATCGACCGAAATCTATTTGGGTGTCAGACTACGACGGCTTTTCACCGTCGTTGTTTATCCTTAAAGACGACGGTTTTTAAAGAAAATCGTCGTTGTTTATAGGTAAAGATCGTTAATTATAGGAGGAAAGACGACTGTTTTTAATAAAACCGTCGTGTATTGTATGTAAAGATTACGGTTTTTTAATGAAAACCGTCGTGGATTGTTTATAAAGACGACGGTTGTTTTATAAAAAATCGTCATCTTTACATATAATAGACGACCCTTTTTGAAAAAAAAGGTCATCTTTACTTCACAATAGACGATCCTTTTAAAAAAAACCGTCTTACATATAGATTACCATTTTTAAAAAACTGTCATCTTTACATATAATAGACGACCATTTTTATAAAAATCGTCATCTTTACCTATAATATATGACCATTTTTTATAAAAACCGTCATTAATTATCTGTAAAAACCATGATTTATTATAAAAACCGTCGTCTAATAAGTTTCCAAACTACTACATTTTAGTTCTTTTTTATTTCCTATGATGCTATACAACGATTTTAACTAGAAAACCAACCATAATGCTTTATTAATGAATATATACACTCAAAAATAGTTTCTTTCATAAAACTTGAAGATTCAATAGTTATTACATAGTTAACCAATCTTTATTCTACAACAAACATAATTCCTAACAAGACCTACGTACTCCTAATCCAAGCATTCCTCATCCAAACATACAAATGATGCACAACTAAAGTCTCCTCCATCATCCCTGTAAATAAATCAAAATGACAGAGAGAAAAAAAGCTAAGATTATAAACATAAAAAATTAGTTGGAAGAGAAATTTTACCATTGGTACATATTTCCATAGAAAACTTGTAAAATGAGCATAAAAAAGACCATCGAGAACCTGAAAAAGGAAAAATATATAAATAAAATGATGGTGAAAAGAGAAGGTAACAAATTTCAACAACAAAAAAACATACGACTCACATTGAAAACCCGCAAAAGAAAAAGTTATAAATATGCAAGCTTCCTCCTCATCTCCTGATAACCAAAACAGAAAATCTAAAAAGAAACTAGAAAAATAAAAAATTATGTAAACAAACCAGACAAATCAAGAGAGACAAAATCTGAAATTAGAGAGACAAAGAACATACCAGAAACGCAAAGAGACTAATCCAGAATTCACTAGCAAGATATAGAAGGGTATTGAGAGATTAGGTGACTTTCAAATCAAACCTTTCAACCAGCTTTGATTCTCCAATACAGAACCTCCCTCTACATCTTATGGATCTGCAAAGACCTCAATCTCTCAACTCCTTCATTGATATCGATTTTTTGATGATTTTGTAGAGAGTTTCATGAGGGTGTTTTAGAGAGTGCAGGAGGGTTTTAAGGAGGGAGAGATAAGGTTTTCAGATACGGGGAAAATCTGAAAATTTGTCGAGCGTGAATTCACTTAAATAGCCTTTTTTTAGCGTGTTTTAAAAGACGACTTTTGTTAATGAGAGATAAGGTTTTCAAAGACGGGTGAAAATTTGAAAATTTGTCGAGCGCGAATTCACTTAAGCGGCCATTTTTTAGCGTGTTTTAAAAGACGACGTTTTTAAAAAAAAGATTGTCATCTTTACATATAATAGACGACTATTTTTATAAAATAAAATAAAAACCGTCATATTTACTTCATAATAGACAACCCTTTTTTGAAAACAACCGTCATCTTTACTTCATAATAGATGACTATTTTTTAAACAAACCATCATCTTTACATATAACAGACGACCTTTTTAAAAAAAAAACCGTCATCTTTACTTCATAATAAACGACCTTTTTTTAAACAAACCATCATCTTTACATTTAATAGACGACCATTTTTTATAAAAAAAAACCATCATCTTTACTTCATAATAGACGACCCTTTTTTTAAAACAACCGTCATCTTTATTTCATAATAGACGACCCTTTTTTAAACAAACCATCATCTTTACATATAATAGACGACCATTTTTATAAAAAAAAATGGTCATCTTTACTTTATAATAGACGACCCTTTTTTAAACAAACCATCATCTTTACATTTAATAGATGACCCTTTTTTAAAAAAAAAAACCGTCATCTTTACTTCATAATGGACGACCCTTTTTTTAAAACAACCGTCATCTTTACTTCATAATAGACGATCTTTTTATAAATAAAAAATCGTCATCTTTACATATAATAGACGACAGTTCTTTCAAAACAACCATGTCTTTACCAAAAAAAGGACACTTGATTTTAAAAGACGACGCTTGTCATACCTGCTGTCGTTGTTTTTTGGTCAGATTTTAACTCTGAAGAAAACCTTTTTAATAAGACGACGCTTTTTTATTTGTGTGCGTCGTTATAAAAAAAAATTTCAACAGTACCTCCATTTTTTAGTTGTTTAAGTCACTTATCCACGATGGTTTTTTGTTATCGTCGTCTTTTTAAACACAACGACGGTTTTTTCTTCTACCGTCGTCTTTTTCTGATCGTCTTTTTCACTTTTTGTAGTAGAAAAAAGCAACGATAATAGATTTACCTTTTCCATTGTCTGAATGATGATCCATTACACTTGATTAATCATGTTTTTCTTTTTAGTTTTGGTCAAAATCTGGTTGCATAAGGCCCTGGTAAGTGCAAATCAAGTTTTGTTAATAACAAAGTCAAATTAGCATGGTAGTCAAGTTTTATAATATGTTTTCTGCACTTATCTTACCCCATACTAATATGATTTTCATGTTATTATATGCATTATGTGAAATCTTGATGTAATTATAAGTATATACATACACACATCATCATAATGCCAAGAAACATATTTGTATTTGAGTTGCAGTACTTTAGTGGACCGTACATGGTCAGTTCGCTTCAATAGTCTAGGGAATATAAAGGTCTCATTCAAGTTTAGCAAGTATATTATTTTGTTTCACATATGTTCTAAAAATTTAGATACATTTACCTTATTAATTAAAGGAAACCTTCCTACACTATCATCAATCAAGCTCTTACTGAAAATGTTCATTTGTGAATATATATATATATATGTGCTTACATTGTTTCATCTTTTTTAATTTTATTTTATGAGACTTGGAGAGTCTTTTGGTTGTTTTTTTATTATAGAAATTTTGAGAAATTTTGATATTGCATTCATAATTTAGCCAAAAAAGCCACTAGCCACAAAGGGCCATTACAATAACGTAGCAATCTAACATTAAAATTTAGACAATCTGGTGCACCTCCATTAACGATCAGAGATTATCGAAGAAATTCTGGCATAAGCATCCCAACTAAAATTGCAAATGCAAAACAACCAAAAAGAGATAAACCTTTTGCTTTTTAGGTTTATATGGGTTTTAATTTTGAGTTTATTTAGGTGAGTATTTTTGCAAAAATTAGGGTAAATTTAGATTATTTTTTATTTATTTATAAAAACTCCTCATGTCGTGATCTCCTTGAACAGCCAAGCGGGGTTAGCGACAAAACAATCTTGCTTCCCTTTCCCGAAGTCAAAAATTGCATCAGCAGGTCATGATATGCCAATGAGAGGCTTTGTAGATGACCTTGATTCTTCTTTGGCTCGACATGGAAACATGGGTTCAGATCTCTCCATCATCTCACTTGATGCTCTGATTCAATTTAGTTGTAAATCCTCCCATATGATTTCAGGTTGTTTCATGGATGGTGATTTGGTTTCATTAGATCTGCAACTAAGCTTTAGTTTTTATGTTACCCGCATATATCAGTCACATAAGGTTTGAAGATTATGGTTTTTCGTTTTATTTTTTGTTTTATTTTTTATTTTTGAATTAGAGTTTAACACTGTTAGATTGGAGTTGAGGTAAAATGACGTCTCAAGGAGAGAGCAGCTGGGTTACAAGTGAAGAGAGGTATATCCGGAAATATGTTATTGAAGTATTATTTCTCTTGCATCATAATGTTATCAGAAAAATAGAAAATAAAGAGTTAACTATGCTTATACTTATGGACGTGTGTCAAGTATTGAGAAAGATGATTAAGGTAGACACTGAGTTAAAGTAGTGCGCAAAAATATTATCCTTAATAATATAGACAAACATACACAAAATGTGTGATGTATGATGTTATTATTAATTAAATTGGATCGAATCTTAAACACCCTATTTTGTTTGCCTAATCCTGGTTTCGTGGACATTAAGTTACTCTCTGGTTGAAATGATAAAAAGACAGCAAATTTTAGTAGGGCAACCTAGAATCTTTATGGACCCCTTGCCCAAATTATAGAGGGGGCAATGACTTTTGTGGGTCAGATAGCAGCTAGGAATCCATTGTGTTATGTTTGGCTTCATATGAGAGTGTGTCATAGGACAATCACTAATAATTTGATCCATCATACATGTGCCCAACTATTTATGGCATGTTGACTTACCACATGAATGGAGGAAGTCATGAATTGGGAAGTTTTAGGAATTGGTATCGGATTAACTACTCTTTTAGTTGACTACTAATTTTAATGTGGTTACCACATAATTTTTAGTCGAGTGAAAAATGTTTGGTTTCAAAAACACAAGTCAGAAATTGAAATTATTCTAATACCCATGTATTAGTAAACACAAAAATAGATAGAATTGGAATCATTCTGATACTATTTCCGATAAGTAGTCATTTCAGTGGGTTGATGTGAAATTGAATGATCCAAAAGGTTATGAGACAATGTTTTGAAAGGGCGGGGTACCAAATGGTGGTCACCAATCAAAGATCATATGTGGTGTCATTTCAAATCAACACTAAAATGTGAGAAGCGGGTTTTGTAAAATTGGGTGGAATGGCCCCTACAAATTACAATGCCATTCTTGTGGTCTTCCTGCCATGAACAAGAGACCACCAGATTGAGGTTTATATGGTATGAGAGATAGATAGGCATGTCCATAGTACACTATGAGTTAGGTTTATATGGTAGCAGCTGGTATGCATCCACCTTTATTTTGCTGGTATATTCTGGTCGGTAAACAGATTGGCAAGTGCATATTTTAAGGTTCTATTTCTGATGTTTAAACTTGAGACTTGAAACTCGTGACTTCGATGTAATGTGGAGAAAGTGGATCAATAAAACATGGGATGGGACATAAACAGCTCTGGTACACTGAGTTAGGTTTAACCTAGTGCGAGATATGGCGGAGTTACGATTTTTAGATTGCAGGTGCCAAAATTTAAAATTTAACTGTAAATGACTTTATCATCTTAAATGGGGTGGAGCGGCCAGCATTAACTTAGTTGTGAAATTTACTTATAATATTTTTTTCCCCGAGTGTTAGAGGGGATTGTAAAATGGCTGGCCTGCTTTTAGTTCCGTCCCTGTATATTCACCCTCACTTATAAACTGTGTTTTCCGGTTGTTATGTTTTGTTTTTTTTTTTTTTTTTTTTTGTTTTTTTTACTTACAATTGTGATTATGTATGGATTGATTGAGATGATTGTTTAAATCAAGTATTTGGAGGTTTTACATTTGGTTTGCTACATTTATCCCACTGTTAGATAACTGGTTTGAATTGAATCCTAGAGCTTCATGCATTTATTTTGAATATAAAATGGAAAATCAATTTACAGCAGTTTAGGTCTTGCATTACAAATAGTTCTAGCCAAGCTATAAGATGATGTTTTTGATGGTGTGGTTAGAGCTTGAGCTTTGCCCAAGCTCATGTTCAAGTGAATAGTACACTCCCGAGAGCGAATGTATCAGTACCCTCCCCCATCACTGTTGTCATTGCCATTTCTTTCTCTTTAATTCTCTCAAGCTCAACCACAACCATCTCCATCTTGGGCCTTCTTTTTCCTGGAAAACTCATGCATTGCAGTGTCAGCCTGATCAAGTCCCTCATTCCCTCTCCAGTGAAGCTTCCGACTAGCCGCCTGTCCACCAGAGTATTTGAACTCAGCCGTGATTCCACCTTCACACAGTCAGAAAAATCGATAGAGAAGACGAAGAATTGATAGCCTCTAACTAGCGCAAAATTATATGACCAAAGGGAGATTCGATCACACCGGTGAGTCTTGTGTTAGCCCCTACTCGTACAAGAGATGTGATCAGTAATATAGTCGGTAAATGGGGCACAAATACTTTCATTTTATTGATGACTTTTACTTAAAGTTCTCCTTAAACTATCTAGTAATTAATATCCACAATGCATCTTTTAGCAAGGCATTGAAAGAGAAAAGAATATTTTGGTCATACCCATTGAAACAAGCTTTCATTTGATCCCAAGGAGCCAATGTCCAAAGCCTCCTGTCCAGTTAGAAGCTCCAAAAGGAAAACCCCAAAGCTGTACACATCACTCATTTCAGAGGCAACCCCAGATGCTCCAACCCTATAATTCATTGGCATACATGCATGTATTAATAGCTGAATATTATGAAATCTTATGTTTTACCATAACGCATTTAAAACAGAGTTCATGCAGAAGACATTGAATTACTCTGGATCTTGGAAAATATTGACACTAGACGTGCGAGAAGGACCTGCTTCTTCAATCTTTTCAAGTAGTTTTGCAATCCCTGCATCTGAAACGTGGGCAATGAAGTCCTCATCAACCAAGACATTGGCTGTTTTGAAGTTTTTGTGTACCATTGGAGGTTTTAGGCCATGCAAGTGGCACAACCCTGCAAAGTTAGAGACACAAATTTAATCTTCAATATGATCCTTAATTTCTCACTTGTTATCAAGTTTCTCTTGGATCTACCTTTTGCAGCCCCTACAGCTATGGATAGCCTTTGCTTAAACTCAAGTTTAGTTGATGACTCTAGTCTAGTATCTGCCACCAAATGAATAGCATATGTAACATGCATATAAAACCAGTATTATATACTGCCAGTAAAAGGAGGTATACCATTACCATATAGGTGATTGCACACGCTGCCGTTCGGTATATGTTCAAATACCAATACTTGAAATCCACTTTCCTGGCAGTAACCCAGTATTGTAACTAAATTTCGATGATGAATCTCCGACAAATACGTTACCTGTTGCCACAGAATTTGTTACTTCCTCAAGAACTTTTATCAGATTAAGCTCATAAAAAGTTCTTTGGTTATGATCCTTAACCCCATCTTCATTTTAGGCATAGCAAACAGTTCATTAGGTAACTGTACATGTAAGAGCTACAATATGTAATGAATACAAATGCTGAACATTTTTGTTTTTTCAATCAGTTAACTACGAGCTATGTGTCCCACTTAGCCATACCTCTGAGACAAATTCTTGTCTAGGAGCACCAGGACGCCTTTTGATAGCCACAACCGTCCCATCACGGAGCAAGCCTTTATAAACCAGGCCAAAGCTTCCATATCCCAGGAGGCTGCTTTCATCAAAATGCTTGGTAGCTTGGTCTAGCTCCTCCAATGTGAAGAGCCTTGCTCCCTGCCGTACCCCGGAACTGGGTCCACCCCTACTCCATTCCACTGACAATGTTGGGGAGGAAGGTGAGTGATTAACAACACTACAGACATTTAGCCAATGTGGCATTAAATAGCAGCTCATGTAATTAAAACTCTCCAAGTTCATCAGCATATAAAAAAACAACAAATCTTTACCTATTGCAGATGGATCTGAGGAACCTGTCTCTGAATTCTTGTTTGAAAGATTCTTGCAATGTGTCTTGTAGAACCACACGACTCCGATGACTATTGCCACCAAGGCAAGTGCCCCAGCAGCACCTCCAACTATAGCAGCAGATGGCTTTGACATGTGGTTACAGCCTTTGCTTCTCCAGCAACAAACTTAAACATTGAACCTGTGATGCATGAGAACCAAGAGACTGGTCAGTTGAAGAAGCATTTTAGCAAAGTTGGAATCAACTATTCATATCTGTGGCGGCACAACTTAAGAGGCTCCAAGACTAGGAGCCTTTGCCACCAGTAAATGGAAATTGAAGATCAAGAGGTACTCTTGGTTGAGATATATTGCCTCTTGTTTTGAACTGGCATTTGAGCACTTTCTAGTGGGGTTTTGGTGCAGACAAGTGCTCAGAAATGTTAACTGGCTGATCTCAAGTATCTACTTAGGAAACGAGAACTTCTGTAAGCATTAATGCTGTTAAAATCTAAACAAAAGATCAGAAAGACAACTCATTTGCTTTTCACTGTACTCCACTTTGCTGCTGTTAAGTATTCAGCATCTCATCAAAAATGACATTGGAGAAGCCCCATCACTGAAGAACACCTTGTCCTTTCAAAACCTCCCCATCCCCACCCTCACCCCCTTTCTCTATTTAATTTGATGAGGTAAGGGGGTGATTTTTGAAGCAAGTGGGAAAAACATAAAGCAGAAATTATTACCCTTTTCTCTTACTGATGTTACACTCCATGTTGGTTTATATTTGGCAGTGCTGATTACAACAGAAACCTTCATGTTCAGACACTGTAATTTCAACATTGTAATTGTTATCTTAGGCAGATCAGAAAATAGACAAAAATAATAATAGTATTATATTATGCACAGCAGACACTTTTGTCAAGTGAAAGAGGTGACAACCTAAGCACACTTTATGCAGATATCAGTGGATGTACAAAGAGATCATTGAGCATCTTTATGTGGTTTCTCTCCACTTAAAATTTCAAAAAATCAATCCTTCAAAAATAAAAAATTCAAAATCCAATGTCTTCATTGGCTTCTTCTTGTTGTTGTTGTTGTTACCAACTGTAAAATACTACGGTTTTTACTATGCAGATGTGGACAGATGTGAGAATGACTTTTATTCGCTGGGCACCGGAAGACATAATTATTGGGGAGGGGATCAAAAGAAAAAGGTAGTTATCACTCACTCTATCAACTCTTTTCCCTGAATTCACTCCATCTTTCTTTTTGCCTTTTTCTGTCATCTGATCTGGAAAGAGAGGGAGGCAATTTCTATTTTTGTATAAATGGCTTCCTCACATGGGGTCATTGACAGCTGATCCAACAACACATAATACCACAGCAAGTTTCAGCAGGGTGCTCAGTTTCCATGGCTAAATGCCCTTGGTTTTATTGTTCTAAGAATGAATATATTCTCTACTTTGGAAAAATGGGCACTTGGAAATTTTCTTTCCCTTTGCCTGCTACTGTATATATTTATATTTTCAGCATTTGTTTGAGCTGTACAAAATATTGGTGGGGATGCCTATTGAGCTGTAAGTCTCTCTCCTCTTATTTAATTCATTTTGTTTGTTTTCCTGAAATTTGTTGTGTTGTTGGTTTGGCTGGAAAAGGAGAAGAGGGATTGGAAAGAGGGTTGTCATGTTGTGCAGGTCGATATACAACGTAGCTGTGTTTTTAAGAGGTCCATATCACACAGAATAAGGCCTTGTAGGGAAGGCTGGATTTTCTCAAATCTCAAATTGGCTGTGGTTTTGGATCTGATATTGTCTCGGACTCTGAGAGACAAGCGGGGATATTTGATATTTCTTTCTGCCAAAAACAATTAACTTCGTGCTTATACTTGCTTCTCACTAACAAATTAGCAATGAGCTGTTCTTTTTTACAAGTAAATCATAATTTGACACGTGCGTCCATGCGTAGAAGCAGTTTTTGTTTCGTTTTGTTGCTCCCTTCGAGTTATTTCTGTACACAAGCCAAAATGTGATTTACAAGTAAAGAGGAATGACTAGATTTCTTGCTAATTGGTATGAACCTGAATAATTATAATTAGACAATGATTACACTTACCCTCTTTGTTTAAAATGGTTTTTGAATCTCTGTGCTGCAAGCTAATTGGGTCAAGGAAGGATCGTCCCAACTGTACCATTCAGCCAGATCATATGCATGCTTGGAATAAAATCGAGAATTGCTGTGTGTAGGGGACCATTTTAATTTGTAGAAGGAATAAAACGTTGCAGTCTATAGCACTTGATTCATGACCACTGAAACTGACTGCTGATGCAATGCAGCACATGGTGAGCAAAGAATCTAATGTACGTAAAAAGTCTTCTCTTTTTTCTTTCTCTTAAATCAATATATACTTTCTTTGAGTAATTTTCGTTTAAAGACACTCTGCCATGTTACGTTACTTCGTATCATTCATTAAAAGAAACTTTCAATAAATTATTTAAGAATAAAATATACATGATGTTGCCTTGTCTCAAGGGCTTGATTTTTACATCTTTGAAAAATTTAGAACTTTCAAGTCAACAGGTTGCAAGAACCAACTGTTACATTACTCGAATGAACTTTTCTTTTTTCTCCCTTGTGAAATTACAAGCAGCAATCACTTTTTAGTATGATTTGGACCAATGTCTTTAGTTTCTGATCTGAACCTATATGTTTGGTTTCTGATTTGAATCTCTCTTGTTTTTTTTCTGGATCAAGATTTGAATCTATCTCTGGTCTGAGAAAAGTTTGATGCTTGAGGTGTGTCCCTCGGAATAATATAGGACCCACAAACGTTTGTGATTCCACAATCAAAATGTGAAACGCGGTCTCGATGTAGACTTTTTGGAGAGAATACAAAACCAATGGCTTTCTCATTTCGTTTCACAGTGGAAATTGTCGGATACATACTTCATGATATGCATAGCAATCGTCTATCCAAAAAAAAAAAGTTAAATAAATAAAGAATGGGTTTTTATCACCAATGGTTCTTGAATTTTTCAAAAAAAATTATTTGAGTCCTTCAACTTCCAAATCAATCAATTTGGTCCTTAATGTTTTGCTCAACACATTAGTTTGGTCTCTCTCATTGCATTCCGTCAAAATATTCATTAAATTCGTCATGTAATAAACTTTAAAACAGTATTTTCATCAAAGCACAACATATCTATCCAAAACAAGAAGTAAATCTCACGTATTTAGCTCAACAAGGTTATTCGTTCTCCTGATGGAACCCAAATGTAAATCCCTAAATGGACAAAAGATGACTTTTTAGAGCAAAAATGTGAGTTTTATGGCTAAAACGAGCTATATTTGGATGAAAGTGCTCTTTCAAAATTGGTCATGTGATGATATGAGACAAAATTCAATGAATGTTTTGCCAGAATGCAACAATAGAGACCAACTTGATTTGTAGACCAAAAGATGAAGGATCACATTGATTGATTTGAGAGTTTAAGGACTAAAATGAGGACTTTTAAACAGGTCATGGATTATTTGTGATAAAAACACATAAAGAATATCAAAAGTATGTGTGTCCAATGAATTTTGCCGGATTTTCTATAGTAATTCAACTGAGATTCATTGTTTATGAGAGTCGACTATGAGATTTTGAAGGCTTTGTGCAGAATTTAAACTAAAACTCTTACATCATCTAACATGAAAATACTACCCCAAAAATACCCATAAACTGATGCCATAAAACAAAAGTACAGAGAACAACTATCTGGTCATTCCATTAAACAATAAAGGTCATGGATTCAATGCTCCATGGAACAATTTTATGGGAAACTTTTTGTTATTTTGAAAAATAAGTGGAAATGGAACCAACACCCCGAAGAAGAATAGAAGGATAGCAGAATCTCTATTGTTGATGCAAAATCTCACGAGTTATATACAGAGAGTTCGAAGCTTGATAGACACATGAATCATCATTTAGCTGATAAATTTACAAATTATTGAGTTAAGTTAGATTTGATTTGAACACTAGATTTGAAGGATTGTACTAAAAAACAAAAGAATAAAAGTTATTTTTTTTCTTTTTTGCTACAAACAAAAGAATACAAGTTGAGGCCAATAGGGTCTAGTCCAATGAAAAATGACATTGATTTGCAAATCAGAAATCTTAAGTTCGACTCCTTACGGCATTATAATTGTGTGTGTGTGAGCAATCCCACTCTCCTATTGTAATTAAAAAAAAAAAAAAAAAAAAAAAAAAAAAAAAAAAAGAGTGCTGCACATTTGAATTTATAAGATGTGACTATATAGCCACAATTGGGTTTGTGGAAGGAAAAATGAATTTGATCTTTTGGTAGGTTAGGCAGTTTCTCTCCAAATATTAGTAACTAAAATGAAATTTTGACATCACCATCTATTTTCTTTTTATACAAATTTAGGAATGAACACTAAAATTCTATTCAAAAGATGGATAATACTTGCTTTCATAATAAATTTATATATTAAACAAAATCAGTTTACGCACCAAAAAAAAACAGAAAAATTAAATAAAGGTAGATCCGGGTTCGAGCTAAGATCTTTTTCACTCTGCAAATCATATATGTCCCTGGCTCCTCCTAGCTAGGGCTTTGTTCAGCGAGTCTAATCGTACGCGAACTCTGAGTTGGCACGAGTTCAGCAATGTACAGTGGGTCCAGTGATGGCGAAGGCCATGAGGCCGCGCAAAGGAAGATCCCGCCTGCTTCGTCCATGTTGTGGGTCCGGAACCTCCGCCGCTTCATCGGATCCGGTACCGGACTCGGATCCGAAGCCCTCATGGGTATTCTCCCTCACACTTCTCTCTCTCTCTCTCTCTCTCTCTCTCTCTCTCTCTCTCTCTCTCTCTCTCTCTCATTTCCATGCTTTTCATTCCAATTTTCGTTCTCTTTTTCGTCAAATATCGTTTTTCTGGGTATGCCGAGCTCAGTGTATGTATAGATATAGATATAGAACCATGTCTTACGCATTTGGGTTCTGTTTTTTGGAGCATTTAACTGTTCTCAATTTTTCCTTTGTTCTAGAGATAATGAACCATTATTAAGCTGTTTTCATAGTAATTAGGAACCTTGATTAGAACTGATAAATCGAGTGTGATCACACTTGTAGGATAAGATAATTAAAACAACACAAATAAGTGGGAAAACAGCCTTCAAGCTTCAATTTTTATGAGTGTGGGGGCTGATGTCGAGCTATCACAATTGCTCATTTATGCTAATGGTTGAATTTTGGTATACACTAGACTGAGCCAATGGTTCATTTGTGTGCTAGCCAATTTCAAGAGTTCAGGTTGGTTTTCTCTCTCTGGTCTTTTAATGTGAAGTGTGAGGCACATGTTCATTGACCATTTGAGTCCCTTCCCAAGTTTTTAGTAGATATTTGACCCCTGTAATATGCTTTTATGAGTTCATCTGTGTGTGTGTGTGCGTGTGTGTGTGTGTGTGTGTGTGCAAGCTCGGATTAGAAACGGATTTTGTGATTTCAGACACGCACTTATGAAGCCAAGACATATGTAATCCACGCATATCCATCTTTATACTTTATTTTCTGCTTACGATTTAACTAGGTGTTTATGTATTTTGTCTTTTTCTTGTGTAGAGCTTGAAACAAAGAGAATCTTGCTTGATATTTTCAAAGAGAAGCAACAAAAAAGTGCCGAAGCTGGCACAATACCAAGTTTCTATAAGAAGGCATGTAGTAGGATTTTTGTTGTATTTCAATGATTCTGTTCATGCCTGGGAATTTGAGTGTGAAGGCATTACTTTTATGTCCTAGAAAATTCAAAAAAAAATATATATTTCATTTTGGTTTCACTCTTGTTATGTGCTCTTTCCTAGGCCCTTTATGACTTTCAAAGCTTTTTCCCTTTTTTCAGAAACCTGAAGATGGATCTATTAGTCACAGGGTCCAGAGGCTGGCAAAATATCGGTTTTTAAAGGTAATCATCTGGATTTTCGTCCTTATTGTTGTTTTATTACATTGGCTAAGTATCTAACATTAAGCTTTATTGGTGGCATTTACCCCGTTGTTTCTGCAGAAGCAATCAGATCTTTTGCTAAATGCTGATGATCTAGATGCTATGTGGGTTTGTTTAAGGGAAAATTGTGTGATTGATGATGCAACTGGTGCAGAAAAGGTCTGGTTTTCCATCTTAATCTTGTTTTCGATTTTTTCATATGTTGTAAATATCTCTTATAGGTTTCAAACAAATGGTTATTAATGTTTTATCAAAATCTTTAAAGAAGTTTAACATTGTAGTATTATGGTATCTCATCTACTTCCATTATTTTATCATCTGCACTTCAGTTTATGGCTTTTGAATCGTAATAACTTCTTAATTGAGTTGTTAGGTATCTGAGTGATTCTAATAAGTCCCCATATTTATCATTTTGTAGATGAATTATGAAGACTTTTGCCACATTGCCTCTGTATGTACAGAGCAGATAGGGCCTAAATGCCGTCGCTTTTTCAGCCCTTCCAATTTCATGAAGTTTGAGAAAGACGAACAAGGAAGAATTGCCATTCTGCCCTTTTACCTTTATGTGATGAGAACGGTGGGTCTAATTGATCATTAATTCACGGGGCTTTTTCTTGCAGTCTGAATTATAAAAGTCTGGAATGCTACTTACTATTTTTCACCTTCCAGGTTTCACTTACCCAAGCTAGAATTGACATGAGCGAGCTTGACGAGGATTCAGATGGTTTCCTTCAACCTCAAGTATGAACTTATTGCAAAGTTTGAGCATCTAAGGGTTATATTAGAATATTGAGCCTTTTTCTGTGGCTACGTTATCTTTCAGTATGATGTTTAACGGAGAAAAAATGTGTTATTTTTCTCCATCCTTGGCTATAACTGTATTGATCTTGTTTTTCTTCAGGAAATGGAGGCCTATATACGAGGTCTTATACCTAATCTGGCTCAATTACGGGACATGCCTGCAAGCTTTGTTCAAATGTATTGCCGCATAGCTGCGCAGAAGTTCTTCTTCTTCTGCGACCCTCATAGACGAGGTTTGACATTAATCAGCGATACTGCATTTGATAATTATTCCTTTAGTTAAGAAAAATTTACACCTTGTTTTTGCGTACAGGAAAAGCATGCATAAAAAAGGTGTTATTAAGTAATTGTCTCCAGGAACTAATGGAACTGCACCAGGTAGGTTGTGAAAGAATCTGTCAAAACATTCTATGTTACAAATTGTACCATCTTTATTAGGTATATATACTGCAATAAATTCTGCTCTTCTGCTTACTAGTGCTCTGTACTTTGATTTAATAATAGGAAAGTGAGGAAGAAGTCACTGACACTGAGCAAGCTGAAAACTGGTTCTCTATGGCATCTGCCAAGCGCGTATGTGGTACGTAGTTTTCATGTCTCTGGGTTCCATTTTCGTTCCTCGTTTCCTGTTGTCTAATTGATTAGCTTCTGTATGTGAGTTATTTGTGTTGCTATTCAAGTGTAACACAAGCATTATATTATTTTGATTTATTCTTCATGGTCTTGAGTCTCCAATTCATTATTTGTGTTCTAGATATCTTCATCCAAGTCGTTACAAGTCATGAGTTTGCCAACGCTAAAGTCCCATGCTCAATATATGTCTGGCACTCTCGAGCTCGAAATGTGATGGTTATAACTGAAAACTTAAAAAAAAACTCTAATTCCTATAGCTGATTGCAATCCTGTGCTTTCTGTAGACATCTTCATTTTGCTTGATAAAGATAACAATGGAACATTGAGCAAGCAGGAGCTTCGAGAATATGCGGATGGGGCATTGACTGAAATTATCATTGAAAGAGGTATGCATAAAAACTTAAACATCCATTATTTGTACAAAGTGCATATTAATTTACCCAAAAATGCTAAGAAATAATATGGAATCTATATTTGAGGATGCCCGACCTGATTTACCTTACTTCAGGTCGCACATTTCTTCATGGTACCGTAAAGCTATAGCATAATGTGTAAATCAATAGCGGTCTAAATGTTATAATGCATCCTGTATTTACTTTTTTGGTTCTGTTTATTCATGCTTTGCATTTGATATGCCCTCAATAGTGTTTGATGAGCATGTTCGACGAGGAAAAGTTGGGGGAGCAAGTTCAAGGGAGATGGACTTTGATAGTTATCTGGACTTTGTTCTGGCCTTAGAAAACAAAGACACTCCAGAAGGGTTAACATATTTGTTTCGATGTCTTGATCTTAACGGGAGGGGTTACCTTACAACAGCTGATATACACTCTCTTTTCAGGTAAGTTTTGTCTTCTGCTTTTAACTTGTTTGTGGGGCGACTTAAAAGAAACCCAAAAGAAAAGAAAATTTTATTTTGTCATTCGTAGGACTTATGTTAGATTTTATTCTGTGATTTGCTTGGCTGCCGTTGCAAAATGTGAGGATAGCTTTTCACCATGTTCTGAGCAATCAAGCAGAGTCAAATATGGAAGTAAAGAAGAGGAGCATCCAAAAGTTGGGATGTTACCTGATACAATCTTCCTACAGAAAATCTCTGTAGTATTTTCCTGCTTGCAGTACTTAGCAATATCTGCAAGTCTCAGATTATCAGAGACATGAATACTTAACAACCTAGAAGATCTTTAGTGCCATTCAATCAAGTGGCAAAATCAGAGATTTGTCCTTGGAGAGGGGCGAAGCAAAAAATATGATATGTTTTATAGTAGTTCATCCTGGTCCCCAAGTAGTTCATCCAATGCATTAAATAGTATGCAATTCCAGATATGAGTTGGCACTGATCACTTAGCATGTTGTGTCAGCTGAAAGATCTTATTTTTTGGACTTATGAAACAGGGATGTACATCAGAAATGGATCGAGGGAGGAAACTATGAATTGTGCATTGAGGACGTAAGGGACGAAATCTGGGACATGGTTAAGCCAGCTGATCCACTACGGATAACGTTGGCTGATTTACTAGCTTGCAAGCAAGGTGGCACTGTAGCCAGCATGCTCATAGATGTGCGTGGTTTCTGGGCGCATGACAATAGAGAAAATCTTCTTCAAGAAGAGGAGGAACCCGAAGAAGAATCGTAAATACACTTGATGACTTGAAAGTTTGTTCCTTTACTAACAAATTTAGAGGGTTTTGTTTTCTTTTGGTTTTTGGTTTTTGGTTTTTTAATTGTGTTAACGAGATGAATTGCATTGAATTGTAGCTATCCTTGTAGTACTGTGTATTGCATCGAATTGTAGGTGTAGCTAATCCTTGTAGTACTGCGTAAGTCAATGTGAAATGTAAAATAATAATGTAGCTGATTGTTGATTGGAGTGCTCACTCTCTCTCTCTCTCTCTCTCTCCCCAACAATTTAACTGCGGTAATTGGCAGACTTTTTTAACAACTAAGAAATGGGTGGAATATCCCAAAACATGCCAATCCTGTAACTAGTCCTTTTCAAATTTGCCCATATGCAGAAACAGCTTATCGCTAATCTTCTAACGCATTTGAGGACCAAGTAATGTAACTCGAATACCTCCTTGAGTGATCTTCTCGTTAGTCTTGCGCAAGCAGAAGCACCATTCATTGTACCAATAATGACCCACCAAGCAACTCCAGCTAACATGGGATTGTGAGTTAATAAGAAATCAGGCCATGCTTCTTGAATCCTTCCACTAGCTTTCGGCATAAAGGCAACTTCAAATTTTGTTGCCGTTAAAAATTAAGGCCCTCATTAAGCTTTACTCGTTACCTTCTCTAATGACCCGGCAAATGCATCACATGACTTACGCAAGCAGTTGGCCGCTCTAACTTCCTCGTTGAGGAGACCACCATATCTTCCTACGTATAGGCAAGTCACAAATTAGTCTGCAGTTTCTTCTCTACATTCGACGGAGCCTTTTATACTCAACCACTGCATCATAGGTTTCCATGTTAAATGAACTCTCGGCAAAACATCTGCAGGGCAATTGTTTCCAGTTAGAAAACATTTACATGCAAAGCAACAAATGGAAAATATAGATTACTTGCTTTCTTCACCTCTACAGAGCCATCTATTTTTAGAGACAAAAATTTTGAGTTGAAGCATAGACTACAGTGCCACTAAGGCATGTCGCATCTTACCTGATTAATTGGTGATAAACATTTACAATGATTCCACACCTAAGGTTGCTTACTCTTTTAATCAAAAACTGTTATGTAACCCGGGTTCTTTCCTCTCTTTTAATCAAATATGATGGGCAACTACTTTTCTAACCACAAATTGAATAAAGGCAACATACATTTTCCATTTAGGCAACTGAGTAAATTTCATTTTATTCACAAGTAAACAAAAGCAACATAAAATTAGAACGTCAGCTTAACTGACAAATATTAGATGATGCAAGGAACCAGCCAAAGATGACAGTAAACAGCCGTAAATTAAAGTAGGATAAGCATCAAACACAAATGCATTAAACGAATAAGCATTCTGAGGTCACTAAACTACCTTAGCTCGTGCCAAAACATATCAGTTCGATCAAGGAGAAAAGGACGCAACCGTGCAAGGAAGTCATCTCGAACATCACACTGTCCTGAAGGGACACGACCCTCGTTTTCAAGGCTTGCAATGAAGAGTGAGGTGGCCACATGAACAATAATAGATGGATCTCGGTCTCTGAGAAGAGCCTGCAGCTCCCTACGAATCCATGGTTCTATTCTTTGCAAAATTCTCTCTTTAACACCGTCATTTATTGGTACACTCTGAAATTTCAAACGCAAAATACAATTCAATCCACCATTTCTTCACTAATCAGTCAACTGGGATATTAAATCAAACAAAGAGAGAGTAATGGCATGCACTAACCACTTGAAGACGACTTCTTGGAGCTGAAGGAACAGCTTGCAAGCGTCTTTCATATACACTGCTTTTATAAAAATAAAAAAACTAAAAACTAAAAATTCCAATTGCCCAAATTAGCAAACAACAATACAATCAGGGTGAAAAGTTACCTGACACGCCATTGAAGCTTCCTTTCGGCAATCACATCAGGAGTGACTGATCCTGGCCGTCCAAACGATCGCCGCCATGGCAAAGGCCTTGATCGCCTCCGTTCACTATTTCTCACATGCCTAATTATTTATAAAAGAGCAAAATTTGAGCTCAAAATCGCAATTTCAACAAAAGCGGAGGACCAAAAACTAAACATCTAGAAAATCAGACCTTGAAGGATGCTCTTCTTGTTGAAGTCTGAAGCTTCTAGAACTAGAACTGCTATCCAGAGGTGGCAAAATCTCTCTGTGGAAGCTTCGAGAAGATAGGCTGATATGGGAGAACCAAGAATCGAAGTCGGCGTTGCAGAGAGGGCACTTTCGTCTCAACCCGCTCCATTTTCGAATGCATCGGACGCAGTAGGCGTGGTTACACGACGTGAGCACCGCTGCGCTGCGAGATTCCAGGGCTCCCAAGCATATTGGACAATTTTGCCCTCGGATTGCCGGCCATATTACCCTCCCCACCAGCTTCTCGCGGCTCCTGCTTCTCTCCGATGGTTTTCTTGGAGACGCTTCCATAGAGAGAGAGAGAGAGAGAGAGAGAGAGAGAGAGACGCAGATTCAAGGCCCGAAGTACGCGCGTTTTTACAACCATTTGGGCCGATGAATTAGATGTGGATCTGAGCTGGATTTGGGGTCAAAGTCCATCTGATGTGGGCTAAAGCTGTTTATATCTGGATTTGGGTTTACGTTAATTGGCCAAGATAATGAACTTGCTTCCTTGCAGCCATGAATCCTCCTTCCCTAAATTAGATTATTACTTGTAAGTTGTAGTTCAACCACACAAAAAAAACATGCTTTTTTTCTTGGGAGTTTCACTAAAACACCCAAAATGTGGCCTTAAATTATAAAAAAACCCAAGTACTATTTAAACATATAAACACACCCAAAACCCATCATTACACACACTCAAAATCCATTTATAAACACACCCAAAAAGTTGACTTTGGGGTTGATTTTGGGTGTGTTTCTATGTTTAAATAGTGTTTGGGTTTTTCTATAAATACATGTCTAGGATTGGGTTTATTTATAAATTTGTATTTTTTCTTTCCTTGTTGAAAAAATCATTTTATTTGTGTTTTATGTTTTCATATACATTTTTTGTGTACATGCCCAAAACTTATTTATGCTATAATTGATATCATCTTCCTTTTAATTTCATATTTGGTTGACAAAAATAAGAGAAAAACAAGTGAAATACAACACAATAAGATTATGAACCTTTTTGTTTTACTTTTGATTAATGAGAACGTAGAATTTGAACTATCACTAGACCAAAAGCTAATTAGTCAAAACATGATATATTAGGTGTGCAGATGAGGTTGACTTTTATATATTATTAAGAAGATAAGTTAACAAGTCGTGTTTGAGTTTAACAAAGTTGGCCAAGTTAGCTAGAGTGGATATACTCCCCACTTTGCACTCGAATTCGAATCTTCCTCCCTTAGTTTAGATCAAATTAAAATATAATATCGCTTGTATAAAAAGAAAAGAAAAAAAAAGTCATGTTTGAGTGTAGGCCCCATTTGGTTTATGAAAAAGGATGCTTGGGGATAGGAAATCAATTGTTTTTCCATATTTGAAAAGCCATTGTCTAGCCCGTGGGAAATTAGGGGGAAAGTGAAGCCCTCCCAACTTAAGTTTTGTTTTCCCTCAACATCGGAAAGTTTGGGAAAATGAGCCAATATTAAATACACATTTTTCATAACCATTTTGTCCCCATTAAAAATTTAGAATTATAATATATCATTATATGCATTTTTTATTATTTGATTTAATATGAGTATAATTGAAAAATTATACAAACTTTGTTTTCTATTCCTATTCAAAACAAACATATGAAAGGAAATGACTTGATATCTCCCAGTTACTTTCTTAACATTACAAAATGTGGGAAATGAATCTTCCATTTCCCATCCTTTGGGAAATTATATGGGAATTGATTTCCCATCAAATCCATTCCATGAACCAAACGGGTTTCACACCAAGTTGCCAAGTGTTGGCCTAATTGCTAGGAAACGACACAATTATCATTGCCGTTTTCTCAAAACATAGATTTAAATTTCGGAGAAATGAAGAATTATTACAAATCTATTTCGATCACCAAACACGCCCTTCATTTATACATCCAACTGACAGAGGAGACGGTGAGCGGGTTTTGGGTTAACTTCCAAACACTGACGCCAATCGGTTCAAAATATTTCAGTGACAGAAGCAAAGCTTTCACTCAGTCACTCGCAGAAATGGACGTCCCAAAGGATCAAATCGCTACTCTAATGGAGCATGGTCTCTACAACTCAGCTCAGATGCTCGTAATCGTTCTTCTCCCCCCTCCTATTTCAAATTTTCTGCTTCTTTTTTTCCTTCAATTTTGGTGGTGATTGAAATGTTGTTTGTGTTTGGAAATTGGGTAGGGTTGTTTTCTTGTTTCTTCACCAGCTGCTAATGCCGAAGTAAACCCACACCTTAAAGCTGAAAGCTTGGTCAGAATCTTCAACTCCCATCCATGGCCCTCTCTCTCTCTCGTTAAATTTTTCTAATTTTTTTTTCGTACAGGTGCTTCTTGGAGATTCATTGTTTCGCGAGAGGGAGTATCGCAGAGCAATTGTAAGATAAACACACACATTTTTCATTAATTTTATATTGTAATATACAAATTAGTGAACTTGCACAAAGCAAAAGACCCTTTTTATAGAACAAAAAAAAAGTGGTCCTGTTTTGCAAGTACTGATTCTACTGATGACTAACTGTAAAGTAAGTGAGCTAAAGCCATTAGGTGGAAAAGTCCATTTGGTAGTTATACTCATGTTAAGAACCGTATGCAACCAACTTGGGATTTGTTTCTTTAGCTAATTATGCTGTTACATTATAAATTTTGAAAGATTATATAATTCATTTTTCTTGTTCGCTGACAGCATACGTATAAGCAAGCATTGCAATTTTGCAAGATGATTTCCAAAACAAATGCAACATCTACCAGAAGTTCATTGTCATCAAACAGGTCCTCTTCTCCAAATTTTTTTAACATTTCAGGAATTAATGAGAATGAGGTAGGCTGATTTCATTCGCCAAATAGTTATTTTCTATGTTGAGCTTTTTCAGAGGATAATGGTGTTTCTTTTCTGTTTGGCGCTATTTATACAAAGTCCCCTTCTTACATGACAGGTGAAGTTCAAAATTGCATCCTGTCATTTTTCGCTTGGTGAGAATGGAGCAGCCCTTTCTGAGGTACAGACACACATGCACTAATGTTTATGGGCAAGGCAAATCCTACTATAATTTGTGTAAACTATTCAGGTCTGAGTACGAGAATCTTGATAGTTCCAATGTAAATTTTGTTGGTTTTAATCAGGGATTGCTTCCTTGTCTTTTGTTTTATCTGTTTTCTATTTATTTCTCCTAAATATATAACCTATTAGCATAGTCCCACATTGACGGGGTACCTTTTGGAATTTGTCATATAAAAACACATGGCTCTTTCCTTGTAAGCTGGTTTTGCAAGGATAAGTTCTACCGATGGTTTATATATATCTATATGTACTTATATTTCAAATGGCACTTTTAGCACATTCACTTTGGGGTCTAATGCACTTTTAAAACTTTGCAGATGGACAACATTCCAAGCAAAGTGAGAAACTTGCAGATGAATCTGTTGATGGGAAAGCTTTATCGGTACTCTAGACAGAACCGTTCTGCTGTTTCTTGTTTCAAAGAATGTCTAAGGTTTGTCAATCAAATTGTGCATATCATCTTTCAACTCAGTTTGTATTTTAAGAAATGTAGATATCTTGAGATTCTCTTTTACTTGTATCTTTTATAAGCTCATGTGATCTTGGCATAAAATTCTAGAAACACTAGCTTCCGAACACACTTTCCGTGTGATCTCTACGCTGCACTAATACACCGAATCACAAGAATTACTGAGTTCTATGTTTATCTGGAGTAGGCAGTATTAGATTCTTCCTGAGCATTATTATTTTTAAGACTTGGATACTGTAAGTGAAGTAATTACAGGGTGATGGTTGAGGTCAAAGATTCAGAATTCGCTGTACCCTAACCTCTCCCTCTCTCTCTCTCTCTCTCTCTCTCTCTCTCTCTCTCTCTCTCTCCATTGCATGATTTATAGGTGTTCTGTTTTGGTGAATATCTATGGCTTGCACACCCTTTAAATCACCTCTAATATGCTTGACTTTTTCTGAGAGCGTCCTATGTAATTAAAGAAGGATATCACTGAACATTACTTTTTAAAAGTTAATGACCAAGATATTACTATTGAATGTAAAAATCTTGGATTTCCTTCCCCTGCTCACTTAAGTATGGCTGGACTATACTCTCACAGAGATTATTGTTGTCATGTGAATTCTAGCTTTCCTGTTGCATCCTTGTTCATCTATGTGTACAATTGTGTTAATGCTTTTTTGGTTTGCTAGCTATCTCTATAGAATTAATATATTATCTTTTATATTCACGCTGCTTCATTTTTGGTGCTTTTGACAGGCATTGCCCTTATGTCATTGAGGCTATTGTAGCTTTAGCAGAACTTGGAGTTGCTGCCAAAGACATTATTTCCTTGATTCCTCAGGTTTTTTCGTGAAGCATGAAGCCATTTAAATTTAGCTGATCAAATCATTTTAGCATGTCTGGTGTCATGTTAAGTTCTTTATATATTGGATGTCCTGTAAAGCTTGTCATAGTGAAGCTGTATTTGTCTTATGCTATCTGTAGAAAAAGGAAAAAAAAAGTTGCAGTGTTCATATGCGGCATATAACTTATCAGTCCATAGTTCTCTGATTACATGTATAGGGCTCCTCTAAATGTTATTTGGATAAGTTGAATGTTGGAGCTCAAGACTCAATTTTGATTACAAAATATGATTGACTTTTATAATAAAATAGGAAATCTTTTAAGAATGTCCAATGCCAATGTTTTTTTCAATTCCGTTTCTTGGCTTTCAATTTCAGACTCCAAATAGAAGCGGGAGGGCTCCATTTGATCACTTTGACTCAAGTCGCTGGCTACATGTAAGTAACCAATGAGGAAGCAGCGGTCATTTATTATTAGCTAACACGTTGGACAATTTTTCCTCTTTTATGCTAAGCATGTTTAGATGGATTCATATCCACATGAAGTGCCCCACTCTTCCTGACAAATTTGTTAAGTTTGTTTGGCTGGATATATACTGGAAGGAGCTTTCTTTAGGCATAGTTATCACAGCACTGATTCATGACAAAATTTTGTTGGAGGAGGAAACCCTGTTACTGTTTTTACATTTGTTTTTCTTTGTGCAGCGCTACGTTGAGGCCCAGTGTTGCATTGCTTCGAATGATTACAAAGGTAAAAGGAATATTTCTTCTGTAATGTTGGGGATTTTGCATGGATAAAACTGGGGATTATTACTGTTGATTTCGCGTTGTATGATGTTCCTATATGGAAGTAGAAAGTTTTCATATCCTTTCCCATTCCTAGATGTAGTTTTGTGGAGTATTTATGGGAACTTCTACTTGCATTATTTGTTTGAGTAATAACTGATGATTAATGTCCACAACTTTTTACAGTTTATATTTATTTATTTTTGGTGTTGCAGGTGGTCTGGAACTCTTTACAGATCTTTTACAACGTTTCCCTAATAATTTACACCTGTTACTTGAAGTTGCAAAGGTTAGAACTGATTGTATGTGATCTATTTAGGTTTTTTTCTATGCTAAGAATGGTATTTTGTTGTCTATTGGTTGTGCTTGATAAGCAGAAAATATATGCATGCACTGATTTCTGAATGAAGTTACCTTGATGGGAGGAGTAGGCTTTTGACAACGTTCTCTCATTTATATGGACCATGAATTTCTAGGTTTTTGGCAACGAGAGTTTCTGCGTTGTGTGTTTGCTTCTTTTAAGTTCTCAATCCTTTGCAGCTACTCTCAATTAGGTATAATTTGACAAAAAACAAAAATGAGTGGGAACTATTACGACCTACCAAAATGCTCAACCCTGATAATTATAGTTTTATCCTTTATGCAAATTACCTGTGGGCATAACTTACTTTCGGAAATGTAGTTACATCTTTTTTTTAATTATTTCTGAAAATACTGACTTTTGGCCCTATGAAGAATACAACAAATTTCATTGAATGATTGCAAAGGGTACTTTTTATTCTAATTGCTTGGGTTAAATTTTTATATATGAGATCTTAAATTATAATTATACCATGTTGTTACTAACGAGATAGCATTTTAATTTCTGCTTTTGTATATATAATTACATGTGAAGGTTGAAGCTATTATTGGGAAAAATGATGAGGCTATAATGAATTTTGAAAAGGTAATTCATTTTTGAGTTATTATGGTAATTCAAGTGTTCATAGACCCCTCTCTCTCTCTCTCTCTCACACACACACACACACTCCCACACACACACAAAAACTCACTCCCACACACGCAAGCACGGTTGCACATACACTCTATGAATGCATGTCATGTAAATATGAACTCATACTTTCAAGTTTATGTTGTTTTCAGGCTCGATCTATTGATCCATATGTTGTAACATATATGGATGAGTATGCAATGCTTCTAAAAACAAAGTCTGATTTTTCAAAGCTAAACAAATTAGTGCATGATTTGCTGATAACTGATTCTACAAGGCCAGAAGTTTTTGTGGCCTTATCTGTACTTTGGGAAAGGAAAGATGAGAGAGGCTCTTTGTCCTACGCTGAGAAGGTCTGTTAATTAAAATAGTGTAAGCTTGGTGTTTTTTTCAATTATTCATCTCATAAGTTCCTTATTTATTTGCATCAGAGTATACGAATTGATGAGAGACACATAACGGGTTATATAATGAAGGTATTGATATGATCTTATATTTGATAGCCTGGGGCATCTGTGTTTATAAATATCTCAGTATCTTTCTTCTTGCCCTATTCTCAAATGATATAAAAAAATTCTTTCAACCTTTCAGGGTAACCTATTATTATCAATGAAGCGAGCAGAAGCTGCTGTAGTTGCCTTCAGGGCAGCTCAAGAGTTGAGACCTGATATTCGTTCATATCAAGGTGGGACTTGTGAAGGAAAATACTCACTTGCATGACACGCATCTTATGTCTGTCATTGACTTATTTTTGTTTCATCCAAGCATTTTGTAAAGAGAGAAATATGTGAAGTAATTGCAGAAGCTAATGATCAGTAACTCAATTATGATTTCAGGTTTGGTTCATTCCTATTTAGCTCTCTCTAAAATCAAAGAGGCTTTATATGCTTCCAGGGAAGCTATGAAGGCTATGCCTCAATCTGCGAAGGCTCTAAAATTAGTAGGGGATGTACATGCAAGTAACTCTAGTGGTAGGGAGAAGGTAAGCCTGTAATTAGATCATTTCAGCATGAGTTCAGAAATCAAGTTTTCCTCCTTATGAACTCAACTAATCTTGAAATAGGCAAAAAAGTTCTATGAGTCAGCCCTTAGGCTGGAACCTGGTTACCTTGGAGCTGCATTAGCTCTGGCTGAGCTACATGTTATTGAAGGCCGCAACGGGGATGCTGTGTCTCTGCTAGAACGATATCTTAAGGACTGGGCTGATGACTCTCTGCATGTTAAACTAGCTCAAGTATTTGCCGCAACAAATATGCTCCAAGAGGCATTGTCACATTATGAAGATGCATTGAGGTTAACAGTTATATTTTATGTCCTGAATCACTTTTTCACTGTTAGTGTTAGGAATTAAAGTCTACATTCTCACGGAGCTTTTGCTAGGGTGTGTTTGGGTATGCTGTGGAAATTCAGTTGCTCCATAAATAGCATTTTAAGGTGAACGGCCTGAATATAATTAAGGTCATTAAAGAAGTTAAAAGCCAAGTATGGATGACATGGGATTATAAGTTAGTTTTCTTGAAACAACAGACTTTTGATCATATGCCTGCTGTAAAATATGGTCATTCACTATAGAGTGCTTTAATACACCCTGAATGACGTTGGAATATGCTGCCCTGGTATGATCATAAAATGACTAAAATGTGCGCAAAATTTTATTTCCTGCCATGCATTGCAGGATAAACCGACAGAATGAAGCTGCAAAAAAAGGTTTAGAGCGCTTAGAGAAGCAGATGAAGGTTTGTCCTGTTTATGCTGCTTAAAATGGATGATAGAATGTTTAGTGTAAATTGTTTAATGAAACTTTAGAAGTAATCTTCTTTTTTTTTTGTTGAAAAATCCACAAGTTTCAGTATTTGTGGTGTAGTGGATTCAAACACTCAAGAAAATAATTTCATTTCAAATTCACTCTTTAAATCACTCAACTAAAAAGGTTTTTTCTTTTTTAAAAATAAATTATCTTGTTTTGTATAGAAGAAGAGTACAAATTTTTTTTCTTTCCAGTCTGTTACAATTGACAAAAGTATCAAAATTCTGTTTTATTAATGTACTTTCAACATTAGGTGCAAACAAATTAAACTAAATACATCATTTTAAATCCACAAATCCAATTATTGTATTATATTTTAATGACGTTCTTAATTCCAAAATATTCAATAATGGTGATGCAATTCAGCAAGGTCAATTTTAAAAGTTGTTATTTCTCTAGGGGGTGGATCCCGATGCACCTGAAGAAGATGAAGAGAATGAGGTTGACGATGCTGATGGAGACCAAGAAGAGACTGAGCTTCTGTGAATTAAGCTAGCTAAAGGTATTTTGTAAAGCTTTTGTGAAGAGACTGTAGTTGCAAAGAATGCCAGTTGGGGGTTGCTGTTCTGCAAGCAAGTTGACACCCCTAAGAAATGCTTTCTTTTCCGATATATTTCTCGGTATCACGTCATGCAACCAACAGAATTTTTTGTATTAATATGGTACAAATGGCCTAAGGTCATGCTGCGTAGATAGGGAGCAAGAAAGAGTATTCACCAGTGGCTGCAGAGTTACAATCTTCATGACAGGAAAATCCTTCTCATAGTGGCAAGTTGGCAAGCCTGTGTCATTTCCATTTCCTTACAAATTTTGTTACATCATTTAGTGTCATATAGTGTATTTTCTCTGTGATCTCATGTTACAACTTGTGTAAAGTGGAGCCCTTCACAACTAATTTAAGTACAAGATGAAGAATGATTAGCGCATGTTATCGACATTTTGCATCTGCCTTTTTATTTATGTAGTTTTTATATAATTCTTGTAAGTTTTAGTATTCTTTTTCTCCATATTATCAGGATGGAAACAGCGTTAACGTGATTGAATCATCCAATTCAACCTACATGAAATATTTTCAGTTTGCAATCCTCTTTTTTTATTTGTCCCTTGCAATATTTGGATTTAAATGTGCCTGCAAATTTGGTTAATATGGCTGCCTCGGTGCAATGTCGTCTTTACATAAAATTGTGTCGTCTATCAAATAGTTATTGCTAACAGATGAGGATTTATTGGTTAGCAGCCAATGGTAATAAGTATCGCTGCCAAAAAAAGGTACAATGTGCACAGAAATTAGCTTCTCAGTCGCCATTAGACACAGAATCAACGTTTTCCTCATCTGAAAGTGGAAAAAGCTCACAAAATGTAGCATATCTGCTTTCGTTTTAAGCTTTTGACCGAAAAAGAAACATACATGTTTAAGGTGACTGGTTGATACACTTATGTACATGGTAGAAGAAGTAGGATTCCCCACAAGAAGCTCTTGAGGTGAGTGACTGGGCTCGTAACCAAGCAACGATTGAGGCGGCTTGACGTCTGCTATGGGTTGGGGCCTGTGCCATTGGAGTGCAGTTGTGATTTGTTCCAGTCCCTGCTAGCCTTTCATTAGATATTGAAGTCCCTAAACTCTAAACTCTTTGTTTTCTACAGACTAGAAAGGTTTCCTTGGGGTAGGTGCTCGGTTCTCCATAGATTGCAATCTTTGTTTGAGATGAAAGACTTCGACCTGCATGGCAACATGAAGGGATGGTGACCGTGGCTTAAAACAAATCAGGGAGGAGAAAACAAGTCTAATTTTAACAAGTGAAGGATAAAAAGGTTTTATAAGTTCCATGTATTGGATTCAACTCCTGATATATGTAAAATGAGGTCATTAAAGGGGGAAAACAAAATTAAGAACTAAACGTCTAAACTAATATATGGATTTTGGTAAAATGGCACATGCATTGTAAAGTTTCGAGGTAAATTATTTTGAAGAAGAGCTGCCATAAAAGATGCTATAAGAGTTTTAATGTAAAGCAACATTCAGCAGAAATTTCACCCCTTTCAAAGCCATACCTGTAGTTGGAATGCCCTTGCTCGTTCACCTGCAAGCACTCCTCTAGTTGAATGGAGCTCCTGAATTTATATTAAATCACCAGAATTCATTTGAATTGGTTAATGTAATAAGTGATAACTTGGATACTAAATGAGAACATTAAAGTGCGATGTTCACAATACCTTCTGAGTATCATCCAAAACTGCCTTGAGGAAAGCCACATCGTGTTCAAGCCTCACATTGTCAGAATGAACAATATTTGAGAGGTTGTTAGCCTCTTCTTGTGCTATCTCTACACCAGCAACTTTTTCCTTGAGCAATTCCATCTCCTTTGCAGTGTCTGCCAATTTTCTCTCCATCTCCTGTCTGCTCTTGAGGGCAGATGATAAATTTTTCTCAGCCGCTTCTCGGCTGGTCAATGCAGCAGCTAACTGCCCTTCTAAAATTCCATTCTTTCTTATTAGTGTAGCCATCTTTGATTCATAATAGTGGTAAATACTAGACGGAGCTGATAGGGCCCCTGGTTTACTATCAGTTTCTAGGAACATTGCATCATTGTTATCAACTGAAAGGTTTCCGATTCCATGATTGTGATGATTTGAATTTTCATACTCATATCCAGAGAGCATTTCCTCCGAATAGAGTCTACTTCCAAGTACGTTAGTCTGGACTCCTGAATCAGATTGACTGTTTTTCTTTTCTGTTGGCTGAAATGAATATAATATTTAAGTCAGTACATCATTGAAGCAGGTTAAATTACAACTCAAAATGACTGGGCACAATGAAACAGATTTGTAAGGCAACCCCCAACAGTCTTTGGGCAATCTAAGGAACACAAAGCAAAACTGAACTCAAAACTTTCTTCAAACCATATAAGTTTCGTCTCATAACTTGATTCTTAACTTGTGATAGAGAAGGTAACATAAGTCAGATGGTATTTAGTTAAGAAAAACTTCTGCAACTTACCTGTGAGAAAGAACTTTCATCTTCAGAACTCTTTACCACCTTAACAGTCGTGTTGTATTCTTCGTCATTATGGAATTGTTTCCTGAGTGAAACATTACCAGAAACAGGATTTGGATCAACAAGCAAGGACTCCGACAAAGATTTTCTTCCAGAACCATGATGTTCAATTGCAGATGCAAGATTTTGTCTTGTAACCGAATTAACTGAGCGCTGAGAAGAACCATTATTTAGTTGACCAACCAGGCCAGTGGATAAGCGTTTCTCAGGCAACAGAGTTCCAGGGACTTTGCTGGGAAAAGATCGACGACTCATGGATGATTCATTCTTTTCCATAGTCAGTACTTCAACCTGCAACAAATTTTTGAGGGAATAAGGCACGTTTAATGAGAAATCAACTAAACTATAAACATGAGTTTCTACAAACCTGATTTGTTGGCTCCTTTCTGCATCCACCAAATGAAACAAGAAAATCTTTTTCTTTGTGTTGCACAAGCTCTAGGCTGAAACCCTGAGAATGCAACATAAGAACAACGCATAAAGTAACAACCAAAGAATTATGTTCATGCTGTCATAAGAATGGAAAATTTTCATAATTGGAACTTGCAGGGATCGACCATAGCCCTTATATGAGGGACAGAGTACCCATCCTAGGACTCTCATCCCCACTCAACCCTTGTAATATTTGTTTTGCTATTACAGTATCTCTGTTCTTATTGTACGTTTACCTTACATATCCCCAAGTATGTAAGGCGGGGATGGGAATCCTAACCTCTAGACAAAGCACAAGCAGGGAACCACCTTTGTCCCTGCCCTGCCTCAGTGTCAATTTTATTCATGCATTCCATAAGCTAGTTTTACTGACATCATGTAGTGTTCGAAAATGACATCTATTTAGACTACATATAAAAATGAGTATTTGTTTTATAAGTTAAAAAATGTGTTAAAACAAGAAGAACATGGCTAAAACTACGGTATTTTAAAGGAAAATAAAACATCAAAACCTATGAAAATTATGGCAAAGGTAAAAATCAGCATTGCACACCTTATTGGCGGTGATTGAAGAAGGAGGTGATGCAATGGCCACTGACCACTCAAATGTCAAGATATCAAAGATCAGAGTCTCCGCATGTCCTGGAAAGATTAGAAAAAAATTGCATTAAGGGATATGCTTGGATATCAAATTCACAAATTTTTTTCTGTTTTTTTGGATAAGTAAGCCAATAGAATGTGTTGCAACCTTTTTTAATTTTTCAAAGCTGACATTAAGGAAGCATAACAATCATGCATATCATATGTAAAAGCTCAACGTTATAGAAACAGGTAAAAATGTTCAAGCATGTCTTTCAATTATGAGGCATACGTTTTTTCCTGCTTCCACCCCCAACAATATACCATTTGGTTCCACATAGGACCCCACAGCTACCACCTCTAGGTGATGGATGGAAACCTCGTTTCTTTATTCTCGACCATACCATCTGTGGAAAAAGTCCATCAGCACGTCACAGATAAGCATCAAATTCTCATCCATAAGGAGATGAAATGTTTGGCCACAAAATCCAGTATTTTAAAAGATATAAGAATGAGAGAGAATTCACACAGTTTCAAAGTCAAGTGAATACAGATCACTCAAAGTCCTGGATTTTGATGTGCCTCCAAATACAAAAAGAGTCTTATCATCATAAAGAGCTGCCACGTGATTGGACCTTGGAGATGGTCCTGTTCCTCTGCACGCATATCAAGAAATTAAAAAGTTTACAAAGAATCTTAGTTAAAAGGTTCCTGCAACAAGGGTTTCCATAAAAGGAAAGAGGTTAACATTAGAACAATGAATTTCACACAATATAGCAAAACTCACTCACGTGCAATGAAGAGGTAGCCATGTCAAGGACTTCAGATCAAACATATGCAGATCATTCAGCTTCCTCCTTTTAGCATCTTCACCCCCAAATAGGATCAATACAGAGCTTGCCCTGACAACAGTGTGACCAGTGCGAGCAACCTGCCATGCATGAGATGTGGGTGGGACTGCTTAGCATTAAACTATCACACTCCGTTAAATTATCATTAGGTCACTAATTCGAAGTTACTGAGGCAGACAATACGTTACAGAGACAATGTAGTAATTACTTAATGGTTCAATAAGTGGATGCCATGTCCTTTTAGCATCTTCACCTAAAAAATAGCTCCTGTTATTCTAGCGTTTATGGTGTCTTGGTGTTTTCATGGATTTTTTACTATTATTAACTACATACAACTGAGGTCAAATTTGGCCTTTTAAGAAAATAATTAAACTGAGGTCAGTTTTTTACTCACAGTAGATTAACGGTGGGGTGTATATGCAACCATAATTAAAACTCAAGTAGTCGTGATATAAGTGTAAGGCCTAAGTCGAAATTATGCTAAACCCCAAGAATGTTTGTGTAATTAACTCGTTAAAAGAAGTACCGGTATATCGCCCTTAGCTTCCATATGAGACCAGCATTCTGTGTCTGTGTCAAATGCCCAAACTGCAAAATGAAAGAACAATTGGACAACTTCATACAAGCACAAGCCAAAAAAAAGGGTGATGATTTCGTGAGCTTCAAGACAGAAATTTAACCTGAAATTTTTTCGTTCCCAGGTTCAGTTTTTCCTCCAATAAGGAGTGCCTTTTTTCCCCAAGACACCTAGACAAGAGAAAGAACGAACAAAACTTTCAAAAGATCAACCAATCTGATTTACCTAGACATTGTTATTGATTCCAATTTATGTAACTCTTTTCCTTGGTGTTCTTTCAGATTTTAAGTTCATAGCTTTCTAGGAAACCAGCTCCCCAAATTCCTCATCTACATGGGTTTTGATATCCAATGTGTCTCACCAGGCAATATATCCAATTTAACATAGCAAAGTATATGCTGGAGCACCATAACAGAGGAAAAGAAAAACAAACATGACACAACATTTGGTACAAATATATGATTGTACCATTCTGTGGCCCTTGCATGCAGGGATCTTTAATGGTAGACTGCTCGGTGACAAGTAAAGCTTTGACGAAGCTGTGGTCCAGGTAAAACTGTCGAAATTAAGCACCTGATGCAATTGGAAACACCAGCTGTTATTGTGTATTCAACATAATGATTTGCAACATGAGTCCCCATTGAATTCATTATCATATAAAAGCCAAAGATAGCTTCTCCAAGTTTAAATAATTCCCTTGGGGCATAAGGAACATTATCCTACCTGTACATCATCTAGCAATTCATTCCCAGATTCACCACCAACCACTATCATCTTGTTCCCAATTACAGCTGCGGCATGCTATGCAGGAACATTAAACACAAAGCTTTCAATTTCAGCAACACCATCAAAACAAATCAATTAAATCAATGCACCATGTGAAGCAATTACAGGACCAAGTATCAATAACAATTTACATTGAAGCGGGGCGTTGGCTTGTCCCCAGAAACTGACAACACCATCCAATTCTCGGAGCTCCCCATTGTAGAATTACTATTCTCGGGGGCAGCAGACGAACACTGGTGATCGAGCTCATCAGAATTACTACTTGCAGGCGCATCACATTCACTCTGGAAATTTCAAATAAGCTTAGTGCAGGACCGATTGAGGCCAAATTAACTTATATGCAAAACAAAGCTAAAGGCCTTACATTGGAGCTTTTATTTTGTTTCGGTTGTCTTATGGGGCTTCTGGTTCCCTGAGCAGAATCTGAGAGCTGGACTTTTAATCTGAGCCCACACAAACACACTGATTTTTTACTTTTATCACAAATTTTATATCAAAGTTTCAATGCCACAACATTCACTGATTAAGAGGTATAAACTGAAGGAAAAATAGCTCAAAATTTTCAACAACAAAAAAAACAAGAGAGGTCAAAGTGGAGATAAAGCAGAAAATAGAATAAGAAGAAAAGGTCACCGTCCAAGCTTCATGCGTCTGCGAGAAAAACCGAACATTTTTGTTGGGGAAACAAGAGCTTCAACAGTAGGAAAGAACCTCTTCTTTTCCTAAACAAGCACAAACATCAAAGAAAATTCCTAAATTTCAGAGAGCAAGCTACATTCTTCGAGTATGAGAGAACCTAGAGCCATTTAAGTTCTCAAACCCAGTAAAATCAGAAAAATATAAATAAATAAATAAAAAGTATATTTCTTTTAGGGAGATAAGAGCAAGTAAGTACCCTCTGTTTGGTAGCCGAGAAAGTGAAGGAAAACGAACAAGAGAAAAATCACGAATCACGAGCTTGTTTTAGTGTTATCTCTCTTTCTCACTCTCTAGAGTCTCTAGTCTCTCAGTAAGTGAGCTGGAGGTCTGGGGACACTGTAACAAGAAGAGCAGAGGTAAGATGCGTACGTTAGCATCTTCCCGTAGGTTGTCTTGTAGTGGATCATATGATTTTTCTTTCTTTTTATTTTTTTGTCGAAATTATCATAACAAGCAATTTGTATTTAGTATATTGCAATCGCATCGTACTGTGGGAAAAAAAAACACACAAAATGAAACCAAAAAAGAAAGAAATTTAATTTTGGTGGTGTGAACGACCGTTGGGTGAAGAAGAGCGCGGTTTAAATATTCGAGGTATAATAGAGAGTAAACAGGCCTTTATTGTATGCGGCAGTGGGTCCCGCGGGGATGCATTGGGACTTGGGGAGTTGAGGATCAAATCTCTGTTTTGCCTCCACTTTAAGACTAATTGACAATGGAGGAATAAGATTAGTCTACGTTTTTAATGTGAGATATTTTCACCTTTACATTCTCACATTTAAAAACATTAGATTTGACGTATAAATACTTGTACCTAGCCTATACATATCATGTTGTCTTATGGAGGTTTGGATGAAAAGTTTGAAGAAACATAGAGAATACTAGAGAAATTTCTCTGTATAATTTTTTATTTCTCTCTTCTGAATGAGTTACAAAGCTAAGCTTCAATATTTATACTGAGCTTTTACAACTAATAACTATTATACAAATGATAGTTTTCTTCTTTCCGTAAAGTCAAATACAAAAACCTTTATATTATAAATAACATATCATTAAGGTACAGTGAAACTGAAGAAAAACAAATTGATAGGTAATAAAAGCAAAATAAATTATAAGTAAGAAAGTGAGCTTAGTACAGTGAAGCATGTCAAAGAAGTTGTCCTAAAACCTTTGTAGCCTCCGTACGTGCAGGTACTGAAGGTTTACAAGACTCCAAAATACGACTCTAAACTCAAGATCTACTATGAGCACATTCATAGACGGATATGTTTCCAAGTTACATAACCATTGCCCAAAAATACTAATAGAAAGCGGAGAATATATATATATATATATAAGCAGAAAATGAGGGAATCGAATTGTGATGGTGATTGTGGTATGCGATATTATGATGGTATTGTAGTTGTTCAAATGCGAAGGAGAAGTAGTCTTTTATAGGCATCCAAGAACAAGTCATCTTCACCACATTAAACTAGAAAATTAAGTCATCAATATAGAAATAATACCTTAAAATTAAATATGTATAATCCCCATAATAAATAAAATAAAACATCCAAAATAATTTAATAAATAAAAAAGGTTAAAATTTTAAAACCTTTTAAAATTCCAACAATAACAACAAATCACGTGATTAGTTTCCTCTAATATTTTAATTTATTAGTGAAAATTTTATATTATAAAAAAGTAATTATCTAATAGGAGTGGATAATTCAATAAACGAGAGAATGCATTTAGACACAATACAAATTTTCCTCTCCCCTCTATATACATCTTTATGAGAACATTTTGAAATGGCATGAAATCTTCATTTCCCGTTATTGCGGTATAAGTGTGATTTGTCAGGTAGAATGAAATTTCATATGATAAATCATAAGAAATTTTTTATTTACGGGCATGCAATACGAATGAGTTCATTATTAGTATCAACATGAGTTGACTCTTATATAATTAATTACTTATAGGTCTCATAGCCGCATTTTTATTTGATATTACGAATTATAATATAAGTAGAAGACATAATTGATATATCATTGGGACAGTACAGTAGTGAAATAGCTTGGTTGAATTTGTATGTGTAAGAAGACTGCACCTAACTTTGGAATTACTCCACAACCAACATGTCTTTGTTTTTTCTTCCTTTGGTCGAACATATGTCTTTGTTGTATCTAATAAATAGGATAGTGACAATTAATTCCGTATTTTGCGTTTGTTGGCCCATTTCACGGGTTGTTTTTTTCTTCCCTTATTTTTAATATTGTTATTTCTTTTAGAATTTCAATAATTTTCGAGAAAGCGCTGCTAAAGAAAATGACATGAGGCCCACAAGCCCAAATTACATAGTCCCCCAGATGAGAGAACCCAATTCACCAAATTACAGTCCCCCCCAGATGAGAGAACCCAATTCACTTGAGCTGAGAGCAATCGATGGGAATTCATCCCCACTCTACTTAAAAAAACAATTTGTAAGAGCATCCACAATGGGAGGGTGTATATAGGGGTGTATATTTAATATACACTCCTTGTCATCAGAATCGTCTCCAATGGGGAGATGTAAAGGGATGTAAATATACATAATACATTAACACCATGGAGATATAAAATAAAATGTACATTTACATCCATTTTTACATCTTTTGCAAGCGGGACCTACCCGAGAAAGAGAGGAAAAATTATATATCTTAGATTTACATCGTTTCCCATTGGAGCAAAAAAACGTATTTACATCCCCCGAATGTGTAAAGAGAATGTAAAAGTGGCTTTACACCCCCGAATTTACACCCGTCACTGTGGATGCTTTAAGGATGTTAGTTGTTACTAAAATTGCCAATTTGTTTGATACATACGAATGACTAAATTATTTCTAATTTGATTGATTTTTGTAGGGATAATCATTAAATTGTAATTTAAAATATAACAATTCTGATTATTATATATATATATATTGAAAATTCGTCAATACAGCTAAATATCGTCCTCCTGATGAGGGGATATTGTAAAACTAGGCTACATATGCATGCATGATCTATGCATTATATCAACTATATATATATATATATATATTGGTTTCATAATAAGTAACTAATAATAAGTACTCAAGTAACCTCTTATTAAATACTATATTTTTTTCCTCCCACTACAACTGTTAGTTACATTTTCATTTCAATTGGTATAAAAGCATCCATAATGGACTCCCTAAACCACCTCCTTAGACAAATTTTAGGGAGGAATTGTAAAAATGCAACTCCAACTATGCTCCATATCCACCTCCTAAAATAGGGAGTCCTCTAGGAGCTCCTAAATCTGAGGAGAGAAAAAGGACTCTTAGTGGCTCCTTATAATTTAATGCTGCTTTATTTAATGAGTATTTCAAACCTTTATTTAATGCTTACTTATTTTTATTTTATTTTTTTAATAGAGATGGACCAATCAAAAAAGAGTTATAGCATTTATGACTCTCCAAATTAGGGAGTATGGTTGGAGTTGAAATTTTTTAGAGAGCTCATAAAATAGCTTTATTATATTTTTAGCTAAATTTAGCTAAAAAATAGAGAGCATCATTGTGGATGCTCTAAGGGCGGAGTGGAGGTGTCGGCTATTGGGCTGGGGTTGGGTGCATTGTGGTGGCTGCTAGGCTGCTTATTTTTATATTTTATATTCTAATTTTTATAGAAGTTCTTTGTTCTACTCCAGAAAATTCATCTGTGGCGGCCAGGAGTTGGCCACATGATTGTTTTCGAGTGTTGTTATGTAGGCATGCCAATATTGGTAACGAAAACTCCAATAGAAAGTGATTGAAAAATGTAAAATGTGCTCCAATATCGACTCTAAGCAATCGATTGTGAATTGGGTGGGTAACTAATCCAGTATAGATTCTTTTCTATGCCTCAATGAAGAGGACTTCAATATTTTTCTAGTGTGAAGATAAGAACAAGTAGAAAATTAAAATAACAAAAATGAAAATGAGAAATATGATATAGAACTGAAGCTTTCTTGATTCAGTTCATTATCAATGTAAACTCAAAGTAAATGACAGATAACTGCCCTAAACTAAAGATTTCTCTATTCACTTCAGTGCAATTATAGATTTTGAAAGTAAATGATAGCAAACAACTTTGAGCTAAAGATTTCTCTATTCAGTTTATTGCGGTTTGCGTGAAAATAGAAAATAGAAAACATAAATGTAAATGACAAATGTTTATAAGATTTCCTTATTCATATAACATTAAGCAAAAACAGTAAATAAAGTCTGAAGATTTCTCTATTCATACTTGGTACAGGAAATGTAAAGGATTTGGCTTAGCAACTAGGAATCAATACCAAATGTTGGCAGATTAATAAACTAAAAAGATAAAAATCATGAGTTGTCAACTGGCTATCTTGAAGAAAAGGTGTTTTAAGCTCGAGATTTTCAAGTGGTTGAAGTCGTTGAGTCTATTTAAGAGAGTTGAGCATCTTTGTTTTGATGACTTCTCCCGAGGTATGGTGTTAGGTCCAGCTGCCAAAGAGAAGTACCCACTTACTATTGCTTTTGGTGTGTGGGTTCAGAGGTGGAACCAAGTTAAAGGCTAACCTAGCCCAGGGAAGCTTTTGGGTGGAGAAAATATCATACCTATATATTTGACATGTTTTAAATATATCCAAGTATGTATTAACCTATTAAAATCCAAAAAAGACCAATTCTCTAAGAATTTCGTTGCATGGAAGTAATAAAAATATATAGTAAAATAGGTATACTTTCAATTTCGTTGTTAAACACATTTTCATTTTGATAATATCAGTTTTTTTGTTGAATTTAATATGTATATGTGTTTTATGTTAAAATTTATTGAAAATTAGTCAATGGAGCTACGAATTAGTGTGGTTTATATGATTTAATTATACAGAAAAAAAAAAAGACTATAAAAAAAAAAATAAGAAAAAAAAAAAAAAAAAAAATTTAGCTTTACCCTAAAGACTTTAGCTAGTCCATCCATTGAAAATTTATAGTTTCGCCCTTGAGTGAGTTGCTGAAAAGCAAGTAAAACAAAAAAAAGTTGTTTTGGTGTTGTTCACTAGGTGAAGTTCCTCACGTGATTCAAAATTTCTTCAAAGCAACACTCCATTGTTTCCCTTCATCAGCAAGCATACTTTAATATTTAATTTTTTTTTACTAAGTCCATGTCTCGCTCATGCACCTTCATTGACTTAACAAAAATTAACCAGCATGTCATTTAGCTTCTTCTTCGAACATGCTTTGATGTGTGATAATCCGAGCAAGCCATATTAATCAAAATGCTACAAAATTGGGATATGTTGTTCTACACACACGTAGGAACAACTGTCATGAAGAATGTGAATCAATTTGAGCACTGGAAAATACGATTTGGCATGACCCAATCTGACCGATCGTCACAGACATTTCCTTCGACCATACTTCAATTTTTAATTCTTTGAGCATTCTACATTTATTCAAATGACGCCAAATTTAGATACAATATAGTAGACCCTCAGATTAAAAGCTTTCATGACTGATCAGACTTGATTCACACTGACTGATCGTCACAGACATTTCCTTCGAACACTCTACCCTTGTCTAACTTCTGTCAAATTTGGATACAACATGGTAGACACTCAAATGAACAACTTTCATGAAGAATGAACGTTCACTAGAAATTTTTAAGCTGCTCATCACACTAGCGCTAGTGACTGCTTCTGCTCTCATCTGGTGTTTGCTTCGCTGAGGATTCAATATTTATTGAAATGCGGCCAATTTTGGATATGTTGTAGGAAATATCCAGATGAACAACTTTCATGAAAAATTAAATTTCATTTGAGCATTGGAAGGTGCTCATCGGATTGGAAGTTTGACAAATTGAGCTGAAAACTATGTTTCAGTATTTCATGCCCAGAAGATTCAATACTTATCCAAATACTGTCAATTTTGGATATGTTGCAGTAGATGTCCAAATGAATTCAAATTCTGTCAATTTTTTATTGAAGTATGTGTAAGACTGCCAAACTTTGGAATTACTCTAGAATCAGCATACTTGTTTTTGTTGTATCTAATAAATAGGATAGTGACAATTAATTCTGTAATTTTCGTTCGTTGGCCCATTTCACGGGTTGTCTTTTAATTATTTATTTATTTTAAAATTTAAATAAATTTTTAGAAAGTGGGTTAGGGCCGCGGGAATAAAAGGGTGGACCCTGCTAAGAAGAAGAAGATGACATGAGGCCTACAAGCCCAAATAACATGGTTCCCAGAAGAGGACCCAATTCACTTGAACTCAGAGCAATCGACTGGAATTCATCCCGACTCTCTCCTTTAAAAACAACTTGTAAGGATCTTAATTGTTACAAAAATTGTGGATTTGTTTATACATACGGATGATTAAACTATTTCCAAATTGATTGATTTGTGCAGAAATGATGATTGAATTCTGATTTAAACAATGAATGGTTCTGATGATAATGATACGTGTAAGTATAGTGAAGATTCGTTAATCAAAATAAAGTGGATAATGAGTTGCACAATGCAGCTAAATATGCTAAATATGCATGCAGGCATTATCTCAACTAGCTAATGCTACTAATGTTATCTACTAATTCTCATATATATATATATATATATGAATAAAAACAGAGCATCAATTCTCACCACAAAGTAAGATTTTATTATATCCAGATATAGCATTACAAAAAAGCTGGAGTACATAATAAGTAATTAAGTAATAACCTCTTATTACAAACTCCTACTGGCTCTATATGCTATATATGTTTATTATATATTATATCCGATACTCTCATACTTGTTATATAACCAAGATTCTTAATAGCACCTGTTATATGCAAGTTATAATTAGGTTTAATGATCTGATCATCATCAAACCCACAAGGCTCCAACGCGTTTAAGCATCGGGATTAAGGAGCGCTGAAGATGAAGATTCATGACCTCATTGGCTCCACCCACAAAATCTCCCCCAATGAACACTGCAGGCACAGTAGGGTTGCAGCCAAGCCTTGAAAGAGCCTGCTCTATCTCTCTTCCTCTCTGCATCTCGTCAAGCTCGTACACTGCTGGGTTCACCCCAAAATCAGAAAACAGGGTCTTGATTGAATGGCACATGCAGCATGAGCTCTTGCTGAAGATCACAACTGGTCTCTCTGAAGCCATCTTGGTCACCACCTCCATTGCTAAGCTAACTAGTAAAATGCAGCACAATGCCCAATTGATCAAAGGTCTGGGATTTGAAGTGAAATGCGTGACAGAAATTTAGAGGAAATTATTAAGAAAAAGGGTGAGGACTCAAGGAGAGCAATGTGAGCTTTGTGAGAATTGAGGTTGTGTGTGGTGAGTTTTTGGGTTGTGGTGGGAGTGTATATATAGGGACATGGTGGTGGGCGAGTCAAGTGGATTGGCATTGCTGGCTTTAGCTATTTTGCTAGAAATTAAAAGGTGATTTTAATTTGATAGTGCACTGCTTGCCAAATCTTGCTTTGATCTTCACTCGACAGCGATCCAATTTGATCGAATCTTTTTGAATACGGAAATATAGAGACGTGTCCTTTGTACGGCTTCACATTCTTATCTTGTCTTTGATGTGCTTATTGCCTAAATATGCACATTGTTTGTATTCTTTTTCTTTTTCTTCTTTCACATTCTTATCCTGATTTGCTTCCTTTATACATTATTATTCCGTCATGCTTATATTTCCGGAGGGATTTTTCTATGCGACAGTAACACTTTATGGCATGCAAAAATATCCACCAAAATTTTCATTTCCGGGTTTATATTCCTGTTTTGTTTTCCAAAGGAACCCGTTTCTGCACTCTGGTTTCTCTGCCCATAGAACTAGAGAAAGCAGAAAGGGCGATACGATAGTTCTTGGAGAATACTCGGTGAGTTGATGATGAACAGCAGCTAGCTATGTGACTCATTTTGCACACTTGTTTTTTTGATCTGCCATATCTATCATCGAGCATCTGCTGAGTTGGAAAAACTAGTTGGTTTTATCCATTTGGGACCTCCTTTTGTATTTGGATTCGCATCCAATTCATGAAAACGAAACAGAAAGCCAAGTGAAAGAGAAACCACAAATGTGCATGAATTATACATAACATGAGTGTTCATACACAACACACATCAAAGTTATAATTGATCAAGAAGCCTAATATATATATATACATATATATTATTTATTTATTGCAAAGATATCATCTATATGTCTCTATGAGCTTACCCAAAAATAATTATATTTATAAAAATAAAAATAAAAAAAAGCTAGAGTAATTATTTAACTAATTTTTTTGACCTAAAATATGGACTTTCTAATGAAATAATAATTAACTAGTTCTAAATCAGTCCCTCTCGCTTTCCATCGATGACAAGTCCCAAATCCAAAAAACATGACGCCGTACGTACAATGATGCTCTGAGGTCCCCAACGTTATCCTCTGTATAGCCTTTTCCATGTCAAATTGATGTAGAGTAAATTAGCTGCCTTTTTATATTCTATATCTGGAAAAACGCCATGTATGAGATTTTCTGTGTCTATTTTCCATGAAATAATATCTACGACTGGACCGCCCACGCATATATAAATAAATATTTTCGAAAGGTCTAGAGAGAGACGATGATCAGTCATCTGTATAAGAATTAGTGATTTCCATCAAATGAAAAGCTCCTTCACTTTCTTTCCGCTTTCCGTCACCATTTCCAATTCGAATATTGGTCATGCAATTGATGGTAACGTCAAAGAATACCTACGTAATAAATATATATTAGTCACTTCCGTCCAAATTTCCGTTAAGGGATCCCTTACAAAGGAGAAGTGAAAAACTCTCACAAAAGGAGAGGTGGAAACTACACAGAGAACCCAAAGAGTCTCTGTGACTTATTCCGAATATAAAGAAACCACAAAAAGAATGATGGTGGAGATCCGACATTGAAACGCATGCGTCTGTGATGGTTGTAGGAAAATCATAATAAAACGCAGACAAATAGGGAAAATGTTTTGTCTTTGAAAATGAGGGGAGAAGATAGGGAGGAAGAGAAGATATTCTTCCTCCCCCTTCAAAGTGAAAATGGCTCTAGGAGGATTTTGGGAGAGAGGGGGTTAGGGTTTGGGCTAGGTATATGCATGTATATACATACATACATATATGTATATAAATAGTATAAATATGTGTATTAGTTCTTTATGCTATATATCATATATATAAATATGTGATTTCAGGGCTTTAAGGAACAATGGCTCAATTGGGAGGCCAAGGGCCGGTTTGTAGCTAAGGTTCGTTGAAAGTACATTACACTGCTCGCTCGCACTTATTAGCTAGAGCATGATGCATACATATACCAACCATCACCATGCATGCATGGCTTCTTAGTTATCATGTCGTATGTATATATGCACGCATGACTTGCATGAACATTATGAAATGCTTGATTTTGTGCTAATTGATTTGGAGTTGGATGACCTAAATTTTAGGTTTTAGACCACATTTTATTAATTTTTCAAAGCATTACATGAGTAATATATGAAACTTATTTGAAGACAAAACACCATGTTAAAAACATAATTGATGGGGTGATGAGTAGCATATGCTTTCGATATCTCATTAATTTCGATAGGTTATAGCATACACATCATAAACATCGCTGTACCATCATCACATATATGTACCATGCATGCATGGAACTATGTGTGTGAGAGAGAGAGAGAGAGAGATAGTGGGGGATGAGGTCCATATATATGCGTGTGTGGGTGGCGTAATAAGTTGAGAAAAGAATGTCAACTTTAAGCACAAAAAAAAACTTATTAAAGATAAAGATGGTATGCGAGGACGGATCGTGGCATCACACAAGTTTGATTTTTATTGTTATTTTAGTAAAAGTGGCACCACACAATTTGATTAGGTTGGTGTGTTTTGAGTTGGTGAGGTACATACAAGCTCTGTACAGATTCTCTCTTGTCTTTATTCCATCTGAGAAAGAAAAAAAGGGCAGGGATGATTTGATTTGATTTAACTTAATTTAATGCATGGCTGGTGATGAGACCCCCCATTCGCCTTTATTATGTATTGCAATTGCATCATGCTTTTGCGGATACGAAACACACAGAATACTTCTCCGTCCAAAATCTTAAAGCAGAGAAAGAAAGAATCAAAATCTCACTCCAACTTTTATATATATATATATATATATATATATATCCAATTCCTTTTTATTAAGGAATCATTCAAATAATTTTATTTGAGGGACGCCTTTTAAGGTACTCTACAATTTTTTTTTCAATGATCCAAATTATCTATTTTTTAGGTCTTCATTCATAGATTATCTTTACAAAAAAATTAGACAAATTGGAAACCGTTTCGACATCCAATTATGTTATACAAAATCAATGAATACGGTGCTTCAAGAAAGTATTAAAATTTCAATAACTCAATTGAGTGGTCAAATGATATTGGATTCAAGTGATTTTTTTGTAAAGATAATCTTTGAATGAGTATCTACAAAATAAACGATTTGGATTAGTAAAATACAATCCGAAGTGGGCCCTACAATGGGTGTCCCTCAAATAAGCATATTTGAGGGATCCTTCAAGGAAAGCTCTCTGTATACATATATGTCATTTCTAATATCAAACAATATGATTATATGATCACTACTTGGCTAGCTTTGCTAAAAGGGACCATAAATTAATCATCAAACCCTTTCATCAATTAATTATTCTGCAAATATATCTTGTATATTAAGATTGGAGGAGAGCATGATTCGTGATGTTCTTGTTGGTGCTGGCATCTTATAGCTAATTAGGTTGGATAGAGGAGGAGGGGGAGTGGGGGGCTTAATTTGTCAATCCTCTCTATGATTCTTTCTATCAGCATTAAACACGTGCACAAGTTTATCAATTTTTATTTATCTCGATGATTTATCGGAACATTTCGAATTATGGAATAAGGCTGGAATATGGTTTTTGTTGGAGTCGAAATTTTCAGGTCCACAAATAAATAATGTTCAGTTCATGTTGAGAAGCATAACGCCATTTTTTTGACGATCAAACTTGATTTGTAAAAATTCATTTTTAGAGTAGTCTATAGAAATCTTGTGACAATCAAACTTGATTTGTAAAAATTCTTTGCAAGTTTGGATATATAGAGTTTTGAAGACTTCAGAAGTAAATACATATGCAAATACTGGTTTTAGTAAAGCCAGAAATCTTAGAGTCAATTGCGCGTCAGTTTTTACCAACTTCTCTTGAGGCAAAGGAGATTTGCAGACTAACCAAGGTCAACCCTTGAGGGTTGTTGATCAGTCAAGTTATAGATAAGGGATAATGAGCATCTCCAACAGTAGTATCAAACCAAACTCTTCAAACTGAAGTTCGTTGATCAAGTGGCAATTTGAAAGGCTTTGTTTGCTATTTTAATAATTTATGCCCCAATAGATTCTTCAATTCAATTAATACAATATTATGGAAAAGAATGAAAAATATGAAAACATGTGAAAAATGTCTATGTATTTATTGTTTGAAAAGAAAAAATGCATGTTTTTAACATTTTCAAGGTGGGTTTTTTTTTCCAAAGTAAAATTAAATGATTTGAAGAGTCAAGGTCAATTTACCAGTCATGAAGAGAGAGAAATAGTTTATAGCCTTGATGACTGAGTTTGACAAGGCTATTGGAGAAAGTTTTGATGATGTGGCTCACCTATTTTAGCATTCCAAAGCTGTTGAAAAGGATGTTAAAGATTTATAATATAATCTACAATCATGGGCTAGCCTAACCATGAACCATGAATGAATAAGGGCTTATAATCGTGGATCAGCATATGGGTCAAGGGGTTTGTGTGAACCCAAACTATTTATACATAATCTTCAAAAGTACATATTAGGTTAAAATTATATATTTTAAGTTACACATATTTTAAAAGTGTAATTGATGATTAAATTCAAAAAGGAAAATTGTCACGCCCAGAAAACTGGGCACGTAATAATGCCACGCCTTATTGACAATGCAATGTTACAATGTTAAAACCATACATCATCATACTACACCCTCAATAGAATGTAAGACATATGGTTAGAAAAACAAAATGTAGCAAATATAATGTGGAAATGAAACATCTGAAAATTTATAAAATACTTTCTAAGCACCAGAAAATAAGCAAGCCTACTTATTTACCCTAGGGTCTCACAAAATTATGTGTTCAAGTTAAAATGTGCTTAGTACTAGCAATGCGCCTCCAACTTACAAAATTATAGGTTTTACAAAAAGGGTATTTAAGAGAGACTCAATTTAACTTATCGTTTAGCTCGTTACGCTTTGTCAATTAGAAGAGCCTCAAGTTGCTTTGCAGGATGTGGTGGTTGAGGACTTGTGTCATGTTCATTAAGTTCCTTCAATAAAATTTTCACATTGCACTCCAAACCTAATGAAGAGACACTTTTTTTGGATTTAATATAAGTGATAGTCTAAAGGTCAGTTTGGGATTGCTATCACTTAAAAAAAAAGTTGCATATGCTCTGCTTTGAAAATAATTAGTTGTAAAGTAAAGCAGCTCCATGTTTAGCAAACAATATTTTTAAAGCGAAGGTGGTGGTTGTGGCAATAGCGGTGGTAGTGAAGGTGGTGGAGTTGGATGTGGATGTGGATGTGGAGGTGGTGTCATTTTTAAAAATTAATGATGGTTTTGGGAATTAAAAAAGAGGGAGCTTCACTAATATACCCAAAATAGGGACTGAAATTATATTAAAAAAAACCCCACATTGAATGCACTTTATAAACACACCCAAAATTCATTTACTACATAAGAAATTGGTGTTGAAGTTCCTATAAATTACATGACTGTCATTAATCAACTTAAAAGAAGCCCAACAAAAAAAAACTTAAATAGCACCCAAAACAAGCTCAGCTCAATTTTATAAAAAAAAACCCAAACAATTCATTACAAACAAAATGTCTTGAAAACCATAGTTTTATTAACGTGTCATATTGATTAATGATTGTAATGTTCCACACCTTTATTGTCATGTTAATTAATGGCTGTAATATTCCAGCCTATGATAATAATACTGCTAGTTTATTGTCATGTTGATTAATGGCTGTAATGTTCCAGTTTAGAGTAATAACACTGCTAGTTCCAATGATATCTTATTTCTAATGCATGTCTACCCATGTAATGTTCCAGTCTAGGGTAATAACACCACTAGTTTCCCATGATATCCTATTTCTAATTCATATTTACCCTTGTAATGTTCCAGTTTAAGGTAGTAACACTGCTAGTTTTCTATGACATCCTATTTCTAATGCATGTCTACTAATGTAATGTTTCAGTATAGGGTAATAACACTGCTATTTTGTAATGTTCTAGTATAAGGTAATAACATTGCTAGTTTACTGTCATATTGATTAATGGCTATAATGTTCCAATCTCGGGTAATAACACTGCTAGTTTACTGTCATGTTGATTAATGGTTGTAATGTTCCAGTCTAGGGTAATAACACTGCTAGTTTCATATGACATCCTATTTCTAATGCATGTCTATCCTGTGTAATGTTCCAGTCTAGGGTAATAACACTATTAGTTTCCTATGACATCCTATTTCTAAGGTAATAACACTACTAGTTTCCTATGACATCCTATTTCTAATGCATGTATACCCATGTAATATTCCAGTCTAGGATAATAACACTGCTAATTTCCTATGATATCCTATTACTAATGCATATCTACCCCTGTAATATTCCAGTCTAAGGTAATAACACTGCTAGTTTACTGTCATGTTGATTAATGTTTGTCTTGTTGCTATTTCTAATACATGTCCATCAAAAAAAGAAGAAAGAACAAACTAGATCAACTCAAAAAAAGCCGAGCCCATATTGTTAATATTATTATGTCATAAAAGGACATTATTAATACTCTGTTATAAAAGTACATTGTTAAACAAAAATGAGATCCATAACTGAAATAGTAACAATGGATAAATCAACCATCAAAGCTTAAAATACATTTCGAAAATCAACTAAAATCGGAAGAGAAACACATAATTGAAGCAAAATATCAAAAATCTCAAGTCCAAACCAAACGACGACGACGACAATAAAGATGATGATGATGACGACAATGACGTGGTGAAAGAGGAGTAGAGCTTGAAGATGAGGAGTAAAGCTAAGAGCATCTGATCGATGTTCGTTCAAGGTTCCAAACAATCTGGAAAAAAAAAATCAATATAAGCACAATTTCAGAATAAGAAATCGAAGGTGAAATATTGAAAATTGTATATGAGAGATGAAGAATATAGCTAGACTTGAGATTGAGCTTCAATGGAAACTCATCTTGCTCCAACATCGATAAAACACCAGCAAGAAAGGAGAAAATAAAATCTGATTTGGTTTTTTTGGCAGATCTGGATAGATCTGGGCAGATTTGATTTTTCTCTCTCAAATCCATAGTACAAGGGCAATATAGGTATTTTACACACACGAATAAACTAAAAAATGGCTATTTAATTTTATAAAAAATTGACAGCTGCGATTTTTGGGTTTTTTTTTTTGGAGTGTTTATAGTTTTTAAATGGTATAGGGTTTCTTTACAAGACCATGTCTAAGATTGGGTATATAACTAAATTTGTATTAAAAAAATTCATTAAAGGCTCATATGCTTTTTTTGAAAGGCCACTACTTTCAAAATAATCAGGATATTTTAGTTTTGCCAAACACCTTAAACAACTTTAAAGTGAAGCAAGTTTTTTTGCCAAAAAAAAATCCCAAACAGAGCCTAAACCAAATGGTCTACAACATAATACCCTTTTTCACTTGATTAGACCCCTTGACAAGAGACACCATATTTTTAGGCAATGTGATGCAGTGATTTATGTGTTAGTTAAACATCAATCATAATAGATGATGGAATAAATACACATCAACTTGCGTCTTAAAATTTTTGCTTTTTTAGTTACAAAGAAATTCTTGTTCAGTGAACGGAGACACACAACAGAGAGAAGTGGCAAGCCCTCATCCATCTCTCTCACTACTTTTTAAGTTCTCTCTTGAATTGGGATTTGATATTCTATATATGCAAACATCATCTCATCTCATGCTCATCTAGAGATTTCCCGACTTCTACGAAGAATGAATTGTACAAAAATGCTCAAAAAGCCATGCGTGCATCACAGCATCATCGTCTTTGTGTGATGCAACTATTCGTGCAAGTCTTCATCCAACACTTACAATATCCTCCTCCTCCCACGTTATCAGCACCAGTTATATCCAAAGTTGACATTCGCCGTCATGCACATACAGTCCCCTCTCAAAGTTGTAACAAGGGTATTTACGTCCATAAAAAAGCCAATGCCCCATATGTTTTTTTATTTTTTTATTATTATTATTTTGATCTCTCTCTTATTAAACCCACTTTCGGCCACGTTGGGCTTATCTTTATGGTATCTTAGATTCTTGGCACAACTGGAGGTAAATGAGCTAGTGTAGTACGCCACACAAGTTCCTTTCATGTCAAGGGTAGTTTGGGCATCAATCCAAATATCTAAACGAACCTCCCCTTTTCTCCTTTCGATTAAAAAAAAATGCATATAATATAATATGTCATCTCTAGAACTTTCTCCCATACGGCTTACCCTATATATACATGCTCACAAGAGATCCAATTCCATCAACGCCAAACCAATCCACTTCTACTACCCTACATTTGCTCCATTTTCCACAATTTTCCCACACATTCCCATCTAATTTTCTTGGCTTCCAAACAAAAACCCATCTCAGCCATCCTTAAAAACTACATTTCACTTTTTGGGTACATTTTATTTTCTTCAAATGGATCGGGTAGCAAAGTTGGCGTCACAAAAGGCAGTGGTGATTTTCAGCAAGAGCTCATGCTGCATGTCCCATGCAATCAAGAGACTGTTCTATGAACAAGGGGTGAGCCCTGCAATCTATGAGCTCGATGAAGAATCAAGAGGGAAGGAGATGGAGTGGGCTTTGGTGAGGCTAGGGTGCCAGCCCTCAGTGCCAGCTGTCTTCATCGGAGGCAAATTCGTCGGCTCGGCCAACGCAGTCATGACCCTTCATCTCAATGGCTCTCTAAAGAAGTTGCTAAAAGATGCTGGGGCATTATGGCTTTAGAAACCCTAAATGGAGCATATTATGCAGTAATCTTTGTGTGTCCCAAATAATTAAGGGTAACTCGTCACTTATATTTTCCTTTTATCTTTCTCTTACATCCAGCGGCTTAAAGTACATTTTGTATGGAAAAATAATATATAGAGAGTACAACTTGTATAACTACATTACTTTCTCAAGTGCAGTACTATTAAATAGAGAACTATAATATTGTATGATTAGTTACCTACTCATTTCCGTTTTTAAGTTATAAGTATCTCACTAACTAGTTCTCAGTTTTCAAGTTATAAGTACCCTTAAAAGAGGTATATAACTATTAAATGTTAACAATTTTATGCTTTTGAAGTTGTAGATTAATTATTGATGACAGAATATAGTGCTAAGACGTGACGAGGGTTTCCTAAGGCCGATATTAAAATCTTCGTAAAAATTTTGTGTGCACTGATCATATGCAGCATTTCTCTCACAACATGAACACATACAAGTAACGATAGATCTTGAAAGAAACTTATCGTACAAAAATGCTTCAAATTGATACTCAAGTAGTGATCTATAATTAATTAACTTAGAAAAGTAGTAAATGGAAAACAAAACAAAAAAAGATGATTAGCAGTGACCACACTATATATAAAGCTAGGATGCTTATTTCTAAGTAAACAAAAACATACGCAAGTGCCATATAAAAAGGATTAATCGAATGAGATAGAGCTGAAGATTCTGAGTTGCTTAAATTTGCATCACGTACCCTTTGGAATAAACTCTGAAATTCTGCAACAAATATTACGTGGTGACAATATACACACAAAAAGGGATCGAATTTTGCAATGTCTTTTCAACGAAATGGATATATTCTTTGATGGCTAAATGAGCTAAATTAGAAATTGGATCAAATTTATTGGAGCTATATATATACATATTCTAGTTAGTGTTGTTCCATCACGCATGGCCTTTCGATTCTGGTGTCGTGTGGTTGATCCGGACAGCCTCAAAGTTTAAATAAATAAAAACACACCTGCATGCCATGCCATGCCATCAAAATATTATTCCAATCATCATCATGATCATTTGGTATTCTTATGGTGTGTTAGAGTAGAATCTATGATCAAGTTAGAGATAGATAATATAGAAGTGAGAAATGAAGGCCCGTTTGATAACTATTTCAATTTTAGTTTTTATTTTTTATTTTTTATTTTTTGTGCTAAAGTATAGAGGAGAATATGGGAGAATTGAAGTGAGAATGAAAGTGGAGAAAGGATTGAGAGGGAAGATGAGAGGGGAGGATGGGAGAGGGAAGAGTAACAAAAGTGAAAACATAAATTTAAATCTGAAATCTATTTGAAATTATTTTATGATGTAGAACATATGGCAGAAGCAACTGTAGAGGAGTTGGAGCGACGCGCGCGCAAGGAAAAATCGGATAAACTGCAGATTTGGACTCCGATCTCAGAATCGGGCCCATGACTGGTCAATTTAAAGAGAACGGCGTCACGAGTAAAACTCATTGCTTTGCCATGATGTATGAACTTTTTTGGGCATCTGCTCGAAATCCAATTTTGAAATTTTTACAGTTTGTGGAAACTTTGTTATTTTTCTATTTTAATTCCTTTATTATTCCTAGAGTTTCTAGGAGTATTTAAACTTACTTTACCCGTGTTTATGATTATATTTTGTTATTCCAATTTTATCAATAAATCTTGAGGTCCCCTCATATCTTCCTGGTTATGTAGCACGGACACTCCATCAGGCTTATGTGTTTGGGTGTCGGACATGACTTGAACACGGGTCAACGGTCAAGACACATTTTGGACATGGTCAACTGAAGTCAAAGCACAGCATGGACCATTTTGAAAATTAAAAACAAAAATTGGGGCCAAAACATAATTATTGAAAACTATGTGTACATATTTAAAATAGTATTAAAAAGTGGGCTACAAATGTCAACAATTTTTTTTTAAAATATATTTTTTTTCTTTGTTCCTTCATAGCAGAGCTGATATTTTTGGTTGACTAAGGATATTGATAGCAAGTCGTGAGAGAAGCATATTTTTTAGTGGGTAATTCATTCACTTTGTTTTCATTTTTTATTTTTATGCAAACTAGATTCTTATTTTATGAAGTGGGATATCGTTTTTCTTATTTTGAAGATGATAGATCATATACGAAAAATGTGTAAAATTTGGTTTATGATGAATCATGAATATGTGAATAAATGTGTATCATTCTTTATTTTGTTTAGGAGGGAAAGATGAGTAATGCTAAGTTAACTCAAATGAGTATGAATTTGTTTTATGGTATTATGACATTGAAGTATTAAGTATGAATTTTTTTTTCAAATATATATATAGGGCGCTTCTCCATTGCGAACTCCCACAATGCGGATTTGTTACGAAGTTGAATTTTTGACCGTGCGATTGATTTGAACGGCTCACATCTATTCTTCCTCTTCCTGAGTTCACTCCTCTCTCCTCTCTCCTCTTTCTTTTTTTATTCTTCTTTTTTCTTTCCTTTCCTTCTCTCTTCTCTCTCCCCTCTCCCTTTCCTTCTCTCTTTTTTCCTTCTTTCTCTCCTCCAGTTTTCTTCTCTCTTGTCATCTGGCAATTTTTTTTTCTTCTTCTCTCTTCTGGCTAGTTGGCTCTTTTTTTTCCTTTATCTCCAGCAACACTAATTGTCACAGACCCATTTGCTCCCTCATCCCCTCTGTTTTTTGGTCAATCTAGCTGCTGTGAGTGAATCAAAAAGGGCAGAATTTGAGATTGCTTCCTTGATATCTAGAGTAAATATAGTGGTCTGCATGTAGGAAAGAATATGAGATTGCTTCCTTGATTTCTGTTGATGGCAGAATTATAGGAGAGGACTTCGTGGTATTCTTTTTATTCCGGGACTTCTCTCTTCAGATAGCAATAGCAAAAATTAGTGTTGCTGGTGATAAAGGAAAAAAAAGAGCCAACTAGCCAGAAGAGAGAAGAAGAAAAAAAAATCGCCAGATGACAAGAGAGAAGAAAACTGGAGGAGAGAAAGAAGGAAAAAAGAGAGAAGGAAAGGGAGAGGGGAGAGAGGAGAGAAGGAAAGGAAAGAAAAAAGAAGAATAAAAAAAGAAAGAGGAGAGAGGAGAGAGGAGTGAACTCAGGAAGAGGAAGAATAGATGTGAGCCGTTCAAATCAATCGCACGGTCAAAAATTCAACTTCGTAACAAATCCGCATTGTGGGAGTTCGCAATGGAGAAGCGCCCTATATATATATATATATATATATATGTAAAAGTATATACTATTATAATTTTATTAGGATTTATTATTATTTTAATTATCGTGTTCTAGTCGTGTCCATGTGTTTTAGTTTTTTGAGATTTTCCATATTGTTGTGTCGCGTTTCCTTGTCCTCGTGTTCATGTCCATGTCCGTATCACTTTTGTTACTTCTCCCTCCCATCCTCCCCTCTCATCCTCTCTCTCAATCTCATCCTCACTCCCATTCTCACTCTCATTTTCCTTTATACTACTAAAAACTAAAATTGAAATGGTTATCAAACGAGCCCGAAAATTATAACAATTTTAAAACAAAGATACCATTTGTGATTATAAATTTGGAGCTATGATACTATGTTAAATATATACATATAAACTATTAAAGAATGAGCTAGGAATGTCATATTTAATTGTTGTACTTAATAGTCGCCTAGAGCTAGGGCATGACACATTTGCTGAAGTATCCAAATTATTGTACGTAGCAGCATATATATATGCTCCCAATCCCAAAACTCCTTCACAATTTTGTGTATATTTCAATTATGGAGCTAGGGCTCAGTTGGGACTGCTTCTCTAGGAAGCAATTTTGCTCATAAGCACTTTTGTTATAAAGTATTGAAATTTTCATAAGAAATCCAAGTACTTCTTGGAAAAGCACTTGGGAGTGCTTTCTGAAGAAATACATAACAGGTGCTTCTCCAGAATGCGTTTCTATGACCCATAAGCACTTTTAAATTTTTTTGCCAAATGCTATCAAAAGTGCTTTTGGTTATCAAAAAATGCTTTTACTCCTCCCATAAGCACTTCCAAGCGGAGCTAGCTTTCATTTCTTGGGGGCCCAATAATATAGATTTATTATTTTTCAAGGGCCGACAACATAGATTTTTCAATATTTTGCAACAATTACATAAATTTAATACACATTTGACATGAAATGTTAGAATTTTCGGAGGGGGGCACGACCTCATACCGAAGTGTGGCTCCCCCGTGCTTAGTGCTTAGTGTTGTGGTGTATTTAGTATGATCATGATCCTAGTAATTTTCATCACTTTCTTAATTTGTTGTCCAAACTCCAGCATGATCGATCTCATCAACCTATTATGTATTATAATCTATTTGATTTAGGGCAAAACTGGATGTAATGCACAGATGATATATACTTCTGATGTTTTAGGTTTATTGATGTTGTAATGAAGATTCATTTGACCACAAACTTGGACGGGGAGGAGGGGAAATGACCTAATTAAGCACAAAATAAGTGGCTCAATAATTCAATTCAACCATCAAATGCTAATATGAACTTCTAAGGCTGCAATTAGATGTTTTGCCTACAAAACCACTCAGCCAACCTGAAATTCCAACCTGGGAAAAAAAAGATACTTCACCTTTATTATATATGCGGCACTTTGTAGCTCCATTTTGGAAAAGCTAGCTAGATAGGCAATATATTCACCTTGTCTATATTGTGTGTTGGAATTGATTCCACGTTATCTTATAATATGCCAAAAATTAAAAATCACAGAGCATGAAAAAAAAAGGTACATATATTAATTAATGGGCTCACCGCCAGTATTTTATGTCAACAAGGTCTAGTCTAATGAAAATAGACCTTGATTTGCATACTAAATATTTCAGGTTCGAACTCCTATGGTATCTTAGTTTTGTGTGTGTGATAAACCCCCCATCTTCTATGGTTTAGACTATCATTTGTACCCAAATAAAAATGTTGTGCTTACAAAACCATATATAATGTTGAAACTTGTGGCAACTTTTTCAAAAAGAGGCTTGGGCTTACGATGAGGCTCGGGTTCAATATGAGCCCCACAATATATTCAAGAGCTACATCATTGGGCTTTTCCCTCAAGACTTAGTCAATGACAACTAAAGTTCTAATTATGTATATGTAGCTATATAGCTTTATGTTTTTTTTTCTTTATTCAATGGAAGGGAATGAACTTTTGACCTAGTTTAATCCAGTTAAGATCTTTATAGTGAGAGGAAGTTGAGTTTGGACTGCCCGTTTAAGGAAAAGTTTACTCGTTTAAGTAAAAATTTACTCATTTAAGTTGACAATGAATAACATAACATGTTAGACTATTTGACAAGAAAATATTCTTATATAGTTGTAACTTGTATATAAAGAATCCGTATGAAATTAAAGATGATGTAGGATGTTTTCATTGGTGGCATTGGTTGCTTCGTCCCTAATTCAATGTTAGCTTTATTCAGCGAAAAAAGCTAGAAGGGAAAGGAAAGCTAGCAACCCAACGATCATATTAGGCATATTCTACCAGACAAAACTTATCTTGCTTTTCATGTCATCCATCTGAAGTTCAATGCATATTCAAGAACTTAAAAAGGTACTTGATATCGTGTAAAAGAAAGTAAAAGATGATTAGAAGGGCCATTAAGATCAATTCTTCATGTGGACAGGCCAGTGTTAATTTGAAAAGACATACATTCCCAACTTTGAGTGATTCAAAAGCTTTTACCAATCTACTATTAATAATAGATTAGCTGATTTAATCATGCATTAAACCACACCAGCAAAGACATATGGTAGCTTAATTATGTAGCCAAATAAAAATAAATAAAAATTCTCCTTTGCACAATTGTACAAATAAATTAGTGAAGATTCCCATATCACATCTTCTTTTCCAGTCACTTAGTATAGATTTTCCCAAGGCTTAACAAATTAAATTAATTGGGCATTAAGCATCTAAAGCTATGCATAATGCCTTGATATTCATTCATATAGATGACGGGAAAACCTATATAAGTGTGCTGGCTTTTTATTGTCATTGTGCTACACATTTTTATCCTCCAATTAAAGGGATTTTTTTTTCATTCACATAGAATTAGTATTGGCTTTTGTTTTGTTTTGTTTTGTTTTTCCTTTTTTTCTTCACATGGATGTCTTAGATGCTTAGGGAGTGGAGAATGATTAGGTATGCGAGGTAAAGAATTTAACGTATATATTATGGTTAGGTATGAGCACAATTTCTGACCATAGATGCATGTGAAACTAACAACACATTAATGGATCAAATTTGTGTCCGTAAACAATTGAGGGTAGCAAAATTCAAATATTTTAATGGTAAGAAGCCTAGAAAGCCCTAGATTGGTAGGTGCTATTTATGTTGAAGCAATCGTGTAATGTTTTTGACATTGGCACTTTGATTGTGTAAGTTGGGTGGTCAACTGAGGTTATTGGTTATTACTGGACATGAGCACATGCAATTTGGTGCGTCCCTGCGAAGTCTGCAGGAGCCAAAAGCCTCACAGCCGTAGGAAGTGCCCAATAGACTCAGCTTTTAGCTAACATTGTGCCTATGGCTATGGATATGGGGTGCATCTTGGGTTGGGTTGGGTTGGGTTGGTTTGGGTGGGATATAATCATCTTAAGTTGAAGTTTCAAGTGGAGCGCATATTCTAGAAATGCGCCCATTCTCTCGTGGCTCATGGGCATTGCTAAAAGCTCAAAATTGAGCTAGTGCTTTAGCCTAATTGTTTTAGGTTAAATTATATAATTAATGCTAACGAGTTCTAATCCAATGGAAAATGGTATTGACTTAAAGACCAATGGTCTCAAGTTCGAACCCTCCCATAGCACCTTGGTAATATGTGTATAAGAAATCTCTTTCCCTCTTATAGTTTAGATTATCGCTTGTATTAAAAAATATATATATATATTAATATGCATTTCTTCATGTGCAATTTATATTCTATGTTAATATATAAAAAGAGATGCAAGATGCTTGTAGCTCAAGTAGTTAAGAGCACTTATCTTTGCATTCGAGGTCCTAGGTTCAATTTCCTCTTCTTCCGTTATCACTTTGTGTGTGTGTGTGTATATATATCAGTAATATTAGAGGCACCAATTTTTATACCAACTGATATGGCATACATATGACATGGTTGATGATCTTAGAACTCCAAACCTGAGACTCAGATATGGTTTTCCTACATACTAGTTTCGTTATGTCCATTTAGTTTTCTTATTATGAAGTTTATTTGGATTGGTGAATCTGTATTATTGCTCTTTCTTCTTTGCACTCCAAAAGATACAAAGAAGATATGTCATGGCTCGAGACATCGTAAAAAAAAATTAAAGAAAAAAACTAATGTTATGGATTACATAGATGAGTATATCCCTTGCATCGGATTTTTTTATCATTTATTTTTATGTAAGGTAATCTGATGTTGTTCAAAAAAATGGAGTTTGTTTTTCCTAAATTTTTCTGCAAAAGTTGTGCGATTATGGTGACAGTACTATGAAGGAGGTTATGGAGGAGCTATAGAGTGGCAATGGAGGGTGTTCTTAGGTCGTGGCTGCATTCAATGGATGAAAGATGTCTATTGAAGATACAAACATATAAAAGTTATATAAATTAACCAAATAAAATAAGATAAACAAAATGAAGGATGTAGCACATGACTTGGATTGTCATGTCATACGCTAATTAAGTCAGTTGATAACAAAAAGTTGGTATAAGAGTTGATGTCCATAGCATTACCGGTATATATACAAAAATTCTCCGATATAGACATCTGGACATTATTATCATGTGAACGCTATGTATTTTGTACTATCCATCCCCGCTTTCTTGTTTGTTTACAATAGCATCTGCATAATAATAACGTGCAGACATCCAAATAAAAGAATATATATATATATATATATATATAAGAAATGAGAAGATAATGACTCTTTTTTGATGAGAAGATAATGACTCTTTTTAAAGTGTTAATAACGACTCCCTTTAATTTAAATGGTAAGAAGTTGAAATTTTTTCAGCCCTTAGACCAAGTCTCTCCTTTTCTTTTTACTGCAGTTTGAATTCATTAACACCCCTATTTGTGAAGTGTGAACTCATACTTCACCTTCTCTTGACAAGGTTTTCTTTTTAATATTAATTTTTAGTCAGAGGAATTGGGTTTGTGGTAGGGATGTTAGGCAGTAGTTGTTGGTTTATTTGACTAGAAAATATATAAATATAAAATAACAAGCAACTTGTACAATCCTATTGGGCCATTTCAATTCACAACACACTCTAGAGACTTCCATTGGGCTTGGGTTCACCTCCACAACAACAAAAATATTTCATTTTTTATATATTTTTTTTGTAGTTTCTTACCGCACAATGTATAAAATATAAAATTTTGTACTGGTAATAGTTTTTTTAATTTTTTTTAAAATTTGTCAGAAGTGTGTACTGTGCTACTCTGATCTCCCCACAAGGTTGGATCAGGCACCATGACGTCATACCTTTTATCCAAGCCACCCACTCATCTTTCCATCCAACGGGTCGCAGCCCAATACCACGCATAACAAAATACTCCCTATCGCACCCGATCATCACTCTTCCTTACAAAACACAAAGTCTGAATGTAGTTTTAAGACATGTGTTAAGAATGTCCATCACAAGTGTGTGGAAGCACATCTCCTTGGGAGGCGGGCCCCACTTTTCCGACCGTGATGATGATTATTAGTATTGGTATTAACCCTTGCTTTGGCTGTAATATTTTGACATTCCGAGGGGTAAAAAAAAAGGCAAAACCGAAAAAGCATTTTCTTATTTATTTATTTTCCTTGTTGGTGGCATAAAGCATCTTCTTATTATTCCAAGAGATTACATTACGTATGAGGATTTAGCTCTTAATGACAACGTAAATCCATAGTTAAATTCGAAGTTAATTCCCAAGGACTCTTATTATTATTTTAATTATTGTGGGTTTGCTTATTTCACATATTTGTTTATTTTTTGTTACTTTATTTTATTTTTTGGGGGCTTCTTTTTCTTTAGTCTTTACCTTCTCTTATTACACACCACATCAGTTTTCTTCGATTTGTTGATCTGCTTCTCGGACATGTTGGTCTCGATCTTTCTCTTAAATGGCCACTGGGGATCCTAGAGAGAGAGAGGGAGGGTGAGACAGAGAGACAAAGAGACAGAGTGGGTGAATTTGAATTTTGATTGGAATTGTGATATGGGGTTGTGTGTATGGAGAAGAAGGTAGGTAATGACTGATGAATGATTGTGAAAAGTTTTGAGCTTTGTGGGGCTTTGTTGGGTGGCTTTGATTTGCTTGGACTTTGATATGGGTGGGTGCTTTCCTTGTTTTGGATCATCCAACAAGGAGGGTAGTGGTGTAAAGGAAGTGACCAAGAAGGACTCAGTTAAAGAAGGCTCAGCTGCTCAGTCTCACCATGTTACAAGAGTTAGCTCAGGTGAATTTTCTTTCTGCAATTTTTTTCACAACTGTTTCTGGGTTTTCTTTAGTTTTGGTTAGTCTGATTACTGGTTTCTTATGGTTGTGCTGAATTTTGTAAATTTATGGTGTTTTTGGAAGTCTTCTGATGGTGGGTTTCTGGTGGAATTTTTTATTATGTTGATCTGATGCGTCTGTGGTGGTGGTCGGTGTTTTTTTTTGGGTTGGTTTTCTAATTGGGGTTTTCATGCTTTCTCTGTTAGAGTGATTCCTTGTTTGTGGATTTTCTTGTTTGTGTTGTTTGGACTGTAACTTGATGGAGTTGCAAATGGATCATTCCTGGAGATCTGCAATTAATTTCTGAAGTATCAAGCATTTTGCTTTCTTTTGATGACGTTTCTGTTCATTCTTGAACTGCCAAATGTATGAGAAAAAGTTTCTAATAAGTGAGGGGAAAGCTTTAATGGAACAACCAAAATTTAAAACAGAAAACTTTTTTCTTTTCAGATGCTGTGCACCTCTGTATACAATTTAGAATCTATATTAGTTGAAATGTTTAAGCTTTAAATTAACATGGTCGTTGGAATCACTACCATGGCAATTTCTGTGTGCAATACAGACTACAGTACTGGTTTGGATTACTTGTCCAGCACAGGACATCCAACAAATGTGTGTTATGCGATATTATAGTGGACATATTGGAGTAATCATCATTTTCAATGATTTGATTGTACTATGTTTGCTTGTATATTTTGCATTTAGAAAACATAAAGGCCATTACCATCTCACTTCTTGTTTTCTTTTTCCCATTTTTACAAACGTCCATTAGGCTACTGAATATTTTCAAGAAATTCAGGGAAGATGTTATGTTGGATCTATGTATTTTAGTTTCATTGTTAACCAAAACACCTTTTTAACATCTTTGTTCCTTTTGCATAATTTTTGCAGACAAAAAATCTCGAAATGGTTCTGATCATAAGAAAGAACCAGCTATTCCAAAAGATGGACCTACGGCACACATTGCTGCACAGACATTTACTTTCCGGGAGCTCGCAGCTGCAACAAAGAATTTTAGGCCAGAATGTTTATTGGGCGAAGGTGGTTTTGGACGTGTCTACAAAGGTCGATTGGAGAGTACAGGACAGGTAGGTTGATTGGTTGAAAATGAAATGAGAATCATCATCAAAGCATGTTTTGAGTGTTTGCCTCTGAGTCATTTATCCTATCTGTAAGATTTAGGATCTTATTCAGCATATTCCACATCGTTCTACATTTTGCTTTTCCAAAGATTATATGCACTTATGCAGAACTCAATTGTTGAGTCTCCATCTACTCCATGATGGATCTCTTTACTTTGGAATAATTTGTTTCCAGGTAGTCGCCGTGAAACAACTTGACAGGAATGGCCTTCAAGGAAATCGAGAATTTTTGGTGGAGGTTCTTATGCTTAGCCTTCTGCACCACCCAAACCTTGTCAACTTGATTGGCTATTGTGCTGATGGGGATCAACGCCTCCTTGTTTATGAGTTTATGCCTTTGGGATCCTTGGAAGATCATTTACACGGTCAGATTGAATTTCTTTTATTCCCATAGAAAAGATAGAGACTTTTACTTTATTTAATGGCGATGCACCTTATACAATGTACACGTTAAATACATATTCTGGATAACTAGTTCTTCATGTGTAAGTCCTAAAATGTTAGTTCCTTTACGTGATCTTTTGAATTTGCAATAAGCTTTTAGGGATTGCTTTTATGACAACATTTCTCACATGTAACATGAGTTAATCAGGGGTTCAGCAAAAGCTTTGCGCATAGTAGTGAAAACTCAGTTGTTTCCATTAGAATATATGAAGTATGTACATACTTTGTGTTGTGTCATCATGTTTTGTGTATGGTATGTGACTGTTTGATGGCTGTCTTAAAAAATGTAAGAGCTATTGTGGCCTGTGAATTGAGTTATTTTATGGGGGTTTGCAGTCAAAAGTACTAATTAGTTGACATCACCGAAGTAATGTTGCATTAGTCAATAAAATAAATGCCTGTCAGGCATTATCTAGGAGTTCCTAACAAAAATTATCTGGGGGCTGAAGCTTTTTAAGGTATACAATGTCAAGAAGTTCTATTACGTGAGTTAAGTATTATGCAAATAGGTTACCATCACTGAAGGAGATGGGAGTGCTGATGATTAAATTCACTTAATTAGTGATAGTGGATGGTTTTTAGCTTTCGCCAAGTCAAAAAAAAAGAAAAAAGAATCATGACATGGTGAACTATTGATTAACGGTTTCTGCTATTTCCTTGATCATCATACAGTGTCTTACCCGACTCTCTTATGTTTATCATTAGTGAGATTGGATGTCCTTCCTACGGGGAAAATGTAATCAAAGTTTATTGGGGAATTCCAATTTAGAAAAAACTAGTGATGACCAATGATTGTTTGAGAAGACGTGGAAAATCTTCACTATTACAAGTTCTTAAATCTAGCTGCCTAGCTACCCTTTGGCCTATGATTGTATGGCTCTTATTTGGTTCATTATGTTCATGGGACATTGTGTTGTTTCTGTTGTAGTTCTAGGTTTGGTTTGCGTAGTCGAAATTCCAAATTTCATCTTTTTCATATTTGTCAATCCATGTACTGTTTAAATTGGGGATACTAGAATATTAGGAAAGGCCTTACTTGAATGTACATTGGGACTATGGTCCTAAGAAAAGCAGTACTGAGATGTACACAGGATATGTACAGAAGCCCTTTATGTAAAGCTGACATCGTATTGATGTTGATTCCAATTTAGAGGATGCTGTTAATCTAGTCACCACTTTGTCGTAGAAGAAAGAAGGGGAGGAATCTTCACTGTATATTTAATCTAGTCACCACTTTGTCGGGCCATGAGATAGGGGTGAGGGGGAAAAGATCTAAATAGTATGGAGAGGTGATTAGATTCAAGTTCAAGGCAAAGGGCCCTCAAATTAGTATTGGAACAGGAAAATAAAGTTTGAAAAGAACCTGAATGAAGCTAAGCTGAAAAAGGGGTTTGGCAATTCCCAAGTTGTTAGAATCAAGGCTTTAACTCAATTTATCTATCTCCAAAGATGTGTATTGCTTCCCTAATAAAGTCTTGTGTGGGTCAACTACCCATACCTGGGTTCAAGTTTACCAAGGATCTCTAGGAAACCTTTCTCAGTGCTAACAAGTGAACAACTAAACACTGCTCGGTGAAAGAAATACTTTATTAACCGGAAAATGTAAACATGAGAGTAAATAATATCAACAGAATTCTCTAGATGAGTAATTTGATGGTTACTGGCCTTTTCTGCAAACATCATGATTTTGCCATATCTAGTATACGAAATGAAGAATACAAGTCAATGATCACATGGAAGAATGCCCACACATGCCTACATTTCATATATGTATAGAGCACTTCATGGACAAGTGATGTCAATGTCATTCCTTGAATACATAGAGATCTAAGTCATAATTACTTAATTTAATGTACTGAGAAGCATCTTTAATTATTTTGCTTAATCACATCACCAAAACTTCAAGATTGTAATTTCGAAAATGCTTAAGAGCCTAATTTTAAAATTTTGCAGTATGATTATCTGTATTTTCCTTGAGCAACTTATTATACCCTCAAATCTCTTAGTTACTCAAGTAAAAGTCTGAAGTTTGTGTTGTGTGCGTATAATTTCTGTAAATTACCCAGATTGCTTTTCTTTTACTGTTTTCAGATTTTCCGTCGGACAAGGAACCCCTGGACTGGAATACAAGAATGAAGATTGCAGCTGGTGCAGCTAAGGGGTTGGAGTATTTGCATGATAAAGCAAACCCTCCCGTCATATACAGAGACTTGAAATCATCCAACATCCTTCTTGATGAGGGCTTTCACCCGAAGTTATCTGATTTTGGGCTTGCAAAACTAGGTCCTGTTGGTGACAAGACACATGTCTCCACGCGTGTGATGGGGACATATGGCTACTGTGCTCCAGAATATGCTATGACTGGCCAACTCACTTTGAAGTCTGATGTCTACAGTTTTGGAGTGGTCTTCCTCGAACTTATTACAGGGAGAAAAGCCATTGATAATACTAGAGGTCATGGAGAGCATAATCTTGTTGCATGGGTAAGTATTCATTTATCATTTGAGAATTTTTTGCGTCGTCAGCATTTATCTAGTTAACTTTTCATGGATTCACTTGAAGCAAAGGTTTCCCTTTTTTTGTTTGTCTTTCCATTTTTTGGCTCTTTGGTTTGCAGGCACGGCCACTTTTCAAGGATCGGAGGAAGTTCCCAAAAATGGCTGATCCACTATTGCAAGGCCGTTACCCAATGCGAGGGCTTTACCAAGCTCTTGCTGTTGCAGCCATGTGTTTGCAGGAACAAGCGGCTACAAGGCCTCTAATAGGGGATGTTGTGACGGCTCTCACATACTTAGCCTCTCAAACATATGATCCGAACTCAGCCAGTGGTCATAGTAACAGAGTTGGTCCATCTACTCCTAGGCACAAGGACGAACGAAGGAACATGGCAGATGGACTGGATAGCCCAGATGAACCTGGACGTGGTGGGCGGCATGGTTCCCCTTCTACGCATAAAAACTCACCTGATTACAGAAGGAGAGATACTGGCGTAGAATTAGGGAGGATTGAAACTGGCACAGGGTCTGGGAGAAGGTGGGGTTTAGATGGGTTAGAGCGACAAGAGTCTCAGAGAGACAGTCCAGTGAGTGCTGGGAGAGCAAGGGAAAATCCAAGAAATCGTGATCTAGATAGAGAACGTGCAGTGGCTGAGGCAAAGGTTTGGGGTGAAAATTGGAGAGAAAAGAAGCGAGCAAATGCAATGGGTAGCTTTGATGGTACAAATGAGTAAATGCACCAACATGCCAAGCAAATTTTTCATTCACCTTCTGAGGGAAAAAAGAAAAGAAAAAATGTTGTTAGGTTCTGGGGCTCATTGTTGATGAAAGAGAAATTGCGAGAGGTAGATCATCCTCTACGATCTTGGTTTCCATCTTCACCAAGGGAATAAGTGTCCTTTCATCGTCCAGCTTTGGCTATTGTTTGCTTGTCATATGTCATTCTTGTAGTTGAGTATGGAAACTGAATGCTTGGGTATTGTGGTAAAAGAAAAACAGTAAGAGAAAGGGAGGTATTGGAGGAAGGGGGTAGATTCACGATTTCGGGGGATTTACTGGTGTAGCCCCACAGCGGAATGGTTGTATGGAACATATTCATCTTTGTATTTATGTTCTGATGCTCATATTACAGGGAGAGTCAGGACGATGTGTAATTTTTGCCCCATATATTAGCCTGTTGTAAGTGGGGGAATTAGTGGGTTTGGTTTGGATGTTGTTACATCTTTGTACTCATACAATCTCATGTATGGATTTCTGAGTCATGTTTTCGGCCTATACAGAAACGTTTGATCCGATTGTTCTCCATGTAAATTTCTCTCCTTATCAAAGCTATTTTCCAAATGTTTTGAAGTCTTCAATGTTCAAGTGCAAAAAAGAACAAAAAAATCATATTGCAAAATATTGGCTTTCATACTATGTGAAGCTACATCCATTCATCATTCTCTTCTTTATGTCACGACATTCGTTCGTTCAGCCTAAACCCTGTGTATCGATAATGTGTCGAAATATTTTTTTTATTGGCATATTATCGACAATGATATTGGCACTTTATATATTTTTTTATTGGCATATTATCGACAATGATATTGTCACTTTATTATTGGCATATTATCGAGAATGATATTGGCACTTTATTAGTATCAATCTGCCACATCTGTATAAGAAGAATTGATTTTTTTTATTTTTTATTTTGCCAAAGTTTGGAAAGGAAAAGGGATTTCTCACACATAGGAGTTCGAATCCAAAACCACTGATCTACGTGTTATTGCCCTTTTTATTGAACTAGACCCTATTAGGGTAGGAAGAATTGATTTATAGATGGTACATTTACAACCTCAATGATAAGACAATTGAAGTTGAGCATCCATAAAGCCTAGGGCACAAGAAAAATACGGGAAATGGCGTGCAGGTGGACAACAGAATTGCAACCACTCGTACAGCCTAAATGCCAACCACCAGGCAAACAAGATATCTACTCCCCAGTAGCTAATAATTCATAACACGACATGAAACCAATGAAAGCCAATCTGCATGTCATTTTACCGCAATAAATGACGTTACAAAGTACCATAACTGGGCCCACGCTAAAAGAAAATTTAATATAAAATAAATAAACAAATCCTCGGGCTACTTTTGATGAGACTTTCGAAGATGCTTCTACAATTTCACCTCAGTTGGGTAACAGCTACTACTTCTTCCCAATAAAACAAACACGGCTACTACTTGCTCACAAATGGGACAAAAGTTACTTCTTATTTACTTTCTACCCTCTGCTGGAAAATATTTACTGCAAGTACATATTGGAATGTATTTCAAGCTCCAATTTGCTCAAAAGTATTGAGATACCGTCCTCAACATCTGATATTCTGACGATCCATGATTTTTTGTGACAAATTTAAAAACAATTATAGTGTAAGGGAAAGGCGTTCGAACTCAGGTGCAATGGGGCAGTCACAATTCCTTGACCATCTGACAATTCATGATTTTCCCGAACATATTATGTCACAACACAACACAAGCAATTACCCAAAAATATACATCTCATTAAATGACCTAATAGTAATATTCCTGGTGTTCAAAACATTGGGGGTAAATCAGTACTAGGCGCTATTCGTTTTTACAGCCTCATAATTTGGTTAAAGCCTTCAATTCCACCACCACTGTTGAGATCACGGGTAATGTTGAACCCTGATCGTGATCCCAAAAACATCGGGGGAAAATTAATATATAAAAAGAAAAACCTAAACTCTGGCATCCATGCTTCCAAGTCCCTTAATATATCCTGACCGTCAATTTTTATATCATTTTCTCCTCTTTCCCTGCAACCAAAAAAAGAAACATAACTTGCTTCAGTTATTCTAACCATCTACCAACATAAATTACTCTGCAACTAGAAATGAAGCATACCGAGACATAATCATCCATAGTTAACTGCTTCCTCTTCTTTCCAGAAGTCGGGCTCTCAGTCGGCTGCCTACCCATGGCACGCTTTGATGGTGTCATGCTCTGAAACAAAACATGATACATAATAATATGATAATGCGTTCACCAATTTGGCAATAACTATACCACAAACATAACAAAAAAGAACAAATGTGTGCATTTGGTTCTTTCAATAGGTTGGGGTAGGGAGCACAGATCAAACCTTAGCAAGCTTCTTCTCTTTGCGGGCTTGTCTCTCCCTCTCGTCATATTCTTGGTTCTCTTTCTCCACCAATCTTATTAATGTATCACACCTCCTAGCAAGTTCCTGGGTTGTGCGAGACTTCACAAACCAATCAAAACGAAACAAGGGTGACGTGCGAAATGCTGCCTTCAACTCATCCCAGTTCCCATATCCGAGCTTGTGAACCATGCATATCTGCATTGAGCAATAGACATGAATAACCAGGTAATGGACATCAAATATTGGCAGTTTGTATAAAATAAATTTTTTATAAAGATATTTTCAAATTGTACCATGAAACGATCACATTCTTCATTGTACAACTTCCCCTTGTTCTGACCATACTGGATCTTCAGTTCCAGCCATGGATTCTTGTAACGATCCAACTTCTTCCCAATAGCTTTCATGATCTCATCTTTCCGGGAAATCCTAGCCTCTCCTCTTTCAATGTTCTTAATGATTCTATCATAATCTGGAAGCATCAATTGAGTCAACAAGTTAGATTTAAAGGCTACATTCTTTACCTAACGCAACAGCAAAATGGTTGGACATCACTAACCATTTAATTCCTTGTATCTTTCTTTAAAAGCCTTTGCATATCTTTCAACTTCCTCCTCTGTTTTCCCCTCCATCTCGGCAGCAATGCTTTTTATGTCATTTCGGCCATACTTCTCACAGGCCCTAATGAAGGTATTGAAATCTCTTCTACTCCAAGAAGAGAAACCCTGAAATTCACAAATAATAAAACTCAATAAAGAAAACCTAGATGAGAACCTCATCTGCAGCATATATTCAACAGACTTACATCTTCTAACAGACGTTCCTTTTCTTCCACCTCTTCAGCAGTCAATGGATCCCCGACTTCTAAACATTCAACACCCAGTTAGCAAATGGAATAGCAGAAAGCAGATCAGCACATGGTGTCAATTCATATGGAAAACAATAAGTACCTTCCGGTTCATCCACCTCTATTGTGTCTTTCACCTGATTCTTTTGATGTGTTTGCTGAGAATTTTTCATCAAAAAGACAAATAAATAGTTTGCCAAGCAATAACTCTCAAACCACAAATTGTTGCAGCTAAAATAGAAAGGAAAATGAGAGTTCACTTATACACACCATGAGGTACCGTACTTCCTTTTCATACAGCTCACTGAGCCTCTGTGTGTTAAAAAATTGGAAATCATGTCTGATAAAGGCAAGAAGAGATAATATTATCAAACATTGATAAGAGACATTGTTAAGAGAACACAACACAGATAACAATCAGTAGGCAGCCTTCAAGAGGTGCTTACAATTGAGGCATGCGTGGAATTCGAGGCTCTTTTGGTTTTGCTGGACCACCTTGGCGCATTGTTTGCTTAAAATATTCTGACTCCGAGTAACTAACAGTGAAAGCACAAAAATTCATGCTTCAGAAACTAAATGAAATTAATACACAACTAAAGAGGCAGACAAGTCAAACCCCTTACTTGCGCTTCCGCTCTCTTTTTGGTGGCTCAATCCAGTTGTCGCTAACAATTTTCTTGAAGTCAAGCTTCTCATCCTTCATCAAGTAAAAAGATGCACATATAAGATGACCAATAAATTTCAAATATCCATAAGACTATGGTAACATAAATCAAATATACTATAATAATCGATAAAAATACAAAAACATTCCCTACCTTCTCATCATCAAAGTCATACAATTCAGCAGCTGCAGAAACAGTATCGAAATTAAAATTTTGACATTGTCAATTGCAAGAACAAAAATATAATCAAATGGATAAAACTAAATGTCAAGAACTTTTCAACATTGGTAAACATACTATCATCCATCTTAAATTTTATAGCATCTTCAGTAAATTTCTTCATCTTCGCATCAAGCTCAGCAGTTGCCTCTTCTCCTTTAGCAATGATTCTATCGATGTCCTCATCAGTAATTGTACTGTCCTTGGAGCTGAAAACCATTTCAGCACCAAACCTCACCATTTGAAGTAACTCATCTTTATTAACAGCTGCATCCAAGAATAAAATGTTAGGGAATAAATTTGTGTTTCATATATGCATTTTAAAGGAGGGATATCTTGAAGAAATCGTGTTGCTCACTTTTTTGCTCTGCTAATCGCCCTTGTTGAATCACCAAAGCATCAAGCGCAAGCTTTTTATAAGCCCTCTCAATCACTTTCTCCTCAATAGTATACTGTTCGAAAATTAAAATTATTTTCTGATAAAGAACTACATAGTGCAAGCATTGCATAGCTGGAAATGTATCATATCAGGACACGTTCATACCTCAGTGCAGAACCGGAACACTTGAACTTCTTTCTTTTGACCAATCCTGTGAGCACGGTCTTGTGCTTGCAAATCAACTTGAGGGTTCCTATAACATGTCACATGCATTATTAAACAGTAGAGGTATAGGCATGCAGACAGAAGAACAATAATCACTACCACTATAATGAAAAAGCTGCAGATGCTTACCAATCACTATCGTAAAGAATGACAATATCTGCAGTAGCAAGATTAATACCAAGTCCTCCAGCTCTGGTTGATAGCAAAAAAACAAATTTCTCACTTCCAGGCTTATTAAAGGCATCAATGGAAGCATCACGATCTTCTCCACCAGTATTTCCATCAATCCGACAATACAGGTAGCCCCGAAACATTAAATAATCTTCAAGAATATCTAGCAGCCTTGTCATCTGATATTAAAACCAAAAACCAAAGGACACAGATGAGATATAATATCTCTGGGCATGCACAGCAACATAAATGCTTACAAGCATTCACAGGAATTCATACCAATACTCAATAAATGATTTTACAGAATGGAACAAACCTGTGAAAATATCAAGACCCTAGAATCACGTTCTTTTAACTTTGGAAGCAACTTATCCAAAAGAACCATTTTGCCTACAATGGAGATTTAAAGTAAGGATGAGTTAAATGACCATCAACCAACCAATATGTATCCATGAGGTCAATGGCTCACAAAATGTTTAGCTTACCAGCATTCGTGATAAGATGGTCTCCAGTTGTATAAGGAGGCCCAGGCTCAGCACCTTGAAAAAGATATGGATGATTGCAGCATTTACGAAGCTGCATTGCTATGTTCAGAAGGCGCTTACGTTCTCCGCCAGCATTAACAACTTCAAGATCTTTTTGCAGTAAAGCCCTGTAGTACTGTTTTTGCATTTGTGACATGCCCACTTTAAGTATTGTTTCCTTTTTCGGAGGCAAACCTTTCTCAACATCTGACTTCAACCTTCGGAGAAGAAATGGCCGGAGGACCTTAAAAGACACATAAATCAAATGAGATACTGTAATGATAAAAGCAGGAGCCACACTACTAAACAGTTGAGAATATTTTAGGCCTACCTTATGAAGCTGTTGAACAACCTCCTGCTGGTCATTCTCACCAGAAATTTGAAACCATTCATCAAAAGTTTCTGCAGAACTAAATATCTCAGGCAGAAGAAAGTTAAGCAGAGACCATAGTTCATGGAGATTGTTCTGCAAGTTGAAGCAGCAAAAAAAAAGTCAAGAATCCTTACAGCAATCCGAAATTCAGAGAAAGAAATATTGTTGCTATTTCAAAAGAGCAAGACAGACTGAATTGAACTCAGGTTACCCTCCGAAAGTTATATAGAGGAAAAAGAGATTAGGAACTTTCACATGAATGCAAGATAAGCATGATTAATGCATCAGTATATTAAATTACATCCAGTATGTAGCATGTCCCTAATATCACAATTGATACCTGAAGTGGTGTGCCTGTAATTAGAAGGCGGAAATTGGTATTATACAGCCTCATAGTTTTTGAAAGCAATGAATTCTCATTCTTGATTCGATGGGCTTCGTCAATGATTATATAGCGCCAGCTAAAACGGCGTAGGCAAGTCTTCTCTTTGATGGCCATTTCGAAACTTGTAACACAGACATCAAAATTTCCCGCAACCAGCAGGTCCTCACGTATATGTTTCTGCAAGATTTAAAAGTAATGAAATATGGGCAGAGTATAAACCAAAATATAAAAATGACTCACTCGTACAAACGAAGCCAGAATGACTTACTCTTTCATCAGGATTACCAAGAAACTTTACAGCACGCAAGGTGGGGCAGAAACGCCGAATCTCATTCATCCAGTTTCCAAGTGTTGACTTTGGAGCAACTACCATATGAGGGCCAGTTATCCCTCTAAACTCATGCAGGTATCCCAACAAGGAGATGGTTTGCAATGTTTTACCAAGCCCCTAATGGAAGAGAGCAAAAAACATTTATCACTACCATAGCCTACCAAAGTAAAATATCCTTCATGCAATAACATTAAAAATAGAATGACAAAGGCACATTGCAACTTGAAAACAAAACTTAAATACCCAATCCAACACGGGGAAGAAAGGAAAGAGTCAATCCTAAAAGACACAATTCAATGCTTACCATTTCATCTGCGAGGATTCCATTTATACCATTTTCGTAGAGTCGTATGAGCCAATTCAACCCAGCAAGTTGGTAATCCCTCATCTTCCCCTGAATACCTACAAAAAAAGGAAAAGGGAAAAGCAAGGGTTCAACTTTAAGCTGCACCTGAACTGTGAAGTTTGTCATTAAAAAAAAGCCTTCAAAAAACAACTAAATTTAAGAGAAATCTCTCACAAGAAGGTTGCGTCAACAGCCGTGTGGTTCCAGTCCCAGACAAACCATCTTCTTCCTCCTTAAGGCATTCTTCATCTTCTTCCTCTTCAGTTATTTTTGAAGCATGGCGACCTCTAATTTGTGTGAAAAAGGAAGAAAGCACCAGTAAGAACATTTAAAAAATTCATACATGCAACAATAGTAACCATTAAAGGCATTCATCCTACTTTTTGGAGCGTCAGAAACTCTAGCATTCCCATTTATTTCTTCAAGGTAAATAAAAAGCCAGCGACAATAATCAATAAACCAATGCAGTAAGAATTTAGAATATGCAATACTCTTAAATGGTTGTTGAACTTACTTTCCCTTCACTTTCTTCTGGGATGCAGATTGATCACTTTTGGCAAAATGGGCAAATAACTCTGTTTGCTGCAGAAGATACTTCAACCGCCCCTTCCCCTTATTGTTCTGTCATTAAACCAACACCGACAGAATCAGCTACCATAAAAAACAGACTATAAATATCCAAAACCAAGTAAACTCAGCCAACCATATTAGCCCTTCCAACATACTCACCATGTCAGCATCAATGGCTGCATTTTGCGTATCCAAAATTTCCTGAACCTTTTGCTTCTTCATTTGTTGCATGTCTCTAAGCCTGGCCTTTTCACGTTTTCCAATTTCAGCATTACTCAAATTAGTGTCGTCATCCTGCAAGACGATCATGCAAAAGAGTACATGAAGGAAGAAAAGGTGCACCCAAATGGTTTGGCGTTTACAGCACCAAACCTTGAAGAGTCAAACTCAATTAAAAATGACAATGACAATGATTATCAACCAAAAGAAAAGTAATTTAGAGAAATTTCAGAAGAAATATCCGGTAAAGCCAACCAAAAATCAACCACTAGCATCGGTTTCTCAGTTTTCATATCAGAAGATACAGTAAACGTGCAAAGAAACTTGTTTTTCCTCTCCTTTACTCAGCTCTAGCTTCGAAACAAAGGACCACCAAAAGGGGCAAAAGTAACTAATCCCTAGACCACCAAAACCCTAGCGCAAAAGTTCCCTAAAATAAATTAAACAACCCTAGTACACACAAGCAGTAACATAACCGAACTCAGATCCAACAAAACGACACCCCAAAGCACCACCACAGAAGCTGCCGCAAAGGCAGAATAGTAAATGCATACCTCATCCTCCTCAAAGCCGTCATCGCCGTTCTCATCGGCAGCCACGTCATCGTCTGAGCCAGGGAAGGCGTCGCCGGCGGCGGCCTCGTCGTCGTCGGAATCAGCGGAGCGAGCCACGGCCTCGAGCTCCTCCTCGTCCACCTCCTCCTCCTGGTCGTTGATCGGGTCCTCCTCGGACGAATTGGAGCCGTTGGATAGTGCTTCATCGGACGACACCTGCGGCTTCGAGGCTCTCGCCATGGTTCTTTTCTCAGATCGAGGGTTTCGACGCTCAGGAGGAGAGAAAGGACCGACTTTAAATTTTAGAATTTAGAAGGCATTTGGCGAAAATAATGAAAAATTGAAAAATACGAGAGAGTGAGGTGCGCTTTGGGGTGGGTTATTAAATAATTGCGTTTGTAGCCGTCCGATTTGGAAATGTGAGATGTGCGGTTTAGAATTGCGTTTCGGGGAGAGGGAGAAAAGTGAGAATTTCCCGCCAATAATAAGGAAACGTGATTTCCCGCTCGTGTGTAATTGGGTTGGTACTCCGGGTCTTTGGGTCGGGCACCCGTAGGCTTATCGGCTCGAACCTTCATGTTTTTTGGGTCGTAAATGCGCTTCAAATGGGCTTGCTTTCCTGTGGGTTTGTGTGAGGCTATAATGATTTTTTAATATTTTTTATATATACAAGTTACGGAACACTGGAGAAGGAGGAATCGAACTTAGAATATCAAATATAAGGTTAATTGCTTTTAATCACTTTCAAAATGTTCTCATAAAGATGTATATAAAAGGAAGATGAAAATCTGTATAGTGTCTAATTGCATGTTCCTTCATTAATAAATTATCCACTCTTTTGGATAATGTTGTAAAATGATGAGAGTAGAGCTCACATGTTGGAAGGAAATTCCCTTACACATTCTTTCTCTGATTATTAGGCTAAACTTTGCCTATAAATGGGTTCACAATCCCTTCTGTAAGATAGATTGAATAAGACTTGAGTTATAGGAATTGATCCTATATTTTCTCTGCCTCTAAATTCTCTCCACAATCTTTTTAGTTTTATAACACGTTATCAGCACGAATTCGCTTTCAAAATACCAGCTGAATTCTCTGATGAACCCCATCTGCTTCAATACCTTTCTTCCTCAAACTTCAAACAATCAACCTTCCAACAGCAGCAAAGAGTACAATTCTCCCTAAAATAGATCTACAAAAGAAGAAAGGGAGTCAAGCAGCAGCAGCAGCAGCAGTAGCCCCATCAAAACGGTGGTCGTTTTGGTGCCAGAGAACCTCTCCTTCGACCACATGCTGGGTGGATGAAGTCCCTGAACCCAAAGATTAACGACGTCACCGGATCCGAATCCAACCTCATTTCCACCTCCGACCCAAACTCCACCCAAGTCTTCTTTGGCGACAACGCAGCCTATGTCGACCCAAACCCAGGCCACTCAATCCAAGCCATCTACGAGCAAGTGTTCGACGAGCCATGGACAGACTCTCTTGCCCAAACCATGTTATCAACCATGTCCTTAACCATCTTCACTCTCCTCCTCCTCTCATTCACCCTCTCATCCTATGCCTCAAGCGTCGACTCTCAAAGCAAGGCCGAGGTCAAACAAATATACCAGGAATGGCTTATGAAGCACGAGAAAACCTACAACGAGGAGAGGAAGACAGGAGGTTCGAGATCATCAAGGACAACTTGAGGTTCATCGATGAACACAATGCCCAGGACCGTCCCTACAAGGTTGGCCTGAACACTTTTGCTAACCTAACCAACCAAGAGTATCGTGCCAAGTTTTTGGGCACCAGAAGTGACCCTAAGCTTAGGGTCATGAAGGCTAAGAACCCTAGCCAAAGGTATGCCTTTCATTATGGTAAGGCATTGCCTGAATCTGTGGATTAGAGAATTCCTTTGACTTATAAATACTAAGCCTTAACCTAAGGCTAGGGGTTCTTATTATTTTTTTGGGAAACCATAGACCACAAAGGCACGAGAGAGAGTTTTAGAGAGACAAAGAAGACAACCTAGAGCTAGAGTTGCTGTTGTGCAAAGATCAAATCTTCAATTGGTTTTTTCTTTCCTATGACACTGTTTGTCATGGTTTTTATTAAAGTTGTCATGAATGGTTTTTAATTCCAAGTATTTTTCCATGTTGAGTATTTATTACCATGCTTAATGCTTTGAGTCTTTGGCCAACATTTAATTGATTTGAAGCTAAATTGACGATAGGGATATCCAATTTGGGGTTACTTCTTGTAACAGATGCCATGGGTTACATGATTAAACATGGATGTTTCTCATGACTTATGTGGTTGTTTTACATGTTTTCCAAGGAATTCAGTGGGTTCTTATTATCTTAATTTCATTACTAGGGATAAAGTGGGTTGGTAATAAAAATACTTTTGGTATAACCAGGGATAGAGTATCGAATAAAGTAGGGAAAATCAACTATCAATATGGAGAATAATTAGGATTAACATGCTAAGGGATTTAGGTGGAATTGGCTATGATGAAATCGGAAGCTCTAGTGCTCTCATAATTTGAATCTCACTACTTTATTTTTCTACGCTTGCTTTTATTCATTGTTTTAGTTAATTAATCAATCGAATCTCATCATTCAATTGTTCAAATAAAGTATTGGGTTAATCACAATCGGTACTTAATAAATTAAATCAGTCTTCGTGGGAACGACACTTCACTTATCACTGTATTACTTGTGCGAATTGTGCGCTTGCAATAAATTGACAACATTGAGATAAGAAATGAAGTGGATAAGTATTTGTTAGAGTCACCTGAAAATCTTAGAAATCCCAACTTTGACTTGTTGTCTTGGTGGCGAGAGAATAGTCCAAGGTTTTCAGTTTTATCCCAAATTGCTAAGGATGTATTTAGCATTCCAATCTCTATCTTGGCTTCAGAATATGTCTTTAGTTTGAGTGGTAGAATTGTAGATTATTTTCGTGCTTCTTTGACTCTAAGAATGGTGGAGGCCTTGGTTTGCACAAGTGATTGGTTGAAAGTCGGGAAGTTCTCCTTTTACAAGGATCCTACTAAGGAGAAACTTGAGCTCTTTGATGCTTTGGAGAAAATTGAGACTGGTAAGTAATTTTAATTTTGCATATTTTTTTTAGTTTTCAATTGCATTTATATGACATATGTTTATTTTCTCACTTTCATGATTTTTTTAATGATGTAAAAGTATATTCTAGTCCTTCAATGAAAGCGCAAGTTGCTGCCAATACATCTTCAATACATATTGAATGGTATAGTGACTGATAATCTTCTTTTATCTTAAATAACATGACCATGTACTTTATATTTATTATGAACTTTGTTTTTCTTTGGCTACAGTACATGAATCAGATTTGAATTCAAGATTACAAGGCCTCTTTGTTGTAGTTTTTGGTTCTTTGCAACGTTTAAACTAATTTCTTTTTGTTTTGTAACGTTATTTGCTATTTTATTATGTATTTTTCATGTTAGTTTGTAACTTTAAAACTAAGTTCTTTGATTTCGTACTTGGATGAATTAGACTATTGGATTTTTATATTTTACAAGGATAATTTGGTGTATTTGTTCAAGAACTTATGTTATGTGAAATGATTATAAATTGTGTTTTTATTTGTATGTTTTTATTACGGTACTACCTACCTACCACACCAATTTGAACCGAATGTTAGGTTAACTAATTTGAACGGTTAAAGGTCCTGATGGTTGGTTAAAGAAAGAGAAATTGGTTGATCGAAGTCTTTGGTTTGGTTAACGGAAGAGCCCTTTACTGTTCTAAACAGATCCGCACTCAGGCCTACTTTTGTGTGTGTCTATTATATATAAAAGAAAACATAAAACGCATATGGCTTCATTCATGTCTTCTCTGCAACCAACTTCTCAATCTCCCACTTAATGGAGGGTAATTAATGTTAGAGTAAAAAATATAAGATTATATTTCTTGTTGTTGCCAAGTTAGGAAGGGGGAGGGAGGAAACTCAAACACACTAGTCTTTACCTTGCTTCCATTGTAACTCTCACTTTCTCACAATCCCAAATGCTAATTGTGATTAAGGATTAATTGTTTGGGGTAAAAACTTTCACATCTTCACACGCCTGGTCATGTGTGGAGAAATTTCAATTCTAACATGTGAACTATTTAACTGGTGATGCGAATCGTGTTTGGTCATTGACAGTGGCGGATCCAGGATTGTAACCTTATGGGGATCATGGTGTAAAAGTTCAACAAAAAAAAAAAATAATAATAACACTAAAAAATAAAAAGATAATACTTCTATTTATAATTCATGGCCTAACAAAAGAAAAAAAAAGAAAAAAGATTACAATACAAGCTACAATAATCCACGACATTAAGTAGTTTCTTGTTCAAAATTATAGTGAGGTTATCTAATTGGAGAGAGTTTATGTAGGCTGACCCTTTAATAGAATAGAATAGAATTGCAATTGTTAATTTTACTGCCTAAGCTGTTAGGTGTTGTGTTGATAAACATCACATTGATAGTTATGGTGCTATATATTTCTACTTATATAATAAATGCTTGAAATCATAATTTTCATCTTGCTTTGCTTGTGTTGGTTTTATCAGTTTGTGCATTCTATACGATTTGATATTAAGTATTTAGTGATTTTCATTTAATTCATCCTAAGTGGTAAAATGAATATGAACATCTGGTATACTTGCCCCCTAACTTAAGCATAATGTAGAGATTGGCAAAGTTGGTGTGCTAAGGAGATGGGAGGAGATTGGGGTTAGGGTTAAGGAAAGAATAAGAAAATAAGGGTTTGGAGGGGGTGGGTAACTATCGGGTGGGTGGATTTTGGGGGATGCTTAAGTGTTTTTTTATATTTAATGTTTTAAAAGTCCTGCTAGGTCATTTAAAAAAAGGAAAAAATTGCCTTGGCTAAAAAGATGTTGTTTTGGCCCAGGCTCTTTTGAAAAAAAAATAAAAAAAATAAGACAAGCTGTGTTGCACAGCTCCTTTTCCTTCTTTGGACTTCCGTCGAGCAGCTGGTGGGCAACTCCATGAGGTCACACCACCAGCAAACAAGGACCTCCAAGCCTTCCTTCATGGTTGCCAAAGGTCGTCTGACCCCATTAACCCCATGGTGGCTCCGCCACTAGTCATTCACTTCACATGTGGGTGAATGACCAACTCCTTGCAAGGTTTTTAAAGTTTCCAACATTGAACAATTCATGTTAAATGTATTTATGATAAAAATTAATGAAGTCTCTAATTCAAGGCTCTGTAGTCACTAACAGTATATGCTTTGTTGGGTCAACCATACCAGTATATGCTTTTTTTGTCACCAAAATAACAGTATATGCTTTAGTGACGGTATTAATTATACTAATTTTTTTGGATCTACAAATGGACTAACATTGGAGCAAAACAACAATTTTTATTATCAATGCATAATATTTATATTTGTGTCTGTAAAATCATAACACGACAGAAAAAGTACATATATTTTTGAAAGGTAAAAAAATTCATAAAATAGAGGCAAAATTATGGAGGCAAAATTCGTATGATCCAAACCCAATCCCAAACCCAAACCCAATCCCAAACCCAATCCCAAACCGAAATAAAAGCACACATCAGCAGCGCTTGCCAGTCCGACACGTCTCAATCACCGGTACATTCCCATAAGTGCCCTCCCAAAAGATTAGATCAACGGTAAACACAACAGTGACAGAAAGGGTAATTTCGTTACTGGACATAAATAAAACAAACTTTGTTTTCCTTCTTCTCTCTTTCCGTGGTTTGCCCAACTCCTACCTGATTCAATTATTTATTTATTTTTCCTCGACTCCTTTTCTTGGGTCTCCCTCAACAGTCTTAACACGTTGCCAACCACCACGAGCATCTCCAAAACGGTGCGTAACGGTGCGTTTCGGTCATCTACGGCTGATCGCTCACCGTAACCGGCACAGTTCGACAGTCGTCGGAGCTTCGAAGCCGCGGGGTGAGTGAGTCGTCCTGGCCCCTTTGTCTAATTGTCTTTCTGCATCTAATTATTGCTGAATTGTGCCCTAAATTGTTTCCTTTGATGCAAGCATTTTACCAGAGCATGGAGAAAAGGAGATGGTTGGTATTTGTAGTGTTTACATGGATGTTTGTTTTTTCTGCTGGAAGAGGTAAAATTTGAACTTATGCATCAAAATTTTATTAGAAATGTTTAACTTGATGGTGGTCTTGGGTTAGACTAATTTCTTGTTGTGAACGTAGACATTGTAATTGGGTTTGAAGGAATTTTGGTTGGTTGGAGAAAAATTAGTTGAGGAGACACGGTGGGCGAGCTTAACGGTCTTTACTGGTGGACATTTATATGTGTATATGTTACGTAATTGCTTAATTATGTATGATAGCATTTGCAATATGGGTGGTATTGTTGGTTCTACATTGTTACAATGTACTTAAAAAGTTGGTGTGGTTTTAGTCTGTCCTGGGCTCAAGAGGTAGTAGCATTTGCTTAGGAGAAGAGAGGGAAGCGCATACGTTGAGAATTATACAAATATGAATTAGTTGTGTTATGATTCTTACCGATGAAATGAGTTGAATATGGTTTAGGGTAGATCCCAGATAGACTTTGCTGTTGTTGAGCTTATGGAACACATTTTTAACAAGGAATTATTCCATCTTCTAAATGCAGAACTGAAAATTAAGCACAAGGATCGTGGCCCCATCTATAATCATACGCTTGCCACTATATTAGTGCGGTATGCTTCCACGGTAAGTTTCACGAGATATTGGCTCGTGTGACCATTTACGAGGATTTGGTTGGTAAACATTTATGTTACGGAAATATGTAGCCTCACCATTTCCCTTGCAAATCTGTATGATATATTTTGTGATTCCTAGTGTGCTGTAATTGTGACATAGAGAAAGGTTGATTTTGGGGAGTATTTAAATCTTTCTGTCTAATTAAATAGGAAACAAAACTATGGAGATTTGGTGGATTAGATGTCAATATTTTAACTATTAGTAGTAGCGTCGCCTATAAGTTTTGTAACAATTGAAATCAAACTTCTGCACTTGTAGGTGTATTTATCAGATTTGACAGAGCTGTTTACTTGGACATGCTCAAGATGTGACGGTTTGATTAAGGTACTCAGATTTATGGCATCAATTCAAAAAATTTATGCCTAAAAACCGCTGACCTTATTCCTCCTTTAATGTGAACAGGATTTTGAAATGATTGAGCTGGTTGTTGACATCCAGCATTGCTTACAGGTGCAATTTCATAGTTCAGCCTGGTTTTATGTGTTAAAATTGTTTTCTTATCTGCCTCTGTCTTACATTTTCATTACTCATTACTTTCTCCAGGCTTTTGTTGGAGTGGCACAAGATCCCAATGCTATCATAATTGCATTTAGAGGGACTCAGGAACACAGGTAGAGTGCTAGAGTGCTTATATCATTCGAGATTAAAATTTTTGCTGAATTATTTTTGTGAGCCCAAATTACCCAGTGACCAATAGAAGGGCTTTGCTCATGAATTGTGCTGGTCAGTTGTGCAGTCCAACTATATTGTCTGTGACATAAGAAAACATAGGTGACAAGAAAATTTAATATTAAGGATGTTAATACAGCACTTATTGAGAAATTAACATCTAGATTCCTTGTATTACCTCAAAATATATGCATCACCATAGGCAATCTGATTTGTTCTTTTATCAGAGTTGTTAGTCGACTAATGGTTGACTTTATGTGTACAGCATACAGAATTGGGTTGAAGATTTATTTTGGAAACAGCTTGATTTAGATTACCCTGGCATGCCTGATGCAATGGTATTTATTACAGTAAAGTTTCTCTACTCTGTTGCTTGCTGGAATATAAAGTTTCAAGTCTCAATTCTTTTTCTATTGCTTTAGGTGCACCATGGGTTTTTTAACGCTTACCACAACACAACCATACGCCCTGGAATTCTAAATGCTATTGCAAGAGCTAAGGAGTTCTATGGAGATATTCGCATCATAGTTACAGGTCATTCAATGGGCGGGGCAATGGCTTCATTTTGTGCTCTTGATCTAAGGGTAATCATAGATTCACAATTAAGCCAGTCTCTATTTTGCATGTTTCATCTATAGGAATATTTGTTTGAATTTTTCTTTTCCTAGTGCCTTCCATCAATTTTTTTTGTAATTTTTTTATTTCAATGTATGCTATCTCTAGGTTCTGGGTAACTACCGAATGAGGATCATTTTTTGTTATTTTTCTTGGATAAATTTTGAGTCGGGGTAATGTACTGGTTGTCTTTTTTCTTCAAAACAGTAGTTTGTGGCCGTCATGATTGCTTAAACAATAAATGCATGCATGCTTTTGAATATAGTTACATTTGATGGTTCACTTGGTCCAAAGACCGACAATGAGCAGTTACCTTTACTTCTGTTAGTGAGTTATAATGTTTTAGCCTTAGGCAGGTAATTTGAAGTCCTGTGAGAGGATTGTTGTAACTTGTATTCGATAGCTGTAGTAGCAAGCAACTAAGTAGTATTAGGTATTGTATCATGTCAGAGCTTGACTCATATGTTATGTCAACATAGCTATTACCAATGGAGCTTCAATTAATCTTATCCCCTTTCACTTCAACTGATCAAGATATGTTAGTGTGTCAGTGTAAAAGAGTGTGAACTTATTCCACAGGGGTCTTTTGAATTTGTCTAATTGCATTCACTGCTTGCTGGAGTTTTTCTTGGCCCTGCTGCACTCATGTTACTTTTGTGAATGTTATTCTGGAAGCTTGTTCTTCGAACCAGCAACATTGAAATGTTTCTTTTTTCTTTTTTGTAATCCAGGTCAATCAGAAAGAGAGAAATGTTCAAGTTATGACATTTGGACAACCTCGTATTGGTAATGCAGCTTTTGCATCTTACTTTAGCGAACTTGTGCCAAATACTATACGAGTTACAAATGAACATGATATGGTTCCTCATTTGCCTCCATACTATACTTATTTTCCTCAGAAGACATACCATCACTTCCCAAGAGAGGTATTTTTTCTAATCCTCAGAGGTGGATTACTTATGTGTTCAATTTGAATCCTTTAATATCAATTAGAGAATAAACGGATCAAGTACTTTATTCTAGCATATTCTTGGTGGCCCATTATTTGTGAATAGTTTGAGTAATGAGAATATTGCAAGATGAATAAGAGTCTTAGATATACACTTGCACGCTGCTTTTGTAACCAAATCCATCTTTATCTGCACCTTTGAGACAATTTTGGAATCATAAACATGTATGTTTATGACCATACTTTGGAAGTTTCTTTCTCTTCTGACCATTGAGAGCCCTATTCTTACTCTAGGTGTGGCTTTATAACGTTGGAGTTGAAAGTCTTGTTTATGAGGTTGAGAAGATCTGTGATGATTCTGGCGAGGACCCAACCTGCAGCAGGTAATCTCTCTTTTGTGTTGTGATGTCATCAAAAGTTTTCTCATTGGTTTCTTTTCTTCCACCCTGTCTTCTATTGGTAGAAGAACAATATAATACTGAATTGAAAAGAACAATCTTATCAGAAAAGATGATACAAGTTCTCGGGAAATTTGTGCAGGTCGGTGAGTGGGAACAGCATTTCAGACCATCTAGTTTATTTTGGTGTTGAATTGATGGCCAAGACATGGAGACGGTGTAGAATTGTGATGGGTCCTGGGGTAGTGGAATACAGCAGAACAGATCTTGGAGGAAATTTTGTACTGTCCAGAGATCTTGCAACTCCTGTTCTAAAGATGAATGCAATTTCAGAAGCTGGGGCAAAACCTCTATAGAATGCCAGCCAATGATTCGCTTGGAAGAAATCTGAGAGAGGTCAGTTGTAGGTTTATGCCCCTAAAAAGCTGTTTCGTCGTAGGCTTTTCGTTTTCAGAAGCCATAGCTGACAAATATCGGTGGGATGGGGCCAAGGCTGCAAATGACTTGTGTATATATTAATGTGTTCATCTTCATTCTTTCGGATATGAATGCTGACATTTGTGTTACTTGTGTATATATAATGGCCGTTCTCTATGCAGAAAATGCTAGTTTTCTAACTTGCATAGTTTAAATCCAAATTGCATCCGACAAGATCGAGGGTCTACTTTGCCTTTTTTTCTGAGTAAAATAACTCATAACCGAGCTGAACTTGAATGTGATCAACCTGGCAATTTCTTAATTCAGACTTTATTTGGTGCTCTAGTCCCATGCATCCAATTTCTTAATAAAAAGGTTATATTTCTTCTTACTTATAGCCTGTCACTTAATTAAACCCCTTTTCTTTTCTAAAAGTCTTCTCAATTATCTGCATAAGGTTTAGTCTTGCTGCGTTTACTGCTTTGTAATAATGTTAGTTAATAACAAAACACAAGTATGAATGAAATGTTTCGATTAATTAGTCTCGCTACATATGCATGGGATGTTGATTTATCATCGACGCGAAGATCGCATCGAAATTTATGGTTTGCAAAAGGAAAAATTTCACGTCTCAATTTAAGTTAATTTGGTTTTACAACTTGTAATAAGCTAGTTAGGCAACCCTTGTTTATTCTAATTAATTATAAACCTTCCAACAATGGAATGCGTAAATGCAATTACATCATTATACGGCACTAGCCACTTGTTCAGATTTATTTTTCCCACGATCTTGATCTATATATATATTTCACAATATTCTTACACGAATATTAAGTGGTTGAAATCGATCGATTAAGTTTGGCATATAATTTCACAAATTTGTAATGTCATCATTGCCAAGTACAAAACACACCGTAGGACTAGATATTCTGTGTCCAAGTTACATGTTTAGATGCATAGCAAGAGTTCAGCACAGGAGCAAAACCAATAAAAACTAGGTGATGATCAATTACAAAAGAAGGTAAATGTAGGAGAAAAAGCTTTTCAGATTTAATTTCCCTTTCACACCCAAGCTTGTCTTCAAATCCTTGGCTAGCGAATCGCCCACATGTCCCTTCACTCTGTTTTCAGATTCAGATTATTCTTCTCTTCTTCATCAAGGATAGAAACTTCGGGTTCTACCACTTTGGCTTCAGCAATGGCTGTTGTGACTGCCACTTCTGCTTCCTTCACCAAATTCTCCTCTGGTTTTACGGGCTCTTCTGTACACACACATAACCAAATTAGGTTAGCAAACAATACATTTGACCGACGACTAGTTAGACATATACTTATGTTGCCGGATTATGAATGTGCACGTTGCTTATATCCATGCAACGTGATACGTATAGTTTTATAAATAAACTATATTAAATTAACATGATTGCGGTCACAAACCATTTTGTTGTGACTCTGGAGCTTTTGTTTCTTCCGCATCCAAACCCAATTCTTTGTTGTCTTCTGGAATATCATCGTCTACCTTGAAGTACAAGCTACCCTTGCTGCCGGCTCCATGGCGGGGAGTGTAATAGTCAGACGTTCCAGATCGGCCTTCAGAAATAATCCCATCAATTCCTTCCTCATCTAATTTCCTTGACGAAAAGAAACGGTTCGGGGAGCCGTGGGTGATCAGCCTCTCCGCAGCCTCACCGTCCTCTTCTTTGTTACTTTTGTCCAAGGATTCTTTATCACCATCGTCTTCATAATCTCCATCTTCGTTATTTACAATGATGTCCTTCGCTTTCTCCTCAGCCGTCACTGGCTCGCCGCCACCAACATTGTTATTTACATTAATATCCTCATGATTCTTGTCGAGTACTTGTTCGCTGTTCTTACAATCTGCTGGTTGTTGCACCGTTGAGCTGCCGTTGTCCACGTTTTCGAGGACCGTTTCGATGTCTTTGCTCTTCTTGGAAGAGCCTCCAACATTGGATTTCTTGCGGCGAAGGATGGTGTTGCTGGTGGCAACCGCCAGTTTTGATTCCCCACAACCCATATTTCAATCGTGTGTTTGTGTTGTGAGGTCTCAGAGAAGAGAGAGAGAGAGAGAGAGAGAGAGAGAGAGAGAAAGAGGAGACAGAGGCTGAGAGATTAATGTGTTTAGCTCCCTTTAATATGTAAGAGAGAGATTAGAGATGGAGGCAATGAAAGCTGTTGTGTTTTGATTTGGTTATTTGTTTGTGTTGGAGCTGTGGTTTGCATGGGTGTAATTTGGTTGTCATGCACATATAGCTTATATATAGAACCGTTTTCTTCGTTGTGTTTTCAAGGTGGAGATGGGTTTATGGGCAGCTCATTATCAACATCAATGTGCCTTGCCTTGGTGTATTTTTAGATAGGTAAAAGGCCTTAGTAATTAGGAGACATTTTTGCTGGCTGGCGCTGTTCATTCATTCATTCAATTGTTCGATTGTTCACGTTTTGAAATAAAACACATTTGAAAAACTATACATTCATGAATTAAATCTTAAATTACTTTTTAGGGAAATATTTAGAACCCAACTTTTGCAAAGAGCAATACCAACTCAATACTCAATGAGACAAAGTTTAGAAATCTATTTTTGGAAGAAAAAATTGGACTCTACAATATCTTTGTGGGGAATGAATTTGTATGCCATCAGAAAGGACTTTTGAAACCTGAAACTAAGAAAAGAGAGATGATCATCAGTCATTGAATACTTCAGTGTGGTGTGAGCCAAAGAGCTTCCGATGCCTAAGTCAGTTCGATTATATATAAAAAAGAAAAAGATTTCTTAGTTCAAAAAACAATTACCTTCTACAAGAGGCGGATATTAGTTTATATTTAGCTCTTTGGGGGCTGATTTATCGTCGTAGGAGACTAAAAATTTGACATAAATTAGGGGTATGAAATACCCATTGATGTGCACATCAAGTCAATTAAATGTTTGACTTGGAACGTGTGAGATATTTTACCCAAAGTGGGTGAACGTGAGGGAAATCTCCAACATTTGGGCTAATCTTTTACAGGCGTGCAACATGACTGCAAGTCATGTTGGGCTTATCCTTTTAGGCCATATCTGTCCTAACCCAAGGCTAGATAGGCGTTTGGGCCCAGGCTGAGCTAGCTCAATCATGGGCATTTGTCTAGCGCAAGGCCTTGTAGGGCCTTTCTATGCCGTGTGGGCTCCTCATTACTCTGGCAGAGGAAGCGACCTCTGCGAGCTCTTTGGCAATAATTCCAATTGCGTGAGACTTCTCTTGCCCCTAACAAATTGCCCCTAACAAGGACAATTTGGTCCATGTGGTTGCTCTTTAATACACGTGGTGCCTTATCATTGCCGTGCGATTATTTGCTCCCACAAGCTATACCGCATATTTTGACCATATAATAAATATGAATATATTTGAAGTGAGACCTGAGCCCATCACCCCCCCCTCCCCCTCTCTCTCCTCTCCTCTCCCACGTAGTTGAGAGAGAGAGAGAGAGAGAGATGAAATCTCTGAAATGGCAGATGTGAATGAAGAAGACCAATAAAATTCAGAAGTGCCCAACCGCTTGAAGGTTGTATATCTCAGATTCTGAGGGTCCAATAACATCCATTTGCACAGACCCCTAGAATATGAATAAAGAAAATTAAATATAGCCGCAATAGTGTACAACAATGGAACAGTTCCAACTTCCCATAAACCTCAAGATGCATGTGAAGTCATGTCAACTCCACCTCAGTTTTTCCCAAGAACAGTGCAAATCGCAATTGATGCAGATTTAATAAATTCATGACAATGGCTTAATGTTTATTCTAGTCTTTTCTATTGAAATATATAATGATGAATTAAAGCATTTCACAACTTAGGTTGTTAAGTTGTGTTATTAACAATCGCGTGTAAGTAATTGTTACCCGTTGATATAATATGAAATTTACTTGTATTAAAAGGTGATGTCAAGTTATTTTGTGTATCAACTCTTTGTAATACTAGTCTTACCATATTTGAATTATTGTTCTAATAATGTTGCTAGAGTCATAGTTTGGGGCCACAAGATCCTACTAGAATCTTATGAATTGGATAAGAAATAAGTATTGGAGCTAGAAATTCAGAAGGTAGCGTGAGGGACAAACAACTGGATAAAGATGAAGTCATTTGATGCGTCCAAATTGAAGCCAGTGAGTAAGTCAGGGCTCTTAACTGCTTTTTCTGTTATCAAATTTCAGTCGTCCTTCAATTTTGGGTCAATATGTAAAATTCATCGATCATTTGTTAACATTTCCTCCATTTAAAAACTTTGACCCGATTTGATTGATGGAAAATGAGGTTTGGGAATAAGAAATTAATTGCTTGTCCATGTTTTGTAAGTCGAGGTATGAGAAATGATTGTATGGCACATTGGAAAGTAAGGAGAAAATTAAAGTCCTTCTCCCAACTTGGGTTTTGTTTTCCTTCATCATGGGGAAGTTTGGAAAAATGAGCAAACATTAAATGTACATTTTTCATGACCATTTTGTTTCATTAATAATTTGGAATTACAATATATTATTAAATTTATTTTTTATTTGATTTAATATGAGTATAATTGAAACATTATACAAACTTTTTTTTTCATTCATATTCAAAACAAACATGATAAAAGAAATAAAGTGATATCTTCTGGTTCCTTTCCCGGATTACCAAACATGAAAAAAGAATATTCAATTTTCCATCTCTTGGGAAATAACATGGGAAGAAATTTCCCCACAAAGTCGTTTAATGAACTAAACAGAAATGAAAGAAAAACGAGAGAAAAGAAGAGAAAAGAAAGCTGCTTGGATTTGGTTACATCGGTTCATTCCCCTTCTCCATGAAAAAGTAAAAAGGGTTGGTATAATTAGGCCTTGCAAGTGTTTGTTAAAATGCCCAAAAGATTGCTTGTTTTTGTAAGCCTGCTCTCATTCTCTTGAAATTTGATTCGCTGAGATCGCGGCGCCTATCCTTTTCGCCATGAAAGTCACCAGCCATTGCCCACCCACCTTATCCTCTCTCTCTCTTTCTCTCTCTGACTCTGCCCATGTGGGTATGCGCAACCATGGCAAATGAGAAAAACAATAAAAATATTAGATCTTTTTGCAAACTCTAAAATATTTTACAGCTTCGAGCCTTTAAATAATGAGAAAAATGTACTATTTTAATGAGGGGAAGTAATGTAAAGGTGACCCATTTACATTATGGCTGTCTCTTTCTAATTGAGGGATTGAGACAAACAGAGCCAAGCCAACAAACAACCCATCCTTCCCAAATCGGGAAACTTCCTTACGTTCTTTGCCTTCTCTGCAAATCTCCTCTCCAGCTCTCATGGGAGGCTCAGGGAATGAACGTCTCGATTTTGGAAAAATGGGTTACGGGTACGCATCCGCCTTATCCTTCTTCTTCTTTTTGCTTTCCATTTTCATTCCCTTCAAATTTTTGCTATTGTTCGCGTTTTTGTGACTGATTGTTTCATTTGTCTTCTGGGTTTTGCTTGTTTCATTTCTCTTCTGGGTTTTGCTTGTTTCATTTCTCTTCTGGGTTTTGCTTTTTCTTTGTGCAGATGCAAGCATTATAGAAGAAGATGCCAGATTCGAGCTCCGTGCTGCAACGAGATCTATCCATGTCGTCATTGTCACAACGAAGCCACGGTATTTGTTATATTAGCTAAAACAGCATTTCAATTCATAAATTCATAACATTGGTGGTTGGCCTATGCACCTGTTTCTCATCTGGGTACATTTGATTTGTTCAGAGCATGTTGAGCAACCCTTTTGATCGGCATGAGCTCGTCCGCTACGATGTTAAACAAGTACGTGAAATATATATGCCATACTCTCTGTTTTTTTATTTCTGTGTTACTTCTCTGAGTTTTCTCATTGTGTTTATTGTGGTGCTGTTTCAGGTTGTTTGTTCAGTTTGTGACACAGAGCAGCCGGTATGTGTCTTCCTATGTTGGTTTCAATCCAAATTAAACAAAAGAGCATAGAAAAACGCCTTCTTGGTTCTGATTTTCTTCGATACCTGTATTGGTTTTAGGTTGCACGAGTCTGTACAAACTGCGGTGTCAGTATGGGGGAATATTTCTGTGAAATTTGCAAATTCTACGATGATGATGTAAGCTTACTACCATCTCAAATTGAATTACCGTACCCAGAAATTTAAAGAAGAAATATTTAGTGAAAAGTTTGTTTCCTTTGATTCTGTTGATTTATCAGTCTTTCTCTAGAAATGAACTAGATTCAGATTTGGTAGTTGGTGTGTGATCTTATATGGTATTGGTGGTTCCTCCTTTTTTGAAGTATGCCTTTTCGTTTATACCATGCAGACTGATAAAGGGCAATTTCATTGTAATGATTGTGGGATCTGCAGGTTAGTACAATTTCAGTATTTTTTTCCTGTTTTTTATATGGCTGATTTTTGTCATAAAAATTCATGATATTGAGGAGTTTCTTAATCTAAACTGTTATATGGAGAACAGAATTGGCGGTCGTGAGAAATTCTATCACTGCAAGAAGTGTGGTATGTACTTGCAACCATTATGGAAATTTTGTTGCTGAAATTGGAAACTTGCCTTCTTAATGAACTTCTTGCAAGCAATTAGTTATTCTTTTTTTTCTTTTTTTTTGGTCGAAGTTGAAATTCATTGCAAACCCTCAAAGGGGTAGAGAACAGTACAAACAAAGCCGAGTAAAAGCACCGGCCATAAAACTAACAGAAAACAAATAGGAACAAATCTAGCTAAAACTAGTACAGTATAGCATGAAGATCATGCTCCCGAGCCAAAAACTAAAATGTCAAAAGCCAACAAAAAGGCATTTAGCCCACAAAGAGGCATTATGCCCGCATTAAATATAAAATAAACCACAGGAAACCTAGCGGCCACAACCAAAGAGAAACTCCAAGCCGCCACCACCAACAAAGAGAAACTCCATGACTGTAGATGGACAAACCACCAATCACCACCATGAAGAACCAAACACCCGTAGGTCAGCAAGCCAAGCCAAACATCAATCAAAACATGGCCCACCCGAGATTCACTAATAGATCCAGAAATAACCCAACCAAAACATCCAAAAGACAGCAGCCAACAAAAAAAGAATGAGAAAACCCATTCCACAGTCAGGAGGAAAAGAACCAAGAACCTGGAAGGAGGTGGTGCAAGCACCCGAGCTAGAGCTCTACACACCTTCCAATAAATACGCGCCAAAACGCGTTTAAAATTTGTAGCTACAAACCAAGGATGAGGCCAGATCAAAGGGGAGGTGAAGAAATCCAGATGAGCCATGGATTTTGGGTCAGTATGGAGCAGGACCAGGGTAAAGATGGTGGTGATAGGGGAAATCATGCCCATGGTCTTCATCCCACCAGATTGGAAAAAGGGGGAGAGGGAAGTGTGATTCAAGGAGGAAGAAGGAGGAAGAGGAGGGGAGGGGAGGAGGGGTAGACCACCTCCCCCCCAAGATGAGGCGCTGAAGGGGTTGGGGGAGAGAGAGAGAGAGAGAGAGAGATGCGGCGCTTCGTTGCAGCAGATTCTTTGAAATAAAGAAATCTATACTATTTTGTTTCACATTCTGATTTACTCATATCTGTCTTTTGGACAATAGCATTCATTTTCTAGTGCTAATTTTAGTTTTGAAAAACCAGTTGGGTTTTGTGCTACCAATCATTCATTAAATTGTGGGATAAATGAAAATTTTAGCCCTGCATTCTCTACACCCTGTAGTTCTTCCTGGCATTTTCTTGTAATTGTCCTCTCATTTGCAGTATATTAAGCATAAAATGGGTGCTAGAGAGGTTTTACGTCATTGATTCATGGAATCTGGATTGCCTGGCTTTGGGTCATAGCTGTTGCTAAAATTGTGCAATGCATGTACTTTTCTATCTTCCTTGAACTACTAATTATGGGTTTGCATTTGGTTTAGTTTGTCAAAATATTAAAAATTCCTTTACCACATTGGATCTTTATTTGCTATGGGAAATTTCATTCTCTATGACGTTGAGTTCTTTGTGCTTACAAATCAACTTATTCATATTGGTTTTCTGAAATTTTTTTTCCAGTTAACCTTTCTTTTCTGTGGGACTTCTTCCTCTGACTTTGGGGTGGGGATGGGTGGGGAAAAGTTTTTTTATTATTTATTTATTTTTATTTATTTATTTTTATAATTTTGAAGAAGTTACTTTCTAACAATAGTATTTTGTTAGAGTTTTTCTTATAAATATGCTTGATATATTTTCAGGGTCTTGCTATTCAGTTGGTCTACGCGATAATCACTTGTGTGTGGAGAACTCCATGCGGCACCACTGCCCCATTTGTTATGAGGTTTGTCTTGAAATTTCCTTTGCAGTTTTACTAGTAGGAAACTTTTGTCATGTCCTAACTAACAGGTAAAACTATCATGTTGTGTTCTGCAGTTCCTTTTCGACTCGCTGAAAGACACTACTGTAATGAAATGTGGTCACACAATGCACTGTGAATGTTACAATGAAATGATGAAGCGTGACAAGTAAGTGGAATCACTTTAATTTCATTAGTTTACAAGTCAAAAGACGATTATTTTGCTTGCTAACTCAAATTGGTTCAGATACTGTTGTCCAATATGCTCCAAGTCAGTGATTGACATGTCCAGAACCTGGAGGAGAATAGATGAGGAGGTATACTTTTACAAAGATTTCAGTCATTTTTCTTGTCTTGGTCGAATGATACCAGTTACATGGTAGCAATGAAGATTTCATACTAATTTGTTGACATTTTCAAACTGCCAGATAGAAGCAACAGCGATGCCTGAGGATTACCGGTACAAGAAGGTACTTACTTTTCATCCTTGTTCAGGCCTACCTATAAAACAAGGCTAGTCTAGCTCTAATACCAGGACATGCCCTTTCTCTTTGGTGTAAAATGCTATGCCCCACTAATCCTGAACTCTTTATATGCACAAGTCTAAGAAGCAATGATAATTTGCAGGTATGGATCCTGTGCAATGATTGCAACGACACTACCGAAGTTTACTTCCACGTTATTGGGCAGAAATGCAACCACTGCAAATCATACAACACCCGCACGATTGCCCCTCCAGTTCTTCCTCAATGACCAGACATTCAGACATTGGTTCCCATCCCAGGAATATATCCAGTCTGGTAGGCGCAGTGAAAAGCTTGTACCGTTAATGAACAACGTAAATGGGGATTCGGTTTTTATCCTCTCAATTGGTTCTGTACCATTGCATTATGATTCAAATGATTGTAATGTTGTATGCGTCCATCGAACTTTTTCCGGGCTATTGTTCTTCCCCCAATTTATGTGGAACCCAGGTGATGCGTCTTGGGTTTATGTAAACATTATATATACTGCAAGTCAAGGGAATGGTATTATGGACCAATGAAAGATATGCCAGATGATAATAAGGATCATCTGTCATTATATATACTTTGAACCATTGATCAGATGATTTTTGTTTGATAATTTGTTTCAGTGCATGTTGTGCAACACTAGAGAGAGGCCAATGGGTGGATGGAGGAAATGCAACCCCTTTAGGATGTTGGCTTGCAAGTGTCAGGCTGATATGAGTCATTTTCTCCTTCAAATTGCATTACACAGTGCAAGAAATTATGAGAAAAAGACTCTGCTACAACTAACTTCAGGGCGATCATGATGGGGGCTTAAAGCCCCATCTCTGAGATCGAAAACCCCACATCATCCATCATCATGAATAACTTTAACAAATAATTCATTAACAAAGGCACTTTAATCATATGTCTGCAAAATATGTGTATTAATGAAAATGGAAATTCTCATGTGCTATTAATATTATGTTTAAGGACACAAGCAAAGTATCTAATATCTATGTCTTGATTATAAAGTAGCTGTTTCATTGTTGTACTACTTAAAATTAATCTAATCTATATGAAGAGGGGATTTGAAATTAGGTGCAATGGGAGCTCACTGTCTCGGCCAAGTGACCTAAACTTTAGATATGTTATTGTTTGCTTAAAGTGCACTAAGATATATTCTTCTCAATTTTACTTGCAAAATGCAAATCTCCAACCATGTATACACTTGAGAGTAGTATAATTACTAATATATCCCATGTCGATTGTAGGGGTCTTTTTGTTCCAACAGCCTGACAAATGGGCCTGGGCTACTGTAAGAGGAAGAGAAACAAAATTTCCCCCAATGGATGAGTTCAAGAACCAAGCTCCCAAAAGAGTTTTGAAAAGTTTGTTGAAACTTTAGAAAAACACTTTTAGGTTCTTTTCACCAATAACCAAATGAACGTAACAAATTGATAAGTGAGAGTGACTTAGCTTGAGGAGCTTGTGGCATGGGAGCTAAACTTTCACAAGTTTAGCAATTTGAGAGAGAGAAAAGCATGAATTTCTTATAGAGAGAAAAGGTTCAAAGTGGGGAAGAGGAAAATTAGGAAGATTTCTATCTCAGGAAGAGAGAACGATAAAAGTAGAAGATGAGGTGTCTTGAGTAAATTTCCAGTCACTTGACAAAGCTTGGTCATGCTCTGGATGATGATTTTTGCTGGGTAGAGGAAGCTCCTTTTTATAGGCGCTTAGAACCCTAATTCTATCGATCCTTCATTCCCACTTTTCCTTTGCTTTTTTCCATTCACTCTTTTTTGGTGAAATTTCTTTAGCTAGAGCTCATGGGTCACAGGCTCTTTGGGGTTCCAAAGTTTTTGTCTGGCTGAACCTCCCCCGTGGGGGTGAGGCGCCACCTGCTTTCTTCCTTGGTTTTCAAATTAGAGATCACAGAGGAAAAGAGAATGGGTAGAGTTGTTTGTCCAATGGGTACTCCTTCTACACACATGAATTTTCTTTGGTTCCTGCAATGGCTTCTCGTTGACAGTTATGGAGTTTTGACAAGGGTGGAATACGATGCTAGATTTTTACAAAGCGCTGGGCTGGGCTTTGTTTATAGTATTGGGTTATTGGTACTCTATTTCCAGCGTCCTGTGGGTTTTCGTCAAGCTGCTAGGAGTAGTCTATTTGTTTTATTTTAGGCATTTTACTGATGTGGGTTTGTCTAAGTGTAGCAACAGACTATTAGATGTTCTCCTAGGGCATTGGATCACTTTTTTCCCTCTCTCATGCTAACCCATGTGTTTGGGCCCGAGGAATGAGCTTAAGTTTTAGTGCTCCCAAATTCCCTAAACCTTACACTCCTTGAACCCTCAATGGGCCCTGTGAGTGCTTGTCCCCGTCCATACCACAACCTTCTCAGCAAGCCATGGGTAATTACGTGGCTTGGGCCCACTTAAGCCTGTAGCATGGCTTGGTATTAGAATAGCAGTCCTTTTCATGGCATTGCATGTTTATTTAGTATGCTTGTGCTTGAGTTTTATCGTGCTGCAATAAGCTATGATCGGGCCAAGTAGCATTGGATAGGTTAGCAAGCGTGATATAGAGCCAGTGCGTTTTGGCCCTTTTGCATGGCGGGCTTGCATGTTTGCTTGGCGTGACGCGTGGCCCATGGCTCGCACAAGTGTGTCTTACAAATTATCTTATGTCCTAATTGGGCTCCTTTTGTGATCAATTATTTGTGCTGGGCTAACAATAAACCTGGAACCAGCCCTTGGATTTTTGGGTCTCAACACCGATATAGGTAAAACTGAAAGTAAAGAAATAAACTAAAATTGTTGTAAAACTAAGGGGAATTGTAGAGATTAATAAGAGGAAGAGAAATACAGAGAATTTGTTTTATGAACTTGTTGTCTTCTATTTATAGGCTTACAACCATAATAAATTGACCTACTAAATATAGATTAAAGGCTACTAATTACTATACTAATAACATATGTTACACAACAACAAAAGGTGGAGATAATTGATATAATGGTGGTCATCTACATTCCATGGATTTATTTATAACACTCCCCCTTGGATGTCCACCATACAATGACATTATTGCCTCATTAAAAACCGAAGATGAGGGAAAAAGAGTGCAACTTTCTTCTCGATCATTGATATGGTGTTAGATACGCTTATGTTGCCTAATTAAAACCTTGCCAGGAAAAATCCAATGGGACAAAAACCTAGTCGAAAGGAACAAGAGTACAACGTGCATATGTCTTGTATGTAGTAAAATTGGGATGCTCCTCCTGATTGATATCTACCCTGATTTTCATTAACTTTTGGAATATAGGTTTCAAATTTTTTTTGGTAAAAAGGTTCATCAAATTATCTTGTGAACAAATTTGTCTAACTTCAATCTCTTGGATTTTTCTGAAACTATGTCACCCTTCGTGAAATTTGAGCAATACAAGCAACATTGTCTTCATAAATGATTGAACTCTTCAGGAGTATCAACAACTAATCTAATAGTTAGAATATGTTACAACAATATCAAATTTGAATTTAAAATACTTGGACTCTTAATGTTAACTCTTAATCAAGAATATTGTGGTACTTTATATCCTTCAAGGGGGGTGGCTTCATGCGATAAATCTCAAATATTTCATGAGCTTTAAAGATTTCCATGTACCATACAATCTTAATAAATATGCATTTAACACATGCTATAAGTTTCACGTCAAAATAACAACTGTACTTATAAAAATATAAATGCATCTACGATGGGATGAGAGACTAAAACCATGTTTCTACCAGGAAACCTATGTCATATTAGTGATCTTATTTCACTTCACAAACACCAATATGTAACCTTCATACTTAACATTTGTAATCCAGTGTTTGAGCTATATGTTCAATATTGAACACTTCATATTTAGTAATAAATGGAATTGGCTATTTCCATTTTGGCCAATCACTTAACTTGTCGACATTCATAAAATGAGATTTAATATGATCATAGCTCTTGATGATTGTAGTAGCTACTAATAAACCAAACGTATCATCAATTCGTGATCCCACAATTCTCATGTGCATGCACATGCATAATTTATAAGCATCTCATTGCTTTGGGGTACTAATGCCTCTTCAGGGGCTTATGTTGTCACTTATGGGACAAATATCTTTTTTACGATGAATTATTTAGAATATATGGATCATAACCTCTTATAAAGCGTTATTTTTTATAGGGCTTGAATTTTTCAAATAATCTCCACTTTTAGGGAGTTAAGTCTTTAGAGCCTAAAGATTTGTCATGCTTCAGGCATGCAACGGATTAGTTGATAGTCACTTATTATAATGTTAATGGATTGTGATACGAGAATATCAATGCATGTTAGCATATATATAACTTATATATGCATTATCTTGATGAGACAAAAGTGGAATGATTCAACACTATTTCACGACATTCTTCAGGAACTGTCATATCTTCCCCTGACGACGGGAAAATTGTCTCATGAAAGGAACAATCCTTAAAACATACGGTAAAGTGCGAGCACAACCAAAATCAACTTAGATTTCAATTTGGATTGATAATTCAATGCGTACATTATTTTTGTGCAATAGGCACATAAATGTATTTGAATGCCATAAATGATATTTATGGAGGGATTGTTGTTGGTTGGAAACATGCCTCAACCAAACTAATACTGTAATTATATAAAATGATATGGACTTCAACTACTTTAATGGTTGTGTAATACAACTCACAAAAGAAAGTAGAAAATTTCTCCAATAGACGCCTCTGGCTGTCAATATTGGGGGTAATACAAAAACATTACCATTAACTAACAATCCAACATAAAGATAAAGAAATACAAACTTGATTTAAAAGAACTCATAACAAGAAATAAATTAAAAAATATAATTGAAAAAAAAAATCAAATAAGATCAAAATAAAATATCCAAATTAAGCTAAAAAATTTGAAAAGAAAATAAGACATCAAATTAGTTGGGTGGACCCCACCACGAATCATGGAATCATGTGATTTTCCATTAGTATCAATGAAGAAGTCTGTAACATCAAGGTAAGTTATATTCATTGGGACAAGTCCATAAAATTAGCTTCAAACTAGAGTACCTAAACCATTTTTTCTTTGCCCTTGATCGAGGCTTGGTAAAGATCTACCAAATATTTTGGCGTGCGGTAGACGCATGCCGAGTGCCCATCTGCACAACAACTATGACAAGCTTCCCCAATTATCAGTCATATTTTGGGGGGCCCTTTGCCTTGTCTTGTTTGTTCTACTTCTAGTGGTTTATGGAGTAAACATTAATACATCTACCAAAACTTCTGATTTGAGATGTATACAATTGGAATTGAGGAACTTCATGCCCTTAATTATTTAAAATCAAAGAATTTTAGATTCTAATTTTATCAAGGAACTTTAGGTCCTGATCTAGTTGTATGATGAGAATCGAGGAAGTTCAAGCCCTGATCTCTTGTATAATATAAACTCATCATAAAATATAATAATTAATTAAAATCATGCTTAAAGAAATAAATAAATAAACTAAACCATGATAAGGTTAGAATTGTATGAATATACGAAATAACAATGAAAGTCATGTAACCTACAAAATGCCACGATAAGGTTAGAATTGTATGAATATATGAAATTACAATGAAAGTCATGTAACCTACAAAATGCCATAAATATTAACGAAGAAATAAGGCATATCATCTCAGAATGATTAAAGCACCAGAGCTTAATAAGATGAGAAATGAAAATATAAAGCAAGCATGCAACCAAAAGAAAAATATCGAACATGGCATTCATGCCTAAGATTAAGAAATTTTTATTTTTATTTTTAAAAATGAGCATAGTGAAGGTCAATGGTGAGTACAAAGAGAGCTCTATACCATATGATGACTCTAGCTTAGACGGAGAAGAAAATTCAGATAAAGAAATAATGCCAAGAGCAGCATTGTGCTGATAACGTGTTATAAAACTAAGGAGAATTGTAGAGATAAGTAAGAGGAAGAGAAATACAGATAATTTGTTCTATGAACTTGTTGTCTGCATATTTGATAACTACCTATTTATAGGCTTACAACCATAGGAAATTAACTCACTAAATATAGATTATAGGCTTACAGTCATCCACATTCCATGGATTTATAACAAAAATATACTTTTGAAAAGTAATTCCACGAGTTGCACCAACTTCAAGTAGTCGCCCTATAATTTTTGAAGCCCTTGAAAAATGCAACTAAGAAAATGTATTTGCATTTAAACCCTTTTAAATTTTATTTCTTTTTTATCACCATATATAGAGAGTAAACTTTGAAATTTCGTAATTTCAAGTTGTTGTTGGGTGTGGTGATCAAACTTCATGGGTGTATATAGCAAGTAGCAAAGTGAAGTTAGTTAAGTGAGTAGTACGGTCAATACGGGGTAAAAAAAAAAAAAAAAAAAAAAAAAAGTTAGTAACAACCATGGACCGCCGTTACACAAATACATGCTCCTCTCTCTTCCGGTCTTCCCTCTAAACCCTGATCGTTCAGTGCCTGGGCTTTAGCTCTCTCTCTCTCTCTCTCTCTCTCTCTCTCTCTCTCCAAAACTCGCCGAGTTCACTCGGAGCCCCAAAATCAGACTGGACTCGGTCCTTCAAAGCCATGCAAGTGGTCTCCAATACTCGCAGGCTCTCTAGAGCTCTCAAATCTCCCATTTTTATCAAATCCGATCAATTTCTCTCTCCAGATGTCCGAGTTCTCGAAGCTCCCCTCACTTCTTTCCAATGGCGGAACCTCAGCACCGTCTCTTCGCAAAACTCCTTGTTCTCTGGTAGGCTCAGCATTCGCTCATCTAATTCTCATTGCGAACCTTTCTCTTTTCTGTATTTAGTTGAAATTTTTTTTGTAACTAATATTCTGTTTGGTTGCCGAGAAATATCTGGCAAGCCAAAGCTGAACTCAAAGGAGTAAAGTATTACTTTTGAGAATTTTTTTTCTGTGTTGATGCAGTTTCTATAGTTTATATGTTGTTTGGTTGTTGAGAAACCTGAGGAAATGAAAGGAATAAAAGGGTTAAAGATAATGATTATTGAGTCTTATGTTTCTAGTGACGAAGTTAGAGTCTTTTGTTTTTATGTTCTCAGGTATTCTTAACTTTTTTTATATTTATAATCTGCGAGTATTTTTTCATGAACCAAACAAACAAGCAAAGTCTATATCTTGAAATCAATAATTTTGTAACATGAGGATATTGAATTATATAGGCATTACTCGCGGTTATCTTCTGCCAATGGAACAACACACAATGTGCACAATGATGACATTGAGAGCGCCCTTTTCTTCTGAAGTGAGTACCGTCGAAGGTGGTTCCACAGGTTGTAGCTTTGCTTTGGTGTAAATTGTTTCAAATTGATGTTTAAGTTGTTTTAGTAATATCTTCTTTTCTTGGTTGGGTGCAGAGGTTGTGAAGGAGCTGTATGATAAAATGCTGCAATCTGTGAATATAAAACGATCAATGCCCCCCAATGCTTGGTTATGGTCATTGATTGAGAATTGCAAAAAGCATGAAGATATTAAGCTTCTATTTGACATCTTGCAGAACCTACGCAGATTTGTTAGTTCCTAATCTCTCAGCATTCACCATTTTCAATTTGCATACTCTAAGTGAAGTTTAAGTTGTTTCTGTTGACAGTTGTATGCTTTGTTTTTGATTGCAGAGATTGTCAAATCTTCGCATCCATTCTGATTTTAATTGTAATCTCTGCCGAGAGGTTACTAAGGCATGTGCTCGTGTGGGGGCCCTCGACTTTGGTATGCCATATGAATCTTATTTTTAGGGCTCAAATTTGGTCTCTTTTTGTGAGTGAAATTCTAAATCTACAGTTTAGGGAAACCCTTGCATGTAGATTGTTGGGTGTTCAGAGTTCTGCACTTGCTGGATCTTATCAATTTATATATCTGACATTGCAGGAAAGAAGGCCTTGTGGAAACATAATGTGTATGGATTGGCTCCTACCATCGGATCTGCTCACCATTTACTGGTACTAATGAAATTGGACGTTGACCATTTAGGTTTCTCTTGTACTTGACATTTAGATGCAATAAAATCTTGCTGTAAATTGGCTGCAGATACATGCTAAAGAACGCGGTGATGCTAAACTTATGATGGAAATAATGAGTCTTTTAAAGAAGAATGACTTACCCTTGCAACCTGGTACAGCAGATATTGTTTTCAGGTATCTAGGTTATAAACTATGACTGCTTAGATAATGCTTTTACTTCTTACCTTTCAAAGTTTCATTGTGAAAAAGAACTTAAAATACTGGAAAGATTTCACAAGTGGTCTCTGTAGTGGTTTGATTGCAAAGAAACAAGATAATCATTAGCTAAGGTTTTTGTTTTCTGTAGGGTTTCACTTTTATATTTTTGTAACGTTCTTAACATGATCTTGAATCTGTTTTGGTTGACTATTTGCAGCATCTGTTACAATACTGATAATTGGCAGCTGATGTCTAAGTACTCAAAAAGGTTTGTCAAAGCTGGAGTAAAGCTACGGCAAACTGCGTTTGATCTATGGATGGAATTTGCTGCTAAAATAGGTTTCTACAAATTCTCTGTTCTCTTATATTATGTTTTGAGACCAAATTATGATTATTTTTTCTATCGTCATCCCCAGTAGGTTATGCTATCCTTGGCTTCAAATGAATATTATCCTTTATGATGGCATCTGGTATATTGTTTAAAGCATTTCAAGTTTCTCATTTGCAGGAGATGTTGAATCATTGTGGAAAATTGAGAAGTTACGATCTGAGTCGATGAAGCAGCACACTGTTGCGAGTGGATTTTCATGTGCTAAGGTATTGAACCTTACATCCCTCTATTCTCCCCCCAAACTTTCCATACCTATTTGTTAAAACGAGACGCACCGGTAGCTGGGTCCAGTAAGCTATGGTCTGGAGATGGTTGATTCTACTACCAGATATGTAAGAGAACCACTCAAACCTGGTTTTAGGTGGTTAAGTGACAGTTCCTCTATATATCTGGTTAAATGGCTTCTATGAAGCTAGAACCAAATAGCTCTTTGTCTAGTGGTATTTCTTTTGCCAATATCAAACGAGGTTCCAAGTTTGAATCCTCCTTTCTGTTAATAAGAAAAGAAAAAAGAAAAAAAAACTAGAACTTAAAAGTTTGAGCTTTGCCTCAGCATCTCCAGTTAGAGCTTTGTTTGGTATAGCTATTAGTTTCAATCAATTCACCCCATGTTTTTTTTAACTTTTATTTACTAATTGTTTTGCAGGGTTTTCTCTTAGAACATAAGCCTGAGGAAGCTGCTTCCATCATCCAAGTTCTAAATCAGGTTTGATTCCTTATTACACTTTATATTTTGATAGGGAAAATAAGTCCTACAATAGCTAATTTGAAATCTGATTCTTTTGTAGAAATGTAAAGTCTTTAAACGGTACCACAGAGTCTCTCTGTTGAATGAATGGAGCAACTATGATTCATTTCATTTGTTTATTATATCAGGATAAATGACCATATTTGAACTTTTAATACTTCTGTCCACCCATTAGTAAATTTAATGTTTGACATACAAAGAGAGAATAGCTCCTACTCTGGTTTCGCATGAGGTGTGAGTTCCATTGTTGAACACAACTCAAGATTTTGGTTTCAGATTGGCTCCACCTTACCTTTAAGGACAAGATTATGATCAAACTTATTTCCATGTTATGGTTTTATTTCATATTTTCCTATATGTATGCCAGACTTTACCTGATGCAAAGAAGTCCAGCATTGTGGTTGAGCTTCAAAAGTTGGGTAGTGAGTGGCCCTTAGAGGTTATTAGGCACCAAAAGGAAGAGGACAGAAAGGTATACCATTTATGCAACTGTTTTTCTTGTTCAATAGTCTGTTTGAGAACTCAAGCTTACACGCTGTCCCTGTATCCAGGCTTTAGCTGTATCTTTAACATCTGATATTCCTGCAATGGTTAGTGGTCTATTAACCACGGGATTACAAGTGAATGTAAACATTGAGGACCTAACCAGCAAAGAAGGTGTTCTTTATTGAACTCCTCGGGGATGAATGAAAATCTGAAGCTCCATGTGCCATTCGTATCCTGTAAAAGAGAGAACCATGTGTTTTGGCCAAGGTTGATGAGCACCCCAATGATTGCTCTCCTTACAAAGGCAATGCAAGTTTTGTTGTTATGTCAGTGATTTGATTCAATTAACTTTACCAGTGTGTTTGTATCATTTCAAATATCTTCAAGCTGAAACTTCTGACGCGGAGGGATTTTCGGAATGTGACATTTGATAGGTTAATTTTATACTCTAGTTAGATCTTTCAGAGCAAGAGGACCTACTAAACCCTATTGCATAGTTTCAAATCACAATTTCTGGATTTGGGCAACGTGAAGCTTTTCTTTTAATAAAAATTAATGGATGGCCGTATATATCTTTTGATTTGTCGACTGTGATTCACATCCTCGAAGGTTTTCTTCAGTTTCCTATGGCTAATTTTTCAAATATAAACCGAAATTCTTTCTAATGTTCACTCAGCTTTTTTATGATAGTAAAAGATTTCACACCCTTGATGCTTCTCCTGAGCTATATAGTAATTCTATGATTTACATAAACAACTGATGCACCAAAGTGCTGTAAAATGGACAACCAATGCACGAAAATGCTTTGGATTATACTCCTAATAAAAGTATCAATTGGCTCATAGGTGCATAGTTTCTGCATGCAGTGGGATATGGCTGTTGTTGCCTCTCTCTTTCCCAGCATTTTCTTCTTCCTGTACGCCACCTTCATTCTTCAATCCACAAGTGCTATCAGCAGCACTGCTGGTGATGGCATTGCCCTGTTTGCCTGATCCACCGCAACTCACCTCTTTCCCCATTATACAACCACTCCATGACCAACCTTGAGCGTATACGATCAGCTGCTTATTGTTCTTTCTTGCACCTCAACCACATCCGCTCCCTCACCACCTCCTCTCCATCCTCACGCCAGGAATATGATATTTCTTCTAGATTAGTCCCTGAAAACGGTGAGTATATGGACACAGGAAGTGACGTCATTTGGATAAAATGCTTACAAAGTTCCAATGTCTTTAACCCTGCAGAATCTTCCTCTTGCAGCTACTATTCGTGCGATTCCCTTTCTTGTAATGATCTAGGTGCAAGCGGCAACACTTGCGGAGGCAGAGATTTTCGTGAACCTTGCTACTATATAGGAGAATATGTAGATCGTTCCACAACAAGGGGAACTCTTTCTCATGACAACTTTTCATTTGAAGGCTCTGAGAGGGAGCTTGTAGATGTTGGACACTTGGATTTTGGCTGTTCCAACTACTCTTCATGGGAATTTGTGGGGAACCAAACAAACAGGTGCTCTGGGCTTGAACAGGGATGCTTTGTCCTTACCTTCTTAACTGGGCGTAACGAAGTTCTCATACTGCATGGTGCTGCCAAACTCCATTTGATCAAGAGGAAAAGGCCTACTACTATGTCACTCTGAATGGAATTAGCATTGGTGATCAAGATGTTCCTCTCCCTGATGGGATTTTTAGTATGATAAGTGATGGGGAAGGAAGGTTTGTTATTGATTCAGGCACAACTTATACAATGCTTCGATCAGAAGCATATGACGTATTCGTCACGGCACTGCAAAAAGCCATGTGCTTGCTGCAAAGGAGAGATCCGATGGAATGGTTTGAGCAGTGTTTCGAGGGAAGTTTTGCGGACTCTGCAGGACCAGATGTTACATTTCTTTTTTATGGTGTACAAGTCATGCTAACGAAGCAAACTATTTTGAAGTAGAGCAGGGACTTTGGTGCCTTGCCATTATCAGGTCCAGTGAAAAGTTGTCCACGTTTGGAAATATTCAGCAGCGGAACTATTTTGTTGGTTATGACCTTGAACAAAGAGTGGTTTCGTTTGCTCCGGTTGACTGTGCTACCTTCTGATCATGACTTGGCACGGGGGTTATCTAGGTTAGCCGTGTAGCCATGGCCAGGAGCTTGGACATGCTTTTGTGTCATATTAGTCTTTCCCCATCTTTTGATTCTAAGACAGGCATTCACACCCCTGAAGCTTTTCTTCAGCTTCCTGCGTTTTTCCAATATGAACCCTTAACCATAAAATACCTAACCCTGCAACAATTCTGTCCAATGTCGAAATATTATTCACTCAGCTACTTTTGATGCAAGAGTAAAGGTATCACATCCTTGATGCCTTTCTTGACCTACTTTTTTTATAATAAAAAAAATCATTCACACTTTATATTAGTTCACAAACTACATGGTATACATTAATAACTAAATCCACTCCTAATGCTGCCTTATTAATAGACAACTATTGCACCAAAATGCATAGATTACCTTCCTAAAAAAGCATTAGTTGGCTAGGTACCTTTCTGATGCAGTATTCTCATATATTAGATAATGGGCATATCGCTGCCCTCTCTCTTTTCCACCATTTTCTTCTTCTTGAACACCATCTTTATTCTTCAATCCATAAACTCTATCAGCAGCAGTACTGCTGGTGATGGCTTTTCGGTTTGTCTGATCCACCGTGACTCACCTCTATCCCCATCATACAATCGTTCCATGACCGCCTATGATCGTATACAAGCTGCTGCTTATCGTTCTGTCTTGCGTCTTAACCACATCCACTCTCTCACCACCACCTTTTCATCCTCAGAACATGATATCTCTTCTAGAATAGTCCCTGAAAATGGTGAGTACATAGTGACTTTCTCTGTGGGCACTCCCCCTACCCAAGTACATGCCTTCATGGACACTGGAAGTGACGCCATTTGGGTCAAATGCTCACAAAGCTTCCCCGTCTTCAACCCTGCAAAATCCTCCTCTTACGGTCACTACTTGTGTGATTCCCTTCCCTGTGAGGCTCTTGGGGTAGGTAGGAGAACCTGTGCAGAGTTTCTTGACCCTTGCTACTATAGGGTGATATATGGAGATGGTTCTACAACAGAGGGAACTCTGTCCCATGACAAGTTTGCATTTGAAGACCCTGAGAGGAACCTTGTGGATGTTGGTCACTTGGATTTTGGTTGTTCTGACTTCTCTTCATGGCATTTTCGTGGGAACCAATCAGGGGCTCTCGGCCTGAGCCGGCAACCCCTGTCCTTAATTTCTCAACTAGGCATAAAAAAGTTCTCGTACTGCATGGTGCTCCCGGACAATGAGGGATCAGGAAGCAGGATGTATTTTGGCTCAGAGGCAGTGATCTCTGGTGGGCAAACTCCACTTCTGAAGGGAGTGGATTGGTATTACTATGTCACTCTCATTGGAATTAGCATTGGTGACCAAAATGTTCCTCTCCCTGATGGGATTTTAACATGACAAGTGATGGGGAAGGAGGGTTTATTATTGATTCAGGCACAACTTACACATTACTTAGATCAGAAGCATATGATGCATTGATCGAGGCACTGGGGGAAGCCATAGATTTGCCTCAAAGGAGAGGACCAAGCGAATGGTATGAGTTGTGTTTTGAGGGAAGTTTTGAGGACTTGGATTCTGCAGCACCAGATTTGAAATTCATTTTTGATGGTGCCGAAGTCATTCTAATGAAACAAACTACTTACATTGAAGCAGAGAAGGGGCTTTGGTGCCTTGCCATGGTGAGGTCCAATGAAGAGTTGTCCATACTTGGAAATATGCAACAACAGAACTATTTTGTTGGTTATGACCTTGATCAAGAAGTGGTTTCTTTTGCTCCAGTTGACTGTGCTACCTTCTAGTAGGTAGTGGCCTAACCAACTTCAATAATATTTCTGATCTTTCCAGACTTTTAATCAGAAAAACATGCTAGCAAGTCTTTTTATCAACCCCCTTTTTTTTTATTTTGGGGAAAAATAGGAAATATGAATTTAAAGATAATAAAAATTCTCAACAGAATTGTAATAATCAAATACAATAACAAATTTACATAAAATTAATGTAAATTAGTCAAACAAAGTAGGGTTGAATATTTTTTAGGTTGTATTTCATTCTCCAAAATAAGGTATTTATAGTACAAGAATGTAACCATAGTAGGGTCAAACTAGGAAACAAGATAAAATCCTAATTACACAATATATGTACTAAAGGAAAGAAATATAATCCTAATAAACTAGGAAATAAATATCCTAATAAGCTAGGATCTCGCTAACACTCCCCCTCAAGTTGGAGCAAAGATGTCACGCATGCCCAACTTGTCAAGCGAGTTGAGAAAGACTGTAGTAGACACAGCTTTCATAAGAACATTTGCCAATTGATACTCGGATGATATAAACGGAAAAGAAATAATTTTAGCATCCAACTTTTCTTTAACAAAATGTTGATCAACCTCCACATGCTTTGTACGATCATGTTGCACAAGGTTATGCTCAATTGCAATTGCAACTTTATTATCACAATACAAATCTATGGGTTTCTGGGGTCCAAACCCAAGATCTCTCAACAATCTTCTCAACCATAGTAACTCGCACACACCTTGAGTCATCCCACAGTACTCGGCCTCGGCACTAGACATAGACACCACTTTTTACTTTTTACTCATCCAAGTAACAAAATTACCACCAACAAATGTGAAATACCCAGATGTAGAACGTCTATTAGTGACTGAACCAACCCAATCATCACTCGTATACCCTTCCACAAAACATTAACTCATTTCCAGGAGTTACTTTCAGATACCTCAAAATGCGCATCACAGCACCTATATGATCTTCACTAGGAGAATGCATAAACTGACTCACTACACTCACTGCATATGAAGTATCAAGACGTGTATGAGATAAATAAATCAATTTCCTCACAAGTCATTGATAACGCTCTTTATCTGTATGGACTTGATCATGATACAACCTCAACTTATGATTCTGTTCACTAGGGGTATAAATTGGTTTACAATCCAACATTTCAGTCTCTGCAAGTAAAACCAAAATATACTTTCTTTGAGACATAAAGATACCATGTTTAGATCTGGCAACTTCAATCCCAAGAAAGTACTTCAAATCACCCAATGACTTCATCTCAAACTCGGAAGCCAGATACTTCTGAAGATTTTGCATTTTTGCATGATCATCTCTAGTCATAATCATATCATCAACATAAATAATTAAAGCTGTCAATTTACCTTTATGACGCTTCAGAAACAAAGTATGGTCTGAATTACTTTTCACATACTCAAATTTCTTCATAAATGCTGCAAATCTCCCGAACCACGCTCTTGGAGACTGCTATAGGGTAGGATTATTCTCCCAAAATCCTAGCACACAAGGAGACTATAAAATACATAGCTACGCAAGACATTTGAGGTAATTCTTTTTAATTGCTTTCTCACTCGAAAAAACCCTATCTCTCTCTCTCTCTCTCTCTCTCTCTCTCTCTCTCCCCTTCCCCACTCTCTCTCTCATAAGGCTAAGCGCCACCACACACGGCTAAGGCCATCTGACTCTCCCAATGAGAGAAAACTCTATTCATTTTAGCTATTGTCGTATCTTTATCAAGATACAATTGAACTAAATTAGGCATTGGAGGGCCTTTGGCCAACACTCCGCGGGTGTGGTCTATTTACTCCTATTTATTTCGCAAGGATCGAGAAAGAGAGAGAAGGAAGATCGAAGGTTGAGGAATCACATCCTTGATGCAAGAGTAAAGGTATCACATCCTTTTGATGCAAGAGTAAAGGTATCACATCCTTGATGCCTTTCTTGACCTACTTTTTTTTTATAATAAAAAAACTCATTCACACTTTATATTAGTTCACAAACTTACACGGTATACATTAATAACTAAATTTACTCCTAATGCTGCCTTATTAATAGACAACAATTGCACCAAAATGCATAGATTATCTTCCTAAAAAAGCATTAGTTGGCTAGGTACTTAAATTCTGATGCAGTATTCTCATATATTAAATAATGGGCATATGACTGCCCTTTCTCTCTTTTCCACCATTTTCTTCTTCTTGAACACCATCTTTACTCTTCAATCCATACACTCTATCAGCAGCAGTACTGCTGGTGATGGCTTTTCGGTTCGTCTGATTCACCATGACTCACCTCTATCCCCATCATACAATCATTCCATGACTGCCTATGATCGTATACAAGCTGCTGCTTATCGTTCTGTCTTGCGTCTTAACCACATCCACTCACTCACCACCACCTTTTCATCCTCAGAACAAGATATCTCTTCTAGAATAGTCCCTGAAAATGGTGAGTACATAGTGACTTTCTCTGTGGGCACTCCCCCTACCCAAGTACATGCCTTCATGGACACTGGAAGTGAGGTCATTTGGGTCAAATGCTCACAAAGCTCCCCTGTCTTCAACCCTGCAAAATCCTCCTCTTATGGTCACCATCCGTGTGATTCCCTTGCCTGTGAGGTTTTAGGGGTAGGCAGGAGAACCTGCGCAGAGTTTCTTGACCCTTGCTACTATAGGGTAAGATATGGAGATGGTTCCACAACGGAGGGAACTCTGTCCCATGACAAGTTTGCATTTGAAGACCCTGAGAGGAACCTTGTGGATGTTGGTCACTTGGATTTTGGTTGTTCTGACTACTCTTCATGGCATTTTGTTGGGAATGAATCAGGTGCTCTTGGCTTGAGCCGGCGGCCCCTGTCCTTAATTTCTCAACTAGGCATAAAAAAGTTCTCATACTGCATGGTGCTCCCGAACAACGAGGGATCGGGAAGCAGGTTGTATTTTGGATCAGAGGCAGTGATCTCTGGTGGGCGAACTCCATTTCTGGAAGGAGAGGATCGGTATTACTATGTCACTCTTATTGGAATTCGCATTGGTGACCAAAATGTACCTCTCCCTGTTGGGATTTTTAACAGGACAAGTGATGGGGAAGGAGGGTTTATGATTGATTCAGGCACAACTTACACATTTCTTAGATCAGAAGCATATGATGCATTGATCAAGGCACTGAACGAAGCCATAGATTTGCCACAAAGGAGAGGACCAAGCGAATGGTTTGAGTTGTGTTTTGAAGGAAGTTTTGAGGACTTGGAATCTGCAGCACCTGATGTGACATTCATTTTTGATGGTGCAGAAGTCATTCTAATGAAACAAACTACTTACATTGAAGCAAAGAAGGGGCTTTGGTGCCTTGCCATGGTGAGGTCCAATGAAAAGTTGTCCATATTTGGAAATGTCCAGCAACAGAACTATTTGTTGGTTTTGACCTTGAAGAACAAGTGGTTTCTTTTGCTCCAGTTGACGACTGTGCTACCTTCTAGTAGGTAGTGGCCTAACCAAATTCAACAATATTTCTCTTCTTTCAAGACTTTTAATCAGAAAAAAAAAATTGCTAGGAACTCTTTTTATCAACCTTTGATTTCACCCTTAGGAAAACAGAAGCCACAAAATCAAAGACCTCTGTGTGTGTGTGTGTGTGTGTGTGTGTATTAACACTTTGTGAACACAATAAAGTCCCCACCAACCCAACTTTTTATTTTCCTTCCAATTAATGTTTGAAATTGAAGATACTCTTCAACTTTTTCATGAGAGATTATGTCATAATGATCTAATTGCTTCCATGTCGACTTTTGAAAGGAATTGACAACAATATAAGCAGTTTCAGAAATACTATAGTGGACAAATAATATTTCGGAAGAAATATTGGTGAAAGAAATCAAATTTCTTTATTATGCACACACCAAACTAGCTAGTGCTTGACATAGAGAATAAAAATTGGGCTCTACCTCTGTTATAGGTATTGCAAATTATATGGTGCAGTGCACGCCATTATTCTACTTAGACCTCCTGTGGAGGCCTAAGGCAGCAAGCACAACTAGGTACATAAATGCCAGAGATCCAAGCATGGACAGGACTATTGCAGCTGCCGCATGGTTACAAAATCGCCCGAACACGTTGCAGACCTTGTTCCATTTCACATGTGAATTCCCTTGGTACCCCATCAGACCAATTGCCCCTGCGGCTCCATTGCAGGAGAAGAGCAATGCCACCATTAACAGATCAAGTAAGATGATCACCAGCCCTAAGCCGCTCTTGGTGCCCCGATTCGCAAACGAAAAGACTAGGGAAAATGCTGCATATGCACATGCTATGGCATTTGCTACCACAAAGTACCTAGCACAAAGTCAACCTTGGTAAAATTAGTCACTAGAATTATACAATAATTACTTACCAATAATCTAGAGTTACCAAAACAAAAAGAAGGAAATTTTAGAGGAGTTTTAGTTGTTGGAGTTCTTAACGACACACATTTTTTGCTCGCCACTGTTAATTGGTAACATTACAATACCCATTCATTTGTGTAGGTGGTAGTCTGGTAGATTAAAGGGAGATTTACTATTATACCTAATATAGGGACCCAAATTATAAAAATACCCCATATGAAATAGACTTTATAAACACACCCAAAGCCCATTTATAACATAACAAAGATGCTTTTATCTTCTTATAAATTACAAAACTGTCATCAATTTCTTAAAACAAGCCCAATCCCAAAATCTCATAAGAATACCCAAAACACTTAATGGGCCATCAAAGTAATTTAATAATCAATATTAAATTCAATAAGGCCAGTTGTCATTTTTTGGGTTTTTTATGGGTTTGTTTATAGAAATTCAATGATGTAGGGTTTATTTATAATATTAGTGCTAATAATGGATATATCACTATCACTCATCTGAAGGTAATTAATGCGACATTAATATTCGCCCCGATTACAGGTGGTGAGTAAACATATAGTCTACAAATTATAGACTGCGGTGTCCAGCACCAGCTGACTGAAAATTAGTAAGACAAAGTAGTTGAGGACATTTAAGCAAGTTTCTGTCATTGAGAACTCCTCCATCTCAAGGAGGATGATAATGACAACAAAAATGGTGAGAAGGGAGGATTACGTACTTATGAGGTACTTGTAAACTTGGATGATATTGTGGTTGATGTTGACCTTTCCACATAAAAGAAAACAAGAAAGAGGGACTTGTAAAGTTTTCTCACATGCATAGGGGATTTTATGCAATCACGGGAATAATAGCCAGAAATATTTAGAAAAGGCATGGGTGGGTGGAGGACCGAGTCAACTATGTGAGTTTACTGTAATTGGAAGCCAAGATCTTCCAGGTCTTCATGTAGGAGATATGTGTTCTATTTTGATCTCAGAAATCCCTTGTTTATGATTTTGGCCTTAAGCTTCAATTTGTATTGTATCAAATCACATCTAGCTTTACTCACACCAATCTCTTATAGGGTTATGATTTCTTAGTCTTGGTAGATATCTCGCATCTCGTGTAGTATGTTATGTTGTGAGACTGTTAATGGTTCTCGAATTACAGTATCACAACATAACATGTTAGCTTTTCTAACAAACATGTTAAATTTCGTAAATAAATTTTTTATTTAAAAACATGTTGAATGATGCAAAACAAAATAAACTGTATGTGTGGATAGATCATCAAAGAAAACATTAGTAATTAGTTAGTGTTCAAATCAGAGAGAGAGAGAGAGAGAGAGCGCTTACACAAAAGCAGATAAGTAATGCCACTTAGCAGTAGCTGGAATATCAATAGGAGGCAAGGTTGGGACGATCTTCATTGACACAATTTCGGTTTGTTTATTCACCCCAAGAACTACAGCTGCAGTTAGAGTCAGCATGAAGGCCAAAATCCTCAGAATTGACTCACAAGTCCCTGGTTTTCTCTGGTTTGCTGCCTTCCCTTCCTTCTGATCCACCCCATCCATCCCACTATTGCTCCCAATGTACTGGCTCTGGTTCTCCATGTCCCCAAAGTAACAAAGTAACAAAGTACCAAAGTACCAACCCAACTCAGAGACAGAGAGAGAATAGGAGAGAAGTTAAAGGACTAAGAGTAGTTTGAAGCTTTAAATAGAAAGGCAGAGTATGGTGGGTTTATGTCCTTTTTTTATGAAGGGGAGAGTGTGAAATTAAAGAGAGGATGGCTTTTTCTTAAACATATATTTTTTTTAGAGATATTTAGTGATATACCCATTCTTAGCTCTAATATTATAGATAAACCCTACACCATTGAATTTCTATAAACAAACAAAAAAAAACCCCAAAAAATGACTGCTAGCCTTATTGAATTTAATAGTGATTATTAAATTACTTTGATGCCCTATTGAGTGTTTTGGGTATTTTTATGAGATTTTGGGGTTGGGCTTGTTTTAAGAAATTAATGTCAGTTTTGTAATTTACAAAAAGTTAAAAGCCTCTTTGTTATGTTCTAAATAGGCTTTGGGTGTGTTTCTAAAGCCCATTTTATATGGTGTATTTTTATAATTTGGGCTCCTATATTGGGTATAATAGTGAATCTCCATTTTTTGTATTCAATAGATATTGAACGAGAAAGGAATCAAATCGAAGAACTCGAATGCAGGTGTAAATGCTACTATACTAGTCTCTTAAACTACAACGCTCTTGTAGAGAGTGACTTTTTTGACAAATGGGTTAGGGTAGGGTCCATATGGATTTAATTTCAATGAACAACTAGGGAAAGGACAAGGGCGAACAAAGGAGGTGGATAAGTTGGAAGAAGACAGACTGACAGAGGAATAGGACTCCGTTGGGTATGTGCTCATGCTATGCCACATTTTCATATTTTCGATGTGTATGTATGTGATCAGTTGGACATGCGGCCCCAGATTTATCTGCAGTCTCTCTACACTCTATAACTTGCGGGTTTTCAAATGTGTCGATGAATTAGGACCAGCTGCCTAACAAGTTCAAGATAACTCTCAGACTCATGGATGGCCAGCTGGCAAGAAATGCATTATGTTATAATACGTCAATTAGTAACATTATGTGACGGTATTCTCATACCACATAACATAATCTTTTCTCTTCAGTTAATTTTCTACAACTATTAAACACACGAGTTTCAATGATACATGTGATTTATGGATAATTGCACGATTAGATTTAGAATTTGATTGTGATGGGTTAGTAGGTTTTTCCTAACTAGTTACTACAAACAAAACAAAAGAAAAAAGAACAAAGGTTACCAAAGATGGTTATTAGATTATAGAGGTCAATAATGCTATTTGTACGGTTGGGAAGATCAAGTGCCATCAAAGCTCGAGTTAAAATGCTGGGATTCATTATTTGATCCATATATTTATACCTGCATCGAACTATATATGTATATTATTTTCTTTAATCCAGTATCTATGCCTATGAGGGAACAAGTAACCAAACATTTTAAATTGTCATAATAATTTTCTTAAACCATTTTTTTTTATTGTAATAAAGAGCAGATCTCCACATATCTTTGGAAAGAATTGCTACGTCTTCCCCCCTTTTGATAAGGTGAGAAATATGCAATTATCGAGTTTTTACCATAACACTAGAGACACCAATTTTTTAATTTCCTTTCTTTGAAGACCTTTTTTTTTATTGAGATAGACGATAATATACTAAACTCACACACACTATACGAATACTAAGACCCGAACCCAAAATCTTTTCTAAAAGAATAATTGCTCCAAACCACTAGCTCCTTTGGCAGAGACACCAATTTTTGCACATAAATTGATGTGTCAATTTCGGTGTTAAAATATTGAAAGATAATAAATCAGTATCCCTAATATTCTTCGAACTTATATGGGCAACCATGAAATTAAGTGCATGGCATGGCCTATCTTCTCTTTTGAACTGAAGATGTGTTATCCACGCGTATTTCGAACACGGCTACATTATTGGCTAGGTTGGCTTTCACACTACCATCACGGCTACAAGTTGCCCATAAAATATCTTCTTCTTTCAATTATATGGACAAGGCCGCATGACCCGTATCTTGAAATAAAAATTTCAACGAAAACGAATAAGTTCAATGAAAGAAGAAGATATTTTATACTAAAATAAATAAATAATTAAAAGATTTTTAAATTCTATTATGTCATTCTCTCATTAAAAGGACTGACAAACACAAAAAGTTCGTAAAAAAAGTAGTTAAGAACAATTATCCTTATACTCAATATCCTGTGTTAAAATTCCCCCCCACCCCCGACTATCATTTATATAAATAATGAATGGCAGCAAAAACAGATCCTAAACTTATTGGTTAAGAATGCGATCCAATCCTGAGACAATCACTTTCTTCTCTACAATATTGTGCAGACGTGTCATTCTTTTCCTCCTCAGAACTATGAATAAATTATTAGTCAACGCATAAGATAAGAATTTAATTTCCAGCATATAAATATTAGGTGGGATGATTTTTATAAGTTGGCACTGACAAGGTGATGAAGTTGGAAAGAAAACCTAAAGACACGAAACAGCCTTGAGCCTTCAATGATTTCAGAATTGATATTATATTCCGGCCTCAACTATAATATTATTATAACGCCAGCAGTGAGTCTTAAATCCTGGTAGTTGATTGAAATTCAATAACTTAACCTACTACTTGTTTCAAAAGTTATGACGCATTACAATGTTATTATTATTATATTTTTTTTATGTATAAAAAAATTATTTTTGATATATAATATATTATGAGGGCTAAGTACAATAATAATAATAATAATAATAATAATAATAATTAGAAAAATGCCATAAATTACATTCATATTTCAAGGCTAAAGATCATCTGCCACAAGAACTAATACTGCTCTCTTTGCAGCAAAATCACAATAAAAACCCAAACCCTTTGGGACGGGGATTTGCATAGGCTTGCGCATTTCATAGGCCTTTGAAAATTCAATATCAAATCTAACACAATATGAAGACATAAGATTTGATCTCGATCAAGGTGATAGGGACCCCATATAATGAAAAACACTTGTGTGAAATGTTTGTTATTCCTGATCAATCACGGCATGTCATTGTAATAATTTTTCCACATGGCAGTTTGTGATTTGTTAGGAATAGCAAACCAATGCTAACTATTCACGTTTCATACAAGTTTTTCTACCTTGCTGGTCAGAGTTTTCGATTGAAAGTGACAAATATTTTAAAAATGTTAATGTTATTAAACTGAATGAGAGAATAACTCATATAACAGCGCTGGTCAAAATTTTAGACAAAAAGTAAAAAATGTTAGGTACAACTCTACTTCAACAATGGAAAATCTAATAGGGATAATTGCTGCATATATAAAGTGCAGCATTATTAATTATTGTTGTATGACCAGGACGTTCATATATACTTAAAGTTTGCAGAAAACGTGCACGGCGAACTGTAGTGACGAAATAAAACTCTATACTTTAATATATATCTGAGCTAATTATGAGGTTAATTATTTATCGACGGCTAGGTCGGCTAGGATTAATGAAGTATATAAACTTTAATTACTTTCTGCAACTAATAATGCATACAAACTTTAAATTTATTTCAAGTCAACTGTGAGAGAGAGGCGTTGCATCTTCCAAACCCAATTTAGATTCCAAGATAGTAAATTTCAAACCATAAGGCTTTTCTTGCAGATGCAGTTTTAACCCCAAATATAAAATGAACATTTTTGTCTCCATTGTTTTCCAAGCTGATCCCCTGTGTGGATTTTTACAAGTACACAAGAAGTCCTCGTGTCGTGGATGAATGTATATGACTCAAACTCGAGCCAAACTATAGTACAAAAGAAGATTTCCATTATTATGTAAATTATAAAATTGGACAATTCGACGTCTTATGTTGTTAAACTGTCATATAAAATTACATGTTATAAAATGTCAAACATGAACACATTATCTTCTAATTAAAGAGGTGTTGATGTCCAAATCTGGAAACAACTTGTGGGGAATGAGAATGTGGTTATCTTCGGTAGATTAGGCAGAAGTAATCTTCGACAAGCGATGTAAGCAGGAGCGATCCTACACCTAGGGCAAGGTAGGCTGCTGCCTACTCCAAAATTTTCAAAAATAAAAAATACCCATATAGAATAGGCCAACCTATGTAAAACATACAAACCAATGCCCACCCAAAAACTAAGCCATATGCATGCATAACCTAAAATTTCTCTTCTCTTTAACTATCTCCTCTTTAATTATTTTCTCTTTAATTTCCTACCCCCAAATTTTAAGATTTTGTATATGACAACATTGAATTTAATATATTCTAAATAGGTTACAAGTTATGTGTTCTAATCTATTCTAGAGTTTACTTAAGAATGAATTATAATTTGCTGACTTTGTTGAAATGAATTAGGTCTTTGATTTTTGAATTTTGTTGAGATGTTTGATTTGATATTGGTATTGTTGAGATGTTTTGATTTGTTGTTGGTATGTTTATGTTTGATTAAAGGCATTGATGTTATTATGAGAATTTATTTGATTTTTTGTTGGGATGTTGGATTGAATAGGTTATTTTTTGTTATGTCAGATCACAATCTGAACCCCAAGAAAATAAAGAATTTGTTGGAAATTTTTTTAAAAATAAAAAAATTGTTTTTTTTTCTTTTTCCTCTATACTTTTATTTATGTATAGAAATGCATTTGAGAGTAAGACTCATTATGTCCTCCTACCAGGTGTATATTTTTATGTTTCTTAATGAGATTCACTCATAACCTCGAGATAAAAAATCAAACATAAACAAGAGGCAGTGGCTTTCTCTCTAGTACCAAATTAAAGTGACACATTTTGGTCACATGTCATTGCCCATTGGTTTTTTTTTTTCGTCTTGGGCCAAGTGGACTTCTTGTTCCACACGCTCCTCTTCGTTTTCAAACTGTGTGATCACATAGTTTTCTATTTTGGGTTTTGTCCAAGAATGGTTTTTGGCGCTTGGAAAGTACAACAAACTTTTTTTAAAGCTTGGAGGAGGACCACAGTACAGATAACACCTTCCTCCTCCCACAGTACATAATTGAGAAGCTGCAAGTATCATACTTTCAATTAAATAAAGTAATGTTTTGGCAAAAAAAATAAAGAAAATAAAGAAAATGAAGTTATCAAGTAGAAGATTCTCCCAATCTTAATAAGAATTAAACCAACTGAAAGTCCTACGCATATAATTTCAAGCATCCCTCTGAGACTTGAGTTCCCCAAAAAGAAAAATTAGGTTTTTCTATTTTGAACTTGAATTGGCTCAACCTATATACCCCATGAGATGCTACACATACTTCATAGTATGCCACTAACCCAAAAAAAATTCAGATAAAACATTTGGGCGGCAGAGAAAGTCAACTAAAAATTCCTCCCCTGAATTGAACCTATTAGTTTGCCTCTTATGTAATACTGATTGTTCATGTCCACTCCCTAATGTTGTCTTGTCAACCTTAATCTGCTACTTATAATTGCCACTTGTAGCTCAATATCCAGAGACATTAAAAGTGATTGGTGATGGGATCAACTAAGAAGCCTGTCATTTACTTTTGCTGCAGTTTTCTAATTAGGAGCTTATTGATCGTGGCATCAGTGATTTGTGTTGTGTCCATGTTAACTACCCGGCGAACAGAAGATTGGGAGGACGATACCTCTTACTACGGAACCTTTTTATCCAATTTTACTGCATCACCATCTTTCATGTGAGTTAAATTAAATATCTATATCTACATGCAACTCCCTAATCCTAAGTATCGAGAACGTGTCTCTAATGATACATTATTGACAATATCGATACAAACCTGTTCTTTAACAAAAGCAAACGTTCTACAAAGAGTTATGTGTATAATCTAGATTAATTTGAAGGGTCTATTCTTTAGAGTGCTTTAGTATGAAGGTTTCTTATCATTAACATTTGTTTACAATAGACAACACAAACCATTGAGTGCAAGATGAATTACAAAGTCTTCCTTTGCGCTTTAGAAAACACTTTGAAACTATTAGAAAGCACTCTCAAACTCAATCATTATTAGTCAAATGTTTCCTTTCTTTTCCATGCTTCTTAAGAATAATTTGTTTTGCAAAATATGTTTTTGCTAACGGTGCTATTGGTGCCAATCCAAAATAGTCATCATGAAACCCTCATTAATTGTTTTAAAACTTGTTATTTTTTTTTAAGAATGATTGCATATGTGCAGATACTTTGTGGTGGTATTCTCTGTGGCAGGCCTTTGTAACATCATTATTAAGTTATCATCTTGTTTAGTCATCTGCTTAGCTCCAGCTTCCCCAACAATGTTGCTCCTCTTTGCGTTTTTTGATGTGGTTAGCTCTCTCTCTCTCTCTCTCTCTCTCTCTCTCTCTCTCTCTCTCTCTCCAAAGTGAACCTAGCTAGATTTGCACTATATGTTAGCTCTCTCTTTCTCCATGTGTTACATATTTTTTTTCTTAAGTAAACACAAAATTAAACTAATCTGTGCAAAATTATAATGTGACAGTTGACACTGGGGCTCGTATCCTCGGCCACTGGCAGCATTGGCTTTGTTGTATATACCTTACAAATGGGAAACGATAACTTCAGCTGGTCGGAGTTCTGCAACGTTTACAACTCCTTCTGCAACCATCTAGGATTCTCTGTCGGCGTCTCCATATTTGCCACCATTTTGCTCATATTTCTTCTCTGGACCTCCCTCTTTTCTTTTTACAAAAGAATCTCAAAGCAGAGCCCACCACCACAATTAACACAGGGAGAGGCATAGTTGAAATTTTTTTTCCCGTAATTTTTGTATTGTGAATCTCACCTCTGCATGTAACTGTACATTATGGTGATGCCATATATGTGTTGTCTGAATAAAGGGTACCATTGTAATTTGCATCTCTCAAAGAGTGTCTTGTATATCTTCTCTGCAATGAGTAAATATATTCATCAAACGAAAATTCCAGAGATTATGAAATTGAATAAATGGACAAAGTTAAGCTGATCCCGTTTCAGCTGCCAAGTGGGTATGTATGTGAGATGTGACTATATATAAATATGGCAAAATTTGAGCCAATGATAATCAAGAAGTCATAATTTTCATTGGACGCAAGACTCCAATGCAAAATAAGATTTCTATTATTTGTAAATACGGCTAATTAGATATTGCAAGATGTTATGTTGTTAGTCCGTATTAGGGCTGGGCTCGGTTTGGGTTGGTTCGGTTTTGGGCTCAACTCGACACCGAACTGTACACTTCGGTTTGGCTATTTTGAAAACCGAAACCAAACCATAATTGATGAAAACCGACCACTTCGGTTAACCGGATTTGGTGGTTTGGTTTGGTTTGGTTTGGTTTCGGTTTTTTTGGCTCTTAGAGAGAGAGAGAGAGAACAAATAAAAGCGATGGGGAGGAGAAGAAGAAAAAAAGAGAGGGAGAGATGGAGAAGAAAGAAGAAGAAGAGGAGAAAAAGAAAAGAGAGAGAAGAAGAAGAGGGAGACGGCGAGAGGGAGTGAAGACAGATATAAGAAGAATGAGAAGAAAAAAAAATAGAGAGAGAGGGACTGATGAAGACAAGACAAACGGAGGGATTGAGAGAGAAAAAAAAGAAAAGATTGAAACTATGTATTATATATATATATTTCTTATAATAATATTATATATAATATTTTTTAATATCTTCGGTTTGGTTTGGTTAAACCATAGTTTTGAATATTGCAAACCCTACATCGAACCATATATTTTGGTTTGGTTTGGGTTCAAACTGATGATAAAAAAAATTGAAAAAAAACCAAACCAACTCAACCCATCAGTTTGGTTTGGGCGGTTTGGCCGGGTTTCGGGTCCAAATGCCCAGCCCTAGTCCGTACACATTGACAAATTGCTACATTGTTGTACGTACTAATAGTCTAAAGCATAACATGTTAGATTGTGGAATAAGAGAATATTATTTTCTAGAGAGAGATAACGACAAATATCATTAAGAAATCTTCTTTTGGTGTTTCGAAAGTATAACACCTCCCTTTTCCCACGAGCTACAAGCTGTCATTTTTTGATTTAAGTACCCAAGTAGCTGATGATCTTCCCACTTAAGAAACCAATATTTGAAAGTCACACACAGAAAATGTCAAACCATCCCATTGACACAGAGACTTTAGCACCCAAATAAAAATCACGTCGAGTGCCCTGTTTTTAATTCGAATTAAATTAATCTATAGCCCGTGAGGTGATATGAGAGAATTTCCATAGCATGAAACGCATATAAATAATTCAGATAAACTCATCTGTCCGGCAGAGAATGTCTAAGTGATCTGCCTCTTATATATATACATCAACGATATATAATCTGGAACTCAAAGTAGATTTTAATCGGTCACTATATAATATTATAATATAATTTTTACAATATATTATTCTTATTCAGTAATATGTGAGAATTATTTGTATAATACGTGAATTTTGTGTGTCTTACTAAAAATTTTGTAAAAAAATATGTGTATTAAGCAATAGAAATACGTATGTACATGTACAATACGACTATTGTAAGTTTGCTTTTAAAAAAGGGGAGACATGTATAGAACAAGAATGTATTATTAAAAAATATGTATGTACGTATATATAGTAATATATATATAAAAGACCATAGCCACTCATCTATACTATTTATTAAAGACAATTTTAAAAAAAGGTACACCTGGCCGGCTATACTATTTTTTTTAAAATAGAAAATATTAGAGTATAGCTGTGCAGCTATAATATTTAATAAAAAAACAGAGTAACCGCACAGCGCGTGCGTGTAAAATAGTATCGTTGTGAGGCTATACTTTAAAAAAAATCTAAAAACCTAGGTACAGCTGCACGACTATACTATTTTTTTAATAAACAAAAGGGACCCATCAATTAGGTGCCACGTGTCAAAACAAGGTTACTTTTTGAAAAAACTTAAAACCACGGAGTATAGCTGGGCGGCTGTACGTTTTTATTGTTAAAAAAAACCCCTCTAGCCATTAGGTGCCACGTGTCAAATAAAGTATAGCCGCTGGGCAATATTTATTTGTTTTTAAAAAAAATCGCAGTATAGCTGTCCCGCTATACTTTATTTTTATTTATTTAAAAAAGGACCCTCCTAGTTGCATTAGTTTGTACTTTATGGATATTAATTTGCTAGTTTCAACAAATCCAAAGTAGATTTCAATCGGCCACTATATAATATTATAATGTAATTTTTATAATATACTATTCTTATTGTGTAATATGTGAGAATTATTTGTATAATACGTGAATTTTGTGTGTCTTATTGAAAATTTTGTAAAAAATATGTGTATTAAGCAATAGAAATACGTAAGTACATGTACAATATGACTATTGTACATTTGCTTTTTAAAAAACAGGAGGCGTGTATAGAACACGAATGTATTATTAAAAAATATGTTCGTATATATAATAATAAATATAAAAGACTATAGCCACTCATCTATACTATTTATTAAAGACAATTTTATAAATATTAAAAATTAAAAAAAAAGGTAAAGCCTTCCGGCTATACGATTTAAAATTAAAAAAAAAAATTAGAGTATAGCCACTATACTATTTAATATAAAAAACCGCACAGCGTATGAGTGTAAAATTGTATAGCCTTGCGGCTATACATTTTTAAAAAATATAAAAACCTGAGTACTACTCAAGGAGGCTACTATTTTTATTGTTACAAAAATGAGGCGCTACGTGTCAAAACGAGGCTACTTTTTGAAAAAAACTTAAAAACAAGGGGTATAGCCGTCCGGCTGTACTATTTTTATTGTTACAAAAAGAGTAAACTGTCGAAAACCCCCTTGAACTATAATGTTTTTCGAAATGTCCACCATGAATTATTTTTTCATCCAATTTAACGATCATACTATTTTCAATGGTCAATTTAGCCCCTGCCGTTAGTTTTCATGTAATTTCATCTAATTTTCCATTAAAAATAATTAAATTTTTTAAAAGTAATAATAAAATAATAAAAAATAAAAAAAAAAAAAAAAAAAAAAAAAAAAAACAATCAGCGTCTTCCCCACCCCATCCCCAGACCATCTCTCTGCAACCCCACGTCCGCAAGGTTTTTCCAGTGAAAGAGCAGCAGTGGAGGTGGAGAAGAAGGAGGACTTGAAGATATACCCACCTCTACAACACTGTCATGGACATTGCAATGTTTTTCTGAGCAAACAAATTTGTAATGTTCTCAACCAAACTAATTTGGGTTTAGGGATTTCTTCTCCTTCCTCTTTCTGGGTTTTGAGTTTAGAAATTTACAAACCATGGCTCGATGGTCTGCGACAGCATCAGCTGGATTGGGTGTTAAAAATTGATATTTTTTTCTCTGGTTTTTCAAAGAGCTCGAATGGGGAAGAAATAAATCGGGGGGAGGGGGGGAGAGGGGATTCTGGTTTCTGCAGGTGGGTGTGGGAGGAGGGGGGAGGGGTATGTGGGTGGTGGTTGGGAAATGGGGCTGGAAGAAATCAGAATGAGGGAGAAGAAATCGGGGGAGGGGGTGCTGATTCTGGGTTTTGCTGGGTGGGGGGGGTTGCGGGTTGGGGGAATGGGGGAAACTAGAATTTATATATAAAAAAATATGAAACTAGAAAAAGAACTCCAAGATCCAGCAAAACCCAATCCTTGTCAAGCTTTAAACTTTATGAACCATACAAAATTGACAACACCCAAGGTTGTTCCAACCATGAATTCTTCACTCAATTAAAAATTCCATTTTTTTTTTAACAAAAACATTATTTGTAAAGCTATAAATACATGTCGAAATAGCTGCCCAAGTCCATCTCCACTTCTTCCCCACCTGCCCTTCAGCCCATTGTTGCCTGTAGAATTTGCCCTTTCACTGGGAAGAAATCAAACAGAGGAAACGAGATTTCCTTCTCAGCTCACAAGACCAAAAAGTTGCAGTTTGTGAACCTACAATACAAGAGGGTTTGGTGGGAAGCTCGGAAATTAAACTGCGTTCGTCAACTAAAGCATTGAAAACGATAGAGAAAAACGGAATTGATGCCGTTGCCAAGGTTGGGATAGATCTTCACAAGTTATGATACTGGTGTTGTTTTGTTTATCCCCACTTGTTCTGTTGAAAGACATGCCTAATCACTATATTTTGTTATAATCAAATTACTTTTTTTGTTCCTATTTTACCCCAATATCTTGTTCAATATTCAACAACAACCAAAAAAAAAATCATAAAATGTCCAATTTACCCTTATATTTGACGAGCATTTAGATGGAATTCTGAAAAAACTAACGGCATGGGTGAAATTGGCGAATAAGATTAATACAATGACTAATTGGCTGAAAAATAATTCAAGGTGGACATTTCGACAAGCGTTATAGTTCAGGGGGTATTCAGCAGTTTACCCTTAAAAAAGTGCCCCTCTAGCCATTAAGTGCCATGTGTCTATACTTAGTATTATTATTATTATTTTAAAAGGATCCCCTCTAGTTACATTAGTTTGTACTTTATGCATATTAATTTGCTAGTTTCAACAAATCCAAAGCAGATTTTAATATACCACTATATAATATTATAATGTAATTTTTATAATATAATATTCTGATTCAGTAGTATGTGAGAATTATTTGTATAATACATGAATTTTGTGTGTCTTACTGATAGTTTTGTAAAAAAAATGTGTATTAGGCAATAGAAATACGTACGTACATGTACAGTACGACTATTGTACGTTTGCTTTTTAAAAATGGGAGATGTGTATAGAACACGAATATATTATTAAAAAATACGTATGTACGTATATGTAGTCATATATACAAAAGACTATAACCACTAATCTATACTATTTATTAAAGACATTTTTTTTTATTTAAAAAAAGGTAAAGCTGGATAGATACACTATTTTAAAAAAAAATCTAGAAAAAATTAGAGTATAGCCGTGCGGCTATACTATTTAATAAAAAAAAAGAAGAGTTGCCGAATAGTATCGCCGCGCGGCTATACCTTAAAAAATATATATATATATATATAAACCTAAGTACAGCCGCGTGGCTATACCTTTTAAAAAAAAAGGATCCCATTGATTAGGCGCCATGTGTCAAAACAAGGCCACATTCTTAAAAAAAATTAAAAACACGGAGTATAGCCGTGCGGCGGTACTATTTTTATTGTTAAAAAAAAAACCTCTACTCATTAGGTGCCACGTGTCAAACAACGTATAGCCGCCCGGCTATACTTATTATTATTATTTTTTAAAGGACCCCCCTTCTTGCATTAGTTTGTACTTTATAGATATTAATTTGCTAGTTTCAATAAATCCAAAGTAGATTTCAATCAGCCACTATATAATATTATAATGTAATTTTTATAATATATTATTCTTATTCAGTAATATGTGAGAATTATTTGTATAATACGTGAATTTTTTGAAAATTTTGGAAAAAATAAGTGTATTAAGCAATAGAAATGCGTACGTACATGTACAATACGACTATTGTACGTTTGCTTTTTAAAAAACGGGAGAACTGTATAGAACAAGAATGTATTATTAAAAAATACGTACATACGTATATATAGTAATAGATATAAAAGACTATAGCCACTCATCTATACTATTTATTAAAGACAATTATTAAAAAAACAATAAAGTCGGCAGGCTATACTATTTATAAATTTTAAAAAAAAAATTAGAGTATCGCCGTGCAGCTATACTATTTAATATAAAAAAAACCGCATAGCGTATGCGTGTAAAATCGTATAGCCGCGCGGCTATACTTTAAAAAAATAAATAAAAACCTGAGTACTGCAGTACTGCTATACTATTTTTTTAAATAAAAAAAAGGGACCATCGATTAGGAGCCACGTGTCGAAACAAGGCTAATTTTTGGAAAAAAACTTAAAAACACGACATATAGCCATGTGGTTGTACTATTTTTATTGTTAAGAAAAAGACCCTTTACCCATTAGGTGCCACGTGTCAAACAAAATATAGCCGCCCGGCTATGCTTATTATTAATTTTTTTTAAAAGAACCCTCCTGGTTGCATTAGTTTGTATTTTATAGATATTAATTTGCTAGCTTCAACAAATCCAAAATAGATTTTAATCGGCCACTATATAATATTATAATGTGATTTTTATAAGATATTATTCTTACTCAATAATATGTGAGAATTATTTGTATACTACATTAATTTTGTGTGTCTTGCTGAAAATTTTGTAAAAAATATGTGTATTAAGCAATAGAAATACGTACGTACATGTACAGTACGACTATTGTACGTTTGCTTTTTAAAAATGGGAGATGTGTATAGAACATGAATATATTATTAAAAAATACGTATGTACGTATATGTAGTCATATATACAAAAGACTATAACCACTAATCTATACTATTTATTAAAGACAATTTTTTTTTATTTAAAAAAAGGTAAAGCTGGATAGATACACTATTTTAAAAAAAAATCTAGAAAAAATTAGAGTATAGCTGTGCGGCTATACTATTTAATAAAAAAAGAAGAGTTGCCGAATAGTATCGCCGCGCGGCTATACCTTAAAAAATATATATATATATATAAACCTAAGTACAGCCGTGTGGCTATACCTTTTTTAAAAAAAAGGATCCCATCGATTAGGTGCCATGTGTCAAAACAAGGCCACATTCTTAAAAAAAAATTAAAAACACGGAGTATAGCCGTGCGGCGGTACTATTTTTATTGTTAAAAAAAAAACCCTCTACTCATTAGGTGCCACGTGTCAAACAACGTATAGCCGCCCGGCTATACTTATTATTATTATTTTTTAAAGGACCCCCCTTCTTGCATTAGTTTGTACTTTATAGATATTAATTTGCTAGTTTCAATAAATCCAAAGTAGATTTCAATCAGCCACTATATAATATTATAATGTAATTTTTATAATATATTATTCTTATTCAGTAATATGTGAGAATTATTTGTATAATACGTGAATTTTTTGAAAATTTTGGAAAAAATAAGTGTATTAAGCAATAGAAATGTGTACGTACATGTACAATACGACTATTGTACGTTTGCTTTTTAAAAAACGGGAGAACTGTATAGAACAAGAATGTATTATTAAAAAATACGTACATACGTATATATAGTAATAGATATAAAAGACTATAGCCACTCATCTATACTATTTATTAAAGACAATTATTAAAAAAACAATAAAGTCGGCAGGCTATACTATTTATAAATTTAAAAAAAAAAATTAGAGTATCGCCGTGCAGCTATACTATTTAATATAAAAAAACCGCATAGCGTATGCGTGTAAAATCGTATAGCCGCGCGGCTATACTTTAAAAAAATAAATAAAAACCTGAGTACTGCAGTACTGCTATACTATTTTTTTAAATAAAAAAAAGGGACCATCGATTAGGAGCCACGTGTCGAAACAAGGCTAATTTTTGGAAAAAAACTTAAAAACACGACATATAGCCATGTGGTTGTACTATTTTTATTGTTAAGAAAAAGACCCTTTACCCATTAGGTGCCACGTGTCAAACAAAATATAGCCGCCCGGCTATGCTTATTATTAATTTTTTTTTAAAAGAACCCTCCTGGTTGCATTAGTTTGTATTTTATAGATATTAATTTGCTAGCTTCAACAAATCCAAAATAGATTTTAATCGGCCACTATATAATATTATAATGTAATTTTTATAATATATTATTCTTACTCAATAATATGTGAGAATTATTTGTATAATACATTAATTTTGTGTGTCTTGCTGAAAATTTTGTAAAAAATATGTGTATTAAGCAATAGAAATATGTACGTACATGTACAATACGACTATTGTACGGGTGACGTGTATAGAGCACGAATGTATTATTAAAAAATATGTACTTATGTATATAGTAATATATATAAAAGACTACAGCCACTCATCTATACTATTTATTAAAGATAATTAAAAAAAAATAAAAAGAGTAAAGCCAGGCGGATACACTATTTTATAAAAAATTAGGAAAAGTTATTTAATAAAAAACAACACAACGCATGTGTGCATAATAGTAAAGCCGGGCGGCCATACTGTTTAAAAAATATTAAAACCTGAGTATGGCCGTGCTGCTATATTGTTTTCTTTATAATAATAATAAAAAAAAGGAACCCATTGATTAGGTGCCACGTGTCAAAACAAGGATATTGTTTGAAAAAAAATAATTTAAAAAGGGGTGTAGCCGTGCGGCTATACTATTTTTATTGTTTAAAAAAAGACCCTCTAGCCATTAGGTGCCACGTGTCAAGCAAAGTATAGCCGCCTGGCTATATGTATTTGTTTAAAACAAATTGTAGTATAGCCTGTTTTTAAAAGGACCCTCCTAGTTGCATTAGTTTGTACTTTATAGATATTAATTTGCTAGTTTCAATAAATCCAAAGTGGATTTTAATCAGCCACTATATAAAATTATAATGTAATTTTTATAATATATTATTCTTATTCAGTAATATGTGAGAATTATTTGTATAATACGTGAATTTTGTGTGTTTTACTGAAAATTTTGTAAAAAAATATGTGTATTAAGCAATAGAAATACGTACGTACATGTACAATAAGACTATTGTACGTTTGTTTTTTAAAAAACAAGTGACATGTATAGAGCACGAATGTATTATTTAAAAATACGTACGTACGTACGTATGTATATATAGTAATATATATATATATATAAAAGACTCAGTCTCGATCTCTTGGACTACACTATTTTTATAAATAAATAAAAAATTAAAGCCGGCCGGATACACTATTTTTAAAAGAAATTAGAAAAAATTAGAGTATTCCCGGGCGGCTATACTATTTAATAAAAAACTAAAATAGTATAGCCGGTCGGCTGTACTGTTTAAAAAAAATATAAAAACCTGAGTACAGCCGTGCGGCTATACTGTTTTAAATAAAAAAATACCCCATCTATTAGGCGCCACGTGCCAAAACAAAGCTACATTTTAAAAAACATTAAAAACACGGTGTATAGCCGTGCGGCTGTACGATTTTTATTGTTAAATAAAAAGACCTTGTAGTCATTAGTTGCCTCGTGTCAAACAACGTATAGCTGCCAGGCTATACATATTTGTTTTTAAAAAAATTCATAGTATAGCCGTCCGGCGATACTTATTATTATTTTTTTTTTAAAGGACCTTTCTAGTTGCATTAGTTTGTACTTTATAGATATTAATTTGTTAGTTTCTACAAATCCAAAGTGGATTTTAATCGGCCACTATATAATATTATAAAGTGATTTTTATAATGTATTATTCTTATTCAGTAATATATGAAAATTATTTGTGTAATACATGAATTTTGTGCGTCTTACTAAAAATTTTGTAAAAAATGTGTATTAAGCAATAGAAATATGTACATACATGTACAATAAGACTATTGTACGTTTGCTTTTTAAAGCGTATAGCCGCGCGTCTTTACGGGGAGTTTTTTTTTTCAATAAATTGTATAGCCGGGCGGCTTATACGTTTTTTACACGGTGGGTGCCTAAGTTCTAGGCCTTTTTTTTTTTTTTTTTTTTTTTTTTTTTTTTTTTTTTTTTAAATATGTTTATATATTTATTTTAAATCGTATAACCGCTTGGCTATACCCAACTTTTTAATTTTTTAAAAAATAGTATAGCCGCACGGCTATACGTTATATCCTCGCAATAGGTGTAAATTTAGCATAGATCCACCTTTACAGACTACCATTGTAGGTACCATCATAATGGTAGATGTGAAGCAAGAATAGGAAGTGTTTTTGGAAACAAGTACCTCTACCTTGGCACTTACAGCAGTAAGTTATCTCTGATCTCCTATCTCCATAACTGATTATAACATTATGCAACATATTAAAAAACTTGCTGCAATATAAACTGTCATAAAAGAGAGTTGAAAACTATAATGAAGAAAATTTGCACTTACTGAGCAATGTGTCTTTTTAATCTCATTTCAGGCACTCAAGAGGAAGCAACTCGTGCCTATGACATTGCAGCAATTGAGTAGAGAGGGATCAATGATGTGACTAACTTTGACTTGAGTTCTTACATAAGATGGCTAAAGCCAAGAGCAGACGATCCAATAGCCACTCAAGAATCAGAGACAGTCGCAGAGCCTCAGAATATGCCATTCATGGCCAACAGCTACATCCCAACAGAGGAGTCTTTCTCACACACAAATCCTTTTGCTTGAACTTCCACCCCCACCCCCACACCCCGCGCCCGAAAACAAGAAATCATCGGTAGCAGCATCCCTCTTAACACCGGTAGCAAGTCATCGTCTCCCACCGCACTTGGCCTCATCCTTCAATCATCAATATTCAGAGAGTTGGTTCAGAAGAACTCAAACTTCTCGGAGGATGAGAGTACTGACGGAGAAGAAACAAAGGACCAGCCACAGGTTGGTAGTGATGATGAGTTCGGTGGAATTTTCTATGATGGGATCGGCAACAACCCGTTTGCATGCTCTGCCAATTCTGATGGAGATAAAAACCCATGGAGCAGCATTACAAGCACCATTTTGCTCAATCAACCAACAAAAGCAAATGCCTCAGACTCTCTATTATTCTTTTCTTTGATGCATCATGGGAAACAGAACTTAGTCATATGGAAGAAATTTTGTTTCACTTGTAAATAACAGAATTGGCGCGTAAAAAAAGTACATGGCGTGATGAGATTGATGCTGCATATCAGTGTTAATTAAATCATGTCCAGCATTGCTTGCAAGTTGCATGTAAACAACTTAATAACATCGAGTTTATAGTTTTGGTAATGTGATGTTTACCAACTTTTTCGATTTTTCATAGTTTCATCTCACCTTAATATAGGCTGAGAGATTATTAACAAGAAAAAGAAAAGTGTGAACGTTTCCAAAGTTGCGTATGAATCATCATGCACTTTTTCGGTTCAGGTTCATTGTCCCAGATTCATTCAACTTAAATGCTGCAGTTTGCCTCCTTTACAGAGATGTACAATTGACAAGTAATACAGTGGTTCGTTCCCAATATGTAGCACAATTGTATTTTAGCCATTTGAACTCTGTTTTCTAGTTCATTTCTATTCCTTTCATTTCATGTGGTCAGATTCTACATCAAACACTCACATTCAATTTTTTTAACCCCTGTGATATATTGTTGCCTAAGCTGAAAACCACAAACCAGCAGATCCCATCTTGGTTGAGAGCATCGCGAGGGACTTCCATATACACTCTGATACAGGTAAGTATTTCTCGAGACATGTCATTTGAGGGTATCAATAAATTAAAAAGGAAGTTCACTGGAAAAAATAGATAAATGAAAAAGAAAGCAAAACACTGTGACAATTGTATAGCCAATATTAATATATATTTGAGTCTGTGTCTTTTAAGGGTAGTTAGGTCTTTTACTTATCTAGGGCATCTTTATATGCCTATATATTGTAAGCTTACAGCTGCTGTATATAATTTAATTGTTTCGTGAATATATTGGCATTCTCTGCTTCTTCTTGAATTGTTCACATGGTATCAGAGCAATCTTCCTGGGTTGCTGCCTGTTTTTTGTTCTTCCCCCCTTATGCCTTCTTGATTCGTGTTGCTGTCTTTCCTTGTTGATTTGCTGCTGCGTTTTCTGGTGTTGTCTACTCTTGTCTTCTTGGTTTTTCATCTATTTTGGTTTCCGCTGCTTTTGGTTCTTGCACCTTCTATATTGTTTTCCACATGGCTAGTGAAAAAGATGATTCTCTTCAGAAGCTTTGTTCTACCCATCAGCCTAATGCCTTGTCCATGATTTCCCATTCTTCAGGTTTGCCTTCCTCATCTTCTTCAGGTATATCCCCATCCACTTGGATCTTTGACTCAGGCGCTACACATCATATGACTAGTGATTTGTCATTGTTTACTTCATTGTCTTCTTTGTCCACGTCAATTTCTGTTTTGACTGCCAATGGCACTTCTATGTCATTGGCTGGTATCGGCTCTATCACAACTTCTAGCCTATGTCTATCTGATGTCTATTATATTCCTCAACTCACCTTGAATTTGATTTCTATTAGTCAATTATGTGCTTCTGGCTATGTTGTTCAATTTTCTTCTACTTCGTGTTATGTACAGGATCCTCACTCCAAGAAGCTGATTGGGACAGGCCGTAGAGAGGGAGGATTATATGTGTTGGAGAAGCTCCAGATTCCTGCCTTGGTGGCTTCGTCTATTGATTTGTCGTCTTTTTGTCTGAGTCCTAAGTCGTCTAATTTTTATCTTTGGCATTCTCGTCTTGGTCATGTCTCTGGTTCTCGTTTGAAATATTTGGTTTCTACAGGAGCTTTAGGCAATTTCAATTGTCATGACATTTCAGATTGTAGTGGGTGTAAACTTGCCAAATTTTCTGCATTACCTTTTACTAGAAGTTCCTCTATTTCTTTAGCACCTTTTGATTTAATTCACTCTGATGTATGGGGCCCAGCTCCTATTTCTAGTAAAGGGGGCGCTAGATATTATGTTTCATTTATTGATGACTACTCTCGTTATTGTTGGATTTATCTTATGAAACGCCGCTCTGATTTCTTTACTATCTTTCAAAATTTTCGCGCCCTTGTTCATACACAATTTTCTACTGTCATTAAATGTTTTCGGTGTGACTTGGGTGGTGAATATACTTCTCATGCTTTCACTGACTTGCTTGCTTCAGATGGTACCATACACCAATTCTCTTGCACTGCCACTCCTGAACAAAACGGTGTTGCCGAAAGGAAACATCGACATATTGTTGAAACTGCCAGGTCTATGTTGCTTTCTGCTGATGTCCCAAAAGTTTTTTGGGGCGAAGCAGTTCTGACTGCCAATCATGTGATTAATCGTATTCCCACATCTCTTACCTCTGGTATATCTCCGTTTGAAAGATTGTATGGTAATAGTCCTGATTATTTCTCATTGAAAGTGTTTGGTTGTACTTGTTTTGTTCTTCGTCCTCCTGTTGAACATACAAAATTATCTGCTCGCTCTGCTATGTGTGTTTTTCTTGGTTATGGCGAAGGACAAAAAGGTTATCGTTGTTATGATCCTAGTGCACAAAAATTGTATGTCTCTCGTCATGTGGTTTTTCTTGAGCATATTCCTTTTTTCTCCATTCCTACTAGTTCTCCTACTTTATCGAATTCTGAGCTCATGTATATCGATCCTTTTTCACCTACTAATGATGATTTCTCTTATTCTGACAATGTTAACATTTCTCCTGTTTCTAGTTCCCCTTCTAATCCTTGTGTTACTTCTCCTCCTATTACTCAAGTGTATTCTCGCAGGAAACATGTCATCAGTTCTGACACTAATAATCCTTCTTCTCCTTTGGTGCCTGCTTCAACTTCTGTGGATGTGGATCCAATAGCACCTCGTTATCCTTCGCGCACTCATAAGCCCCCTCATCGGTTTGGTTATTCTTCTACTGATTTTAGTTATTCTTGTTATTCTCATGATTTCTCTTCTTTCTTATCTTCTATACATACTCTCTCTGAACCCACCTCCTACAAGGAGGCTATATGTAATCCTCTTTGGCAACAGGCTATGAATGAAGAACTTTCTGCTCTGCATAAAACTGGCACATGGGATTTGGTTCCTCTTCCTCCCGGTAAACATGCAGTTGGATGTCGATGGGTTTATAAAATTAAGACTAAGTCTGATGGTTCTCTTGAGAGATATAAGGCTCGTTTGGTTGCTAAGGGATTTACACAGGAATATGGCCTTGATTATGAAGAGACCTTTGCTCCAGTGGCCAAGATGACTTCTGTTCGTACTTTACTTGCTGTTGCCTCAGTTCATCAATGGAGTTTATCACAGATGGATGTTAAAAATGCTTTTTTGAATGGGGATCTTTTCGAAGAGGTGTATATGGTTCCCCCTCCAGGTGTTCTTCATAATCCCGGGGAGGTGTGTCGTTTACGAAAGCTTTGTATGGTCTTAAACAAGCTCCTCGTGCTTGGTTTGAGAAATTCTCTGCTGTTATTGGTTCTCTTGGTTTTCAATCAAGTGCTCATGATCCTGCCTTGTTTGTTCGTTCTACCTCTGTTGGTCGTATCCTTCTCCTCCTTTATGTTGATGACATGATTCTTACGGGTGATGATTTGGATGGTATCACCCAATTAAAATTGGCTTTACATGATCGATTTGAGATGAAGGATTTAGGTCCCTTACATTATTTCCTTGGCATTGAAGTTGCATCTTCCCCTAAAGGTTATCTCCTTTCTCAGTCTAAGTATGCGCTGACGTTCTTCAAAAAGCTCGTATTACAGATACTAGAGTGGCTGATACGCCTCTTGAGCTCAATGTGCGTTATTCTCCATCTGATGGTACCCCTTTGGATGATCCTACTCTTTATCGCACTATTGTTGGGAGCTTGGTTTATCTCACTATTACTCGCCCTGATATTGCCTATGCTGTTCATATTGTTAGTCAGTTTGTCTCTTCTCCCACTACTCTTCACTGGGCTGCTGTGATTCGTATTTTACGCTATCTTCGAGGGACATTGTTTCAAAGCTTATTGCTTCCTTCCACCTCCACTTTGGAGCTTCGAGCCTTTTCTGATGCTAGTTGGGCTAGCGATCCTTTTGATCGGAAATCTACTACTGGTTATTGCATTTTTCTTGGTGATTCTCTTATCTCCTGGAAGAGTAAGAAACAATCAGTTGTTTCTCGTTCTTCTGCTGAGGCTGAGTATCGTGCTATGGCCTCTACTGCTGCTGAAATTGTTTGGCTTCGGTGGTTGCTTCAAGATATGGGTGTTTCTCTCTCTATGCCTACTCTATGTATTGTGATAATAAAAGTGCCATTCAAATTGCTCACAACTCTGTCTTTCATGAGCGCACAAAGCACATCGAGTTGGACTGTCACTTTGTTCGCCATCATTTCCAGCAAGGCACTATCTCTCTTCCTTTTGTCTCCTCCACCATGCAATTGGCCGACTTCTTCACCAAGTCTCACACTCTTGCTCGCTTCCGCTTTCTTCTTAGCAAACTCTCGATGCTTAATACTGTAACATCGTGAGTTTGACAGGGGGTGTGACAATTGTATAGCCAATATTAATATATTTGATTTGTTTTAGGGTAGTTAGGTCTTTTACTTATCTAGGGCATCTTTATATGCCTATATATTGTAAGCTTACAGCTGCTGTATTTATTTTATTGTTTTGTGAATATATTGGCATTCTCTGCTTCTTCTTGAATTGTTCACAAACACGACTTCCACAAGACACTATCTTCAGTTGGATTTCCACATATTATTTATTCTCTTTGATCCGGAGAACCCAGTGTTCATACTAGTTTGTAAGACAATAGCAGCTGCAAGTTAAACCTGGAAAGAAAACATTTTCAGTTGGAACTTAGATGGTTCCCATGGAAGTCAGCCTAAAAGAACAATTACGAAATAACAACCTCATAAAAGTAGCACACCCTAGAAGTTCTGGGAACATCATACAATTAGTGAAAATTCTGTAAGTGATGAAATTACAGGTTGCAATTGGCAAATATTATGAACTTGATAAATAAATGGGCAAAGTACAAACTTAAAATGCAGTAAAGTTCGAGTAAACTTAATACTAGTTTCCTGACCTCTGAATCATGTCCCTTACCGAAATACATGTATTGCACATGCACTTCATTTCCTCTCAAGAACTTCAAAATTGCTTACTTTTATTTCTGAAGAGTTTTTGTTGTTTAGAAAGATTAAAGACTTTTAGGAAAGCCAATGCAATCAACCAGATCCCAGTCCATGGAACTGGTGGATCCTTGAAACATACAAGGGCCGCCTCCACTTCTTGGGAGGCACGATAGACAAGAGAGTAGATGGCATACAGGTCGTGATCTGAGGACATCAAGTAAAACAAAGCCATCTCAAAATCTAAGTGCGACAATGCAGAGACTGCTTTGTCCAGCTTGTACTTGAACAAGTTCCACCTTTGTATGAACTCAGCATGTCAACTACTTTTAAGAGCTTTCTTTCCCCACCATGTGCCGCTATGGATTCAAGAGCATCCTATTATAAAAATTAGTTTTCCTCTTTCAGTAAAGCCAAATACAAAAACTTTTATATTATAAATAACATATAAACAAATTGGAAAGTTATTAAGATACAATGAATATGAAACTGAAGAAAAACAAATTGATAGGTAAGTAATAAAAGCAAAATAAATTACAAGTAAGAAGGTGAGCTTGGTACGATAAAGCACGTCAAAAATGTTGTCCTAAAGCCTTTGTAGCCTCCCTACGTGCTACAAGACTCCAAGATACGACCCTAATACACAAGCTCAAGATCCGCTATAAGCACGTTCACAGACAGATATGTTTCCAAGTCACATAACTATTGCCCAAAAATACTAATAGAAAGTAGAAAATATATATAAAAGTAGAAAAAGAGATAATCAGATTGTGATGGTGACTGTGGAATGTGATATTCTAATGGTATATCAAATCTGAAGGAGAAGTAGCCTTTTATAAGCATCCAAGAACATGTAACTTTCACCACATTAAACTAGAAAATTAAGGCATTCAATATAGAAATAGAGATATGATTTCCCCACTCCTATTTTCTCCACTTACACTCTCTTTTGCTTTTTAATACTTTTTAATCAATTTTGTTCATTCTCTTTCCTATTCTACCCTTACCCTCCATTAATTTCTTTTTACTTCACTTTCATATTAGTTCTTTTTCTTTATACTTAATTTTCAAACTTGCACTCCATTTTCAATATTTTTTTTTCCTTTAATTGAGTAAGAATTTTTTTCCTTTAATACTGAAAATGGAGTAAGTTAGAAAATTAAGTATAAAGAAAAAGAAATAATATAAAAGTGAAGTAAAAAAGAAATTAATATAGAGTAAGGGTAGAATAGGAAAGAGAAGAAACAAAATTGATTAAAAAATATTAAAAAGCAAAAAGGAGTGTAAATGGAGAAAAAAAGAGTGGGGAAATCAGCTCCCTAGAAATAATACCTGAAAATTAAATATGTATAACCCCACAATAAATAAAATCAATCAATCAATCAAAACTGTTAAATTTTTAAAACCTTTTTCAAAATTCCAACACATCCACAGCACTTGTTATGCCGTAATTGAGTGATGTCAAAAGAACATTTCTACGAGCAGCATCCTTCTGCACAAATGACAATGATGAAACCTCAAAGAACGGCCCAAACGAGTCTGTCCAACCAATGGCGGACCCAGGATTTTTTACAAGGGTGGGCTAAATTTTTTTTTGGACACTTATATGATTCGGACTACAGTAAGGTCCTTCACTCACAAGCTCAAGATGATCAAAAATACCTATTCAACATCAACTCATAACATCTTCACTACATAAAACCACCATCAATGTGTAGATAGAGAAAAGCATGAAAAAAGAAGAAGAGAGAAATAGAGACTTAATAAAACAAAAGAGAAACAAATAGAGAAAGACAAAAGGAAAGAAAGAGAAAGAAGAAAAATGGCGGAGAGAAAGAAGAAGAACAAGAAAAGAGAGAGAAGAAAGAAAAAGAAAAGAGAAAGGAGAGAGAAAAGAACGAAGAAATCGGGTGAAAGGATTAAAGAAGAAAAAGAAAACGGAGAGAGATAGCGAGAAATTTTAGGCTGAAATTTGATTTATCTAAATTTGGCTTACAAATTAAGCCTACTCTCAAAAATAGAATTGGACTACAAATGGAAAAATTTAAATTTTTATGAATTTGATTTCTAATTGTCATTACATATTTATTGATGGTGACTTTTAGTTATAAAAAAAATTGTTTATGACATTAAGTTATGGCAAATTTTTATTGATAGTATTTTTGTATTAGATTATGTGAAGCCCCAATTTAAATTTCGCACAAAGCCCTCAAAATCTCAGAGACGGCCTTGCAAGAGACCTGTGATTTACTTTTGCTTCAGTTTGCTTCTTAGGAGCTTATTGATCGTTGCATCAGTGGTTGGTGTTGTGTTCATGTTAACTAGCAAGCAATCTGAGGACTGGTACTATGAAAAAGGGAATTACTATGCAACCATTTGCTTCAAATTCACTCAATCACCCGCCTTCATGCACCTACCCTTAATTATGTACGTTCTTCTCAATTTCTTTTTTCAGATTCTATTTTTTGTCTAGGCAAAGGACGCTGCTATGAGGCCGTGAGACCTATTACAAAATTTTATTTTGGTTTTTATTTATTTATTTATTATTTTTAATTTAAATATGTTTTTAATTTGGCAAGATAGGAGCTTCAGCTTGCATTAGGCCCAAATGGGCATTCAAATAAACAAAAATGGCAGCCCAGATACAATGTCAGCTCAAACCAAATAGAAGGCCCAATCAAAACTTCGTTTTTTTCTTCTTTAGTTCAAAATTTTGTTTTGTTTGGTCAACAAATTATTCATATTAGCTCGTCCGACTATAACTTGCTAAATTAAGAGCTAGTAAAATTATTTTTTAGTCCTTTTAGTAAAAAATTTAACTTAAAAATAAATCGCATAATTGTCTGACTCTCTACATTTAAAGATTGTGCAATAAAATAATTGTTCATTGAAGAATACACATAGTTCCACATCGAAAACTTAACATAGAAAATCTCATATAATAAATGACTCCACTCCTAATAAAATCCCACCGAAAACTTGCACAATCCCTAAATGTATGATCGAATCCAGATATGCTGTAATCCAATTGAATAAACTTTTTTCCCATAATAAATTATTTCTATGCTTAAGCCTGTCAAACGTTGGGCTCGAAGAAAACAAACAAGCAACCCATTTCCCTCTAGCAAGAAATGGTTGTTGACCAAAATGAATCGAAAAGTCAACTTCATAGGCAACATATCTGGGAAAATATAAAATTCAAGCAATTGAACTTTTTTCTATAGTAAACAAGATTTTGTTTAGTGAGAGGATTTGATATAGTGACAACGATATATTTTGTTATTAATTTATTTAATAGCTTAAATTAACTTGTTCAAGGACGAGGTCAGAAATTATTTTCTAGAGAGGCTAGGGATTTGAATACAAATGTATGGAATTGGAACATCATGTTCATTATATATACATTCAAATAAGTTTAATTTGGTTTCAAAACCCTAATTTGAATCTAATAAAACCCTGCAGATACTATGTTGCAGCATTATCTGTTTCAGGGGTTTATGCTACCATTACTACGTTTACATCATTTTTAGACATCTTAGCTCCAGCTTCCTCAGCAATCTTGGTCCCTTTTGCGCTTTTTGACGTGGTTAGCTTTCTCTCTCTGACACTCCTTCTGTATAATTTTCTAATATAAAAATGGATATGTTCGGAGACTGAATTTGAATCAAACATTTAATCAATAGTCAATTTAACCGATCCAAATTAACAGTTTGACAATGCTACATTTCCGTATACGTTGTGTGTGACAGTTGATATTAGGGATCATAGCCTCAGCCACAGGCACTGCTGGAAGTGTTTCATATATCTTGCTAAGGGGCAACGATGACTTTAGCTGGTCGGATTTCTGCTATGCTTACAGCAGCTTCTGTCGACATCTTTGGAGTCTCCTTCGGGGTCTCCATATTTGCCTCCATTTTGCTCATCTTGCTTCTCTGGACCTCCATCATTACCCTCTACAAGAGGATCTCCAAACAGACCTATTCTCGTAATGCTAGTGCTGGTGCTGGCCCACCTCCACAGTCACCAGCTGCGCCACAGACATATAATTAGAATCCTTTTGCTGTAAATATCTGTGGCTGTGTGTTGGGAATTTGATGTCTACATGTAAATTTGTTTGCCCACTTGAGGTATGTTAATCTCATATTCTAATATAAGTGTGAGTTATTTGTGAAAAAAATATATTTGGTATTTTGGAATCCACGAAGCCTTATATCGTTTTTCTTCTTATATTCTAAAAAATTTGTTCATGAGATTTGAACTCCGAATCTTTTCTGATAAAAAGGGACTATAGTTTCTGCAATACCAACCGTCATCATCCATCGGCAAATTCACAAGGTATCATCTAGGTGAGTTGAACAAGGCCCCTATAGACATTTAGTGATAGCAGAGGTGACCCAAGTGATGGTTACGTAAGTCATAATAATATATAGGCACCCCATTTGGGTCCAACTAATGGGATAAGTTCTATATGTTTATATTTCACAATGACGTGTACGTCCAGTAGATGAAAATTAATTTAATATAATCATTTCATTATCCTCTACTGTAGTGAAGTCCCTTGAATGTTCTGTTGACAACAAAGTCTGCACTGCAATGCAAAAGAAAAGACTGAACCGAAGTAGCTAAAGCTTAATTTCTTGGAGGCTACTCATTTGAATTTGAATGGTTGGTGATAAAATGCGAAAGAAAGTTGGCCACTTTCGTGACAGATATGCATTGCACACATAATATTATTTTTTTTCTCCAATCATTTGCGTTTGATAAAGAAAGGGAAAAAGACACTTGCACCCTCTTCTGTTTTAAATGAGCCCATTGTATTATTGTATACTGCTTGGTTGATTAGAAAGGGTAAAAGAAACAAAAGAAGAATTTGCTTTCATGTATATAAAGTCATCGGCTACAATCTAGGGGAGGGAAAAAAAGGAAAATACTTCCATGTTGCCCTTATAAGTAGGAACTTCTACATTCATGTCAATGTCAGTACGATATATGTGTGTAGAAGTTTTTCTTTTTGTGTTTTTATGAATTACTTTTGTACATGTGTCAAACAGTGATTTAAAAGAGGAATGAGAATCTCTTATCAGGGAAGGAGGCAATCAGTATTCCGGGGGAAGGAGGCAATCAGTATTCGGGGGGAAAAAAAAAGGAAAGAAGCAAATTAGTGATAAGGGTTCTAGAGATTGAACAGCCACACGCAAATTGTATTTTGATGTGACTTTTAACTACAAATTAAACGAGGGAATATATATTTAAAGTAATTTCAACCAAACTTTTGAATTCACAAAACAGCTTTTATTAAATTATCAGAATTAATGCTCTCTGTTTTATAATTGTCTAGAATTTGTACAAGGAAGCTATCAACTTTGTCTGGCTTATATTCTAATCTACTCATTTTCATTGGTGACATTTAGAAGAGAAAAAGAAAACCAGAAAGTCTATGGTGTATAAGATAATGATCAAGGGTTTCATACTCAACCAACTAAACACTTTTCAAATAAATTCACTTGCGTGCAGGAAACTCCAACTAGGTTTGTATTTAGACCATTTCGTGTTCACCAAACATAATATATATAACATACTCATTGTGCACCTTTCCCTCCACCATTTACTACTACAGCTACACTTAGACTTCTGCTTCGCTTAACCAAACTTAACTGAGCCAATACCAGCTTCCATGGGATCTACAGATAAGCCGGCTGACCTGGAAACTGCCAAGGAAGTCCCGCCACCACCAAAAGGGGAGGCCTACGGGTCTACCCCTCCTCCCCCTAAACGCGATTACTTCTTTGTAGTTGATGTGGTTCTCAGGTTCCTAGTGTTTGCAGCATCACTTACAAGTGTGTTGGTCATTGTCATTAGCAAGCAAACAGTTCACCTAGGTCCTAGAATAGCTGTGGCCAAGTTTAATCACTCTCCGGCCTTCATGTGAGTAATTTACATGCACCCAAAATGTTTTTTTAAGCTTTTGCTAGCATATATTTAGGTGCATGGTTACAGCTTGCTCAACACAAACATGCACATATTATGTTTGATTGTTCATCTTGCAGACAGAACACTCTTGGTGCCTCTAATTAGTTCTGTTTTCAAAAGCTCAACAATTATTTCTCTCCATGAGAATCCTAAATGAAATTTCTTGATGGACAAGGAATAACCAAAATTCTCTTCATGTTATTCTTCTTTCCAAAAAATTTAATATAAAAAAAAAACTAAAATTACACTATAAACTCTTAGACATGTTCTAGTCGGGCATGGGACTTTCTATTTTCTCTACAATTCTTAAAGAGTCTTACCCTTCATGCTTGAAATCAGCTTTTCATCTTTTTACTTGTATCAATCATTTTAGGTGAGATTGCTTGTATAGAAAGTACTTCTGCTCATAAGTGCTTTTATGAGAATTAAAAGGTCAAATTTGTTTATTCTTTCTGAAAAAGCACGGTGCTTTTTCAGAAAACAACCCATAAGCACTTTAAAATTATTATAATATATGTACAGAACAAATGATCAAATAAGTAAATTCAGTTTTATTTTTCTTCTTGTGTTGGGTTTTTTCCCCTAGCTACATAGGAACATGTATTTGTGTATAGACTAGGATGCTTTCCTACCAAAAAAGTAGGTAAATCTCCAACCATCAGCCACCTGTTACAGTTGAATCAGAAAGATTACCTGCTGAAGATTAAGCAATCTTTTAGTTTTTAATAACTTTAATCTTTGTTTTTCCTTCCTTTAACATGGAATCTATCTATCTAATCTTCTCTTTTGGGAGTAGTGGGATTCTCTTTTTATAAAAATGGAGAATTAATTGGCATCAAGCTTAGAAACCTATGCATGTCATCCACTCACCCACAAGAGGATTTTCTAATAATCTTAGTAATAGGATGGGCGTACAATTAAAGATATTCCTCTTACCAAATTGGGGCATCTAATTTCTTAAATTAGTGGTTTCCACTTGGAGAAAATATTGTATACAATTTGTATATCTCACCATAATTAAATATTTGACCAGAAATGAGGATTGAATTGTGAAAGAGAGGTTGTATCTACAATATCTCCCACAAGAGAGATGTCTCTGATGTATCTTCTTGTTTCAGATACTTTGTGGCGGCACTATCAGTTGCAGGCCTCTACGCCATTATTACTACGCTAGCATCCCTTTCAGTCATCTGGAAGCCAATCCTCTCAACAAAGTTCTTGCTTCATTTTGTATTTTTGGATGTGGTAAGCTCTAATCTGTTTTCTTATATGTACCAACAGCATAAACAGTTCACATAGTATGCTGGCACTTACATTTCAAGCTCGTTTGTAGTGTAATCCAAGCAGCTAAAATTTGTTCCTTTCATTCTTGTTATGGTAAAACACAAGATTGACAAACTATGCATGTGCAATGCTTATGATGCAGCTAATATTGGGTCTGGTAGCCTCGGCCACTGGCACAGCCGGAGGTGTTGCATATATCGGATACAAGGGCAATAAACATACGCAGTGGCTGAAAGTGTGCTCTACTTTTGATAAGTTCTGCCAACACGTTGTAGGCGCTCTGGCTACCTCATTGTTCGCCTCAGTTTTGCTTGTCCTTCTTGTCTGGCTCTCCACTTTCACTCTCCACCGAAAAATTCCCAAATAGAGTTTGTGCAGATGGCCATACATATATTAGAATCCTACCCACATCCCATCAGATATTTTGTGTGTGTATGTGTTGTGTGTTTCATATTGAATCTTAGTGTTTGTGGATTTGTGTAATTTATAGGTTCGTTTCTTGTGTAAATGTTTTCTATTTGTACAGTATATCTATCTTGTCTCTGATGTGTCTTGTATGATATGTAAGCCTCATGGATGAATCTTAGTGTGTGGATTTCTGTACATTTACAGGTTGTTTTGAATTTTAACTGTCGTCTACTTGTAGTTTTGTACGGTATTGATTTGTCTTGAATCATTTGTAAGTCAGGACTCATGTCTGGTCATGGGTTTTCTAAGTGCAATTGAATGAGAATTAGTTGCTGTTGCAATTGCAAATCTGTTTCCTCCTGTGTTTTGGTTCATATGATAACCTACCTCACAAAATTACAAAGGAATTACTATGTGATTTCCATCTTCTTTAATGTGGAAAGAAAGCCAATACAAGGAAAAGCCAAAAAATATGAACTGCATTTGATATGGTATATCAGGAAGGAAACCCACATGACCAAGACCAACTAAAGTTCAGTTGCAAAATGAAAAGTACATGAATGTAGACTGCCTATGTAGAAGTATATGAGCTTTACTTGAAGTTTCAGCTCATTCTTTTTCATAGCTTACCTAGAAAGAAGATTAAGTACACCACGTCGATACGCATTTTGCACCGTAGGAACAAAATAAATGAAAAGTATATCTAGTACCAACCTGACTAATTACAGGTTGCAACTTGCAAGACATTAAAATCTAACAAGTGATTACATTATGGGCTTAAATAAACAATTTGATTATATGAATTATGATGATGTAATTGAAGAATCAGTAAAGCATCTTACAGCAATGATCATAATTACTTGCTTGTCACTCATACAGAATACAGTTGGTGTACTGATAAGAAACTGCATACCTTAAAGCAGACTATAGTACAAAACTGGTTGAACCAATTGAGGAAGTGAATGTACAAACTTGTTACCATAGCCCAACTTCTTAGAAAATTGTCTGTTCCCCTAATTCCTGTCCAGCCATCCCCTCCCTCAGCACAGTCTCAAAGAATTCTTCCAATGTGTCTTTACCATAGCTTGGTGTTTTCTCAGCATTATATTCTCCAGTCTCAGGATCCAAAACCAACATACTCTCAGCTGCATAATACCTCCCAATCTTCCCAAATTCAGCAGTATCTTCCATTGAAGGAAAGATCTTTACGAGGAAATCAAGAACCCCGATAGCGAAGTCCATTATTTCGATGGGCACTTTCAAGAACTTGGGTTCCCTCCCCACAAGTCTAAACAGCAACTCCCCCTGCTCCAATGGTGTCAAGGCCTTCCCGGGTCCGCCAATAGGCAAAACCTGGTTAATTTTGTTTTCACTCAACACACAATCCGAAATAAACGAAGCCAAATCTGCCTCGCTAATTGGCTTGCAAGCACACAACTTTCCATCCCCGAACATCACATAAGGCTTTCCATCTTTCACCAACTCAACCTGGCCACCCAAGCTCTTAAAGAATGCAGTTGGCCTCACAATACTATAAGTGAACCGATTGTCCTCTTCAGCTTCTCTGATCAACTCAGACTCGAATTTCAGCTTTGCACGCTGGAACTCAAGAAGGGGCTTCTGCACACAAATTGCAGAAAGCAATACAAAATGTGAAGCCCCACGTCTCCTACCGGCAACAAGACTATTCTTTGTTGCCTCATAGTCTATCTTCCAAGAGTCCTTTACACCACCAGAACGGCTAGCAAGGCATGAAACAACAACATCAATTGAAACCCCCAAGTTTTCCAAAGATTTCTCCAAAGTATCCAAATGGGTAACATCTGAAAAGCACACAATGGCTCCTTTCAACTGATTCAAAGTCTCATCCTTGCTAACCTTACCTCTAATTCCACTCTTCTCCCTAGCAACGGCTATAACATTGAACTCTCTATTAACTAACTCATTAACCACAAATTTTCCAATATACCCAGTTGCACCCACCACCAAAATGTTGATATCTTTTGGGTTTTTGCCTCTGAATGAAGGTGGAGAGGCGGTTTCAGCAGTTGGCGTCGCTGAAGCTGAAATGGGTTTTGTTCTTTCTTTGCTAAACTTGAAAATTTCAGATAAGTTTAAAGGAGAAGATGGGGAACCATAAGGAACAGAGCTTACCTTAGCTTGGTTGGTGAACTGAGAAGAGAAACGTGTTAAGAAGCTTTGGTTCTTTGCTGAATGAAGACTGAATACAATGGAGGAGAAGCACAGTGACATTTTTTTTCCCCTTCTTTTGTTCAATTTCAGGAAAGTTGATCAGCGAGGAGGAGCTTGTGGTTTCAGTTCAGTGGAATTCATGGTCGTTTTGGAGCTGATACTCTATCTGAGAGTAGGATTCAAATGATAGGTGGATATAAATGATGACGTGTAACTCTACAGTTTCTATTTCTCAAAAAAAAAAAATATTGAAATTATTTCCCAAAACTTAAAACTCAGAAACATAAAATATATGTTAGTTGGATTTGTCCAGACTTTTAGTGTATCCGTGTGTATGAGTTTTCCCTCAATCCTTCCTAATTTTGACACAAAAATAAAAAATAAAAAATAAAATAAATAGTGATTCAAATCTCATGAATAATAGTTGTTAAATAAAATAAAAATTCGAAATTAAGTTAGCATAAATCCGAATAAAAAAGCCGAAATATTTTGATCTACAAAACTATACAAGGGGAGACAGCATAGATGTAAGAGTGTGTCATTTTAAGCTCATTCTATTCATCTTTTTGTGTTTGGACTATAAGATTACCATTTTTCAGCTGATAAGACATGCTAATCAATGTCTTTTTTTATGGTCGAACATGCTAATCAATGTTGGTAGAATAAATTAGGTTGGAGTTGTAGAAGTTTTGACCATTATTCCAGGCCTCTTTTTATGCAGAAGTGCAAGCCAACCAAGTTATGCAGCTGATTGAGGCTCTTTCTCTGGTATGGAATGTATAGATCTACATCCTTATGACCAATTCCTAGGGTGTGCATACTAAAAGAGCAATATTTTCCAAATTTCTCTTTCAAAAACCAGTTGGGTCATCACCAAGGAAAAAGTAAAATTGGGTATATACCAACTCAATCCATATGGAATTCTGAGCATTCACACACACATATCTTTTTTTTGGATTCACACATAGGCAAAAAGTTTAGGAAGCAGAGTTTTGGAAGTCAACTAGAACTTTCAAGACAAACACTTTTTGAGGAGTAAGTCTTGTTGCTAGTCAACCAAGGAAGTTTCTGTGGCCAAAGAAAATCCAAGGAAGTTTCATACTTGGGACAATTTCTTCTTGGCCAAACCACCACACACACACAAAAAAAAAAAAAAAAAAAAAAAAAATATAAATAATAAAATAATAAATCTCAATCATTTCTCTGGGGAAAATAAATAAATAAATAAAAAGGCAGAGCCACCAAAAGAAAAATCCCTTAGCTAAATATTGTGATTTGTGAGCTGGATCATAAGGAAATGAACTTGGAAGAATGCACATGAAAGCAGAAACGAGTAGCATAAAATTAGAGAGAGCAAAACAATATCTAATTTATTATGAGTTTATAAATTGCCTCCAAGTCTTATTACAACTGGAAAAGATCATGTTTCCAAGACCTTGTCACAAGCACATATTACATACGATTTACACCAGATCGAACCAATATAACTACGAAACCAACCATGATTATTTGCAGCACCTCTATGCAGTAAAAAAGGAGAAAAATTACTGAGAGGTCAAGACTCAACAGCAGCGATACACGGCAACAACCCGGCCACGCCGCGGTGGTGGAGAGAAAACTGTCATAATGAGAAGAGCTACGACAATCACCACCAGAACTGCTGCGAGATTAATACCACCATCATCATCTTCAGAACAGCAATACTTCCCCATATGCAATATAGATATATATGTCACCTCTACAAAGCACAAGCTTGAAGCTCTAAACTATGAGGAAAAAGTTGCAAAAACTTGAAGCTCTATACTTCCAAGGCAAAGTTGCAAAAGCTAGAAAGCTTTTTGCAAATGGAGTATGAGAGGGAGTGAATTTGAGGGGTTGGAAATTATTGGTTCCCCAACTTCTAGTTATAGACAAAATTAAGTCGAGTTGACTTGAATTCTTTATTATTTGGACAAACTACATAAAACCCCCTAAACTATAGGGTCATTTTCAATTTCATACTTAATTTTAGAGATTTACAAATACATACTCAAACTCCCGGAAACCTTACAATTTACCCCATTCGTTAGCCAAACCGTTAGTTAATCTGTTGAATGCTAACGTGGTATTTGTGGGACTTATTTTTTAATTGATGTGGACAGCACATAAGAAATCAAATGAATAAAATAAATGAAAAAAAAACAAACAAACTCATCTTCACCGATATCATATTAACTAACGGTTTGGCTAATGGAAGGGGTAAATTGTAGGGTTTCCGGGAGTTTGAGTATGTACTCGTAAATGTCTCTAAAATTGGATATGAACTTGAAAATGACGCTATAATTTGGGGGTATTTATGTAGTTTGTCCTTATTATTTTGAACTCTATTTTGGACCTGCCTCGAAATAACACTTTGTTTAATTATTGCATCATCTCCTACCCTATGTTTCTAGATTAGCATGACGAGTGCAGGAAAATTCTTCTCTCCTACCCTCCTAATAAGTCAAGATCTGGACATTATTAAACAAATTATGCATGTTAGTTTCTGTTCCAATTAGATACAATATATTTTACCAAATAATGATGGCATTTTGCCAAATTCTAAACGCTAATTAATGTAAAAGAGTCTTTTTTTTTAAAGGATTTTTTTTTATTAAGATGGGCGATAATATACAAAATTCATACACACTATACAAATTCTAAGACTCGAACCCAAAATATTGCCTAGAGAGCAATTGCTCCGTTTGCTAAAGTGAAAGACTTTTGGTTCTTATAAGTAAATGGAGTTAGAAGTTGGATGAAGTATGAACAAAGAAAGTACCATATCTGTTCACATCCAAAATTTTGCACGAGGTCGAATTTTTTCTGTCATGTCTATATTTTTCAATTTTTAATTAAAGAAAATGGGAAACAGGAAAGAGTCAAGTGAGAACAAACAAGGAAGAAAGGACAAGGAACAGATGGAATTAAAAACTCAGAAGTAAAGGTCATTGTGAATTGTTTTTCACTATTTATTCATTTTGTGAGTTTCCCCTTCATCTGTCTCTCTCCTCTCTGTATGTTAAAACAAAATTCTTTTGAGAAAAAAACAGGCAAATGGTGAATTTGGTGAGTTGAAAGATAAAAGTTTAATTATCACAGGGGACAAGCTTTTAAACCAAATAGCAAAACATGAAAAAGAGTGTCAACCGTAAAGAAGGGATCGTGTCTGAATCAAAGAAGAGAAGCAGAAAACTTGCTTGTCCAGCAAAGTACTTGTAACATTAATTGCAATACTTAAACAAATATTTAAGGTTTATTAACATAATCAACTTGCATTATCAATCTTTTACTCACTAAAAATCTGAGTCAAATCGCAATCGACCGTAAATCAATCAAGAAGAAATATAGTTTGTGGGTAGCAACATAAGCATGTAGAATATATCTTATGTAGCTGAAAGACTTACTCTCAAAAGTGTTCATACATTTGAGAGATTTATATGGTCAGGTCCTACATTGAATTTGGGACCAATTATATATATCAGCTGCCTGTACACAGATACATGAAGTTTAATGTTCGACATCGCCGCAGAGCTTCAATGGCCAGATAATTCTGACTGAGGAAGTTAAGAATTGTCAGTTCTCTAAAGATGCGAGCCCACTGCAGCAAGTATTTCCAAATGTAAGACCTTGAGCAGCTCCATGGCAAACATTACTTGGGTCAACTTAAACCAATACTTCCCACCACTAAATCCAATCCCAACAATGCAGATAAATGCTAGTAGTAATTCAAATACTCTCAAGGAATTGAGAGAAACTGGGGTATTTTGGTTCCCACCCTATTTCTTCACGAGTTTTTGAGTTGTTTAATCTCTTGCCCAAAGGATCAGTAGTTCCTGCATAAACAGCAACAAATAGTCTGAGGTGAGTTTCGAAACTGGAATAATTTGCTAAATTTTCAACTTTTGTCGAGTCTTGACAAGAAGTACACTAAGGCATCATGCTAATGATAAAGTTAAATTTCACCATATATACAGTGTTTGGATTGAGGAAAACTGGAGAGAAGTTAAGAGCGATGGAGATAATTTTTCAATTTTCCACGTTTTAATGATTTCAACATAGAGAGAAACATTAGATACAGTGAGAATGAACTTTGGAGCCTCATTTTCTCTTATAACTAATTTTTATTCTCTCCATTTTAACGTTCCCAATTAAATTATGTTTACATTTCTTTCTTAGACATCCAAACAAGAATAAGGGAAATTCAAAATCTTCTCTGCTCTCTTCTTTTTCCGTTCATCTCTAATCTCTTCTCTACTCTCCTTTCCTAACTCAAATTGCTTAACACACTGAAAAGAAAATCGATCCCCCCTTTAACATAAATATGGAATACTAGCAAGAAGCTTACCTGTAAAACCCTCAAACACTCCTGAAAATTTCCCACTTTTAGTAACCAAGTCCATTACTTCTTGCCTGTAAAGATATTAGCAGGGCCAAAGACGCTCATGTCACTAGTTCACTTGTATAATTAAGGATCAAAAAGTACACAACAAAATGATAATAAGAATCTGGGTATCACTTTCCATCTAGCAGTGTGTGTGTGCGCGCAAGTGCACGTTGCATGCACATGTATGACAGGATGAACTGACATCAGGTTAACTTGCCAGTTTTAGGCTGATCCAACCATTAGCTTTAGCATTTAATCAAACACATAATGTAAAACAACTTCAAATAGATTCAATATAAGACAAACACGCAACGCAAAAAGGGTTCAATTTATACACAAAAAATACTAATTTTAATACAATATTGATGGAATGGTTAAGAGGCATTTGATTCACTTGAAATTTGATATTAAGCATGAGTAGCATTAAATCCAACTGTCAAATCAACAAAGCGGATAAAACTTTTTGAAAAACACGACAGTACGATGAGTGGAAGATGGGTTGAGGCCGGGTTTCCCCAACCCTTATAAAAACTTTGGGAGCATCGTTTGAAATTAAACCAACATGAATCAATCGTATCGCTATACACACACACAAAACATGCAACTGCTGCCCTGTTGACCATACAATAAAGTCAACACAACTCAACAATGTTGAAGGCCGTCATGCATCTTTAAGATTAGGACCTGGACAACGGATGATTGTCACAACCCAAGAGGATCCTGTTACGCAATCTCTTCTTCAAGATTGCAACAGAGAGGGAAGCCGCATCCTGACAATGCAATGAAACAAGAAATATGTTGCTGAGAATGATAATACAGAAACAAATATTTAAAAGCATTATACTTAAACCGAAAAGAAAAACAGATTCTAAATATAATGAAAGAAAGGAATGGATATTAGTAGAACTATATTGAATAATTTATCATAGACACGAGTACAGTAGGATGATTCAGTCACCTCATAATGTATAAGATTCAGGACGTGATCTGGACGAGTTTCTACGATCCCCTTGTGTAACCAATAAACATGTGCACCTCTATCTGATTTGTAGGCATAGTTAAGGTCACTTTCAAATATGAAAAATACTAAGATGCTCCCAAACCTGTGAAAGCTTTCCTCTACTGCACAAATAGTCTTTCAGAGTTTGACTTTCATAAAGGATATGTAAAGCCCTGCCAATCTAAGAACAACACCCCCAAACTCCAGCACTACTTTTTCTGCTTTAAGAAGGACATCAGTCCTGGGGCTCCTCCCTATTGGCACTGCTGGAGTGTCCTGCAAGAAAAATATGAACACTATGACAAACAAAACTGATGCAGGACGCGTAGGACCTAAATTTATTAGTTTCCTAGATTCTCTAGTTTTCCAAATTCTAGTAGGATTTCTACTTTTCCAGATTTCTAGTTTTAAGTTTCCTATTTTATTTGGGTTAGGATTTCTGTTTAAGCAAGGGATTTTTATCCTATTATGTCTAGGTTTTAGTTTGCTATAAATAACCCCATGTAGTTCTTTAAAATTCAGATTTACTATGTGATTTCTGTCCTTCCTTCTCGGTTCTCTGATTTCGGTCCTTTCTTTCGTCCCTTCGATCTATATTTTCGTCTCCTCGATCTCTTATATTCTTCTATGTTTTATTGTTTGAGTGCTTAATCTAATACCTACGGGCTGTACTACTGGAGTGTCCTGCAAAGAAGAATATGAACACTACGACAAACAAAACACTCTAAGTCCAACACATTTACAAAAGCCAACAAGTTTACAGAAGGAAAGAGGCAGAGGATTATTCAGAACATCATCAATAAAGCAACTTGGCAGCAACAGCATTAATTCAAAAGACAAAACCCACATAATACATGGACAAGAAAACCTGTCTGAGTCAATATAAGAATATATAAAAAGTAAAAGAGTTGGTACCACTAGCAGAAATAAGTGTCTACCTCATCACATGGACCATTGTCGTTACAATCATATGGTGCAGAGCTTGAAGTAAATAAAAAAGAACCTTCACCATTCCAGTTCAATGCAGCCAGTCTGCTTATTCAAAAAAGCCCAAACCATGAATCTTCTACAGTTAAATTAAATAAGTCATTGCCAAAATTACAAATTGATTCTACCACAACATAGATAGTACTTACTAAAAATCAACAAACATGAAACACTCACTATCCAATTATCACTTTCAAGCATGTATTCAATTTCCATGCACTCACCTAACATCACCAGGATAATCCGAGGTTCTTGATGGTGGAGCACAAAAGATTACATAAGGAAACTTGTGGGTGGTTTTGGTCCCCTTCAAACATGGATTAATACCCACCTTACTCAACTCCTCATGGTGATCAACTGTCATTGTTTGCCCATGTATTTCACACCCAGGATGCTCCTACAAACATTAATTATTTTAACCACTAATTACTAAACTAAACACAATCTTAACACTGTATCCCTGAAATAATCACATAGAGACCAAGATACGAAAAATACCTCCCGCCATTTTTGTGCCACTAAGCGCCCGAGAACTCCTGGCCCCACAATCAGCAGGTCATTGGCTCCCACCCTCCCAGAAGAGGCTGCCTCCTTTTCTTCATCTGGTGCACCTTCACCCACCAACCCATCAACAAATTTCCAAAAATTAAACAAACACAAATAAAAAAATACAAGCTTTAAAAGAATTTGAGAGAGAAATAGGAAAAATAGAGTGAGATTAGACCAATGGTGGATGATGATGATGATGATGCAGAGACTTGGAAGGGGGTTGTGGCCATGGGTGTATTGAAGTTGGTTCTCAAATGGGCAAACTTGAGAGAGGGGCAATGAAGATTTGGGAAATGCCCAACGAGTCCTTGAGGTCTTATTGACGGCGTGGGGAGACCACTGAAACAACAAGCAATGGCTACCATTGTCCTCGAGCTTGGAGACTGTCGCCGAGGATTTGATAAGGCAGATGAGTTGCCGTGCTGGTTATGGAGCGTTTCTCACATGCCAATCAGGATTTTACACGTGGTGAAGCAGGGGATGATCATGGCCGTTGTTTGGAGAGATTTTGCATCCAACGGTCAAAGAGGAAACGTTCCATACCGTTGTAATTTTCGGTGGGTGGGATGGTTTAACTAGTTGCCAAGATCCGGATTAAAAAACAAGCTGCTTTATCCAATTCAAAACGACGTCGTTCCGAAAGGTTGAACTGAACAAACGTGGGTTTATTTTCATTGGTTTCATTGGCAACGTGGCACTTGTTCATCGTTAGTGACGGGTGTAACAAAGCACAGTAAACTTGCTTAGCTTCTAATAAAATCAAGGGTAATTTTCACTTTATTACGGTAAAATTTATTGACTTTTAGAGTTTGATATATCAAATTTTTTTATCTCAATCGCATACACAAAGTTAATTTTCTTACCACTTTCATATACAAATGTGCCACGTAGACTCACTCATATAATGTCATGTGTCCATATACATTATTAAATAAATAAATATTATTTAATTATTTAATTATAAAAAACCTGAAAAATAAAAATCCCTCTCTCTCTCTCGTCCCCTTGGAACCTAGAGTCCAACCCAGCCCACAATCCACCCGCCACCCCCCCAAACCCGCAGAACCCAGAACCCACTCGCAACCCCAACCCCCAGATGCAAAGTGTTCGAAATTTATTTTCTTTTTCAATTTTTGAATTTGCAAAGAGAGAGAGAGGATCTGGATGGGTCTTGGGTGGGGCTGGGGGTGGATCTTAGGTGGGGATGAGGGTAGTTGTATGGTGGCATTGGGCTTGGAGGTTTTTCGAGTAGAGAGAAAAACATAGGGTGAGAGAGAGGAAGAGAGGGAGAGAGGGCGAGAGGAAGGGAGTGGGTCGAGGAAGAGGGGATTGGGGATTGGGTCGAGGAAGTGGGGGTCTGTGAGGTTGAGTTGGTGAGGTGGGGTGGATCTTATGGGTCTATGAACCCTTAGGGTTGGCTGGGGTTTTGGATAGAGATGGGTCTACAGAACTTGCATAGAAAGAGAGAGAGAGAGAGAGAGAGAGAGAGGAGAGAGAGAGAGAGAGAGAGAGAGATACAAGGAAATTTGATATTGGACGAGATAGGTAAATGGGTTGTCTTACCAATTTATTTTAAGTGCTCTCATTGTCGAGGTGAGTAGTTTATGTAATGTGTTCTAAAAGTTCTTATTTTGTGATAAAATAAGAAAACCATGAATTATCATGGATTTGTTCTATTTACAAATATCTCTTTATTTCAAAGTCAAGCATGTCTAATTTGATTCAATTTTTCACATTATATATATTGATTGGAATATTTGTGAAGTATGTATTATTCATGGAACATGAGAACTTCAATGTTGGGGTATCCGAGGGATAGATGTACCACACGGTGACATAGGGCAGTGAAGCCAACAAGGGTCACGTGGTTGGTTACATGCTATGAAGGATAACCGAGATATGAAAGGATGATGTGATATGATCTAGATTGGTGTATATTTTTATGATATTTTCTAGAGTGTAAAAACGGCATTGCTTGACTGGCATATTACATAATCTACTCACTAAGAGGTGGTTGCTCACCCCTCACCTTGTTTAATTTTTCAAATGAATTAGTGGGCAAGACGAGGACTAAACAAGTTGAGGCTAAATTATAGGAGAGTAGTAGAGCTTTGTTTATTTATTGTCAAGTTGTAAGATTTTGAGAGCTATTTTTATAAGAGTAGTTTATTTTAAACTCATATTTCGGCTTTCTTTTTATTTTTTTAGTTTCTCAAGCGCCAGGCGCGGGATTTCCACCGACCCCCGGGTCTGGGGCGTGACAAAAATACCTTGAATATCTTACAATATCAGTTGGGAAACCTTATTAACCTTACAGTTATACGGTGAAGTATACTATATCACTAATCAGGACGATACAAACACCCTAATTAGTAATATCGGTATAAATCCCCAAGGTTTAATAACTAAGGCCTCGTTTGGTTCACGGAACGAATTTGAGAGAAAATCATTTCTCATGTCATTTCCCAAATGATGGGAAATTGAAGATTCATTTCTCACGTTTGGTAATGCCGAGAAAGTAACTGGAAGATATCACTTTATTTCTTTTCCCATGTTTGTTTTGTGTAGGAATGGAAAACAAAGTTTGTATAATTTTCCAATTATACCCATATAAAATTAAATAAAAAAACAATGCAATTAATGATATATTTTAACTCTAAACTGTTAATGGAGACAAAATGGTCATGGAAAATGTTTATTTAATGTTGGCTCATTTTCCCAAACTTTCCCATGAGGAGGGAAAACAAAACCCAAGTTGAAAGGAGGACTTCACTTTCCCCCATACTTTCCCATGTATTAGGCAACCATTTCTTATACTTGGACTTACCAAACATGAGAAAGTAATTGAATTCCCATCTCCAAACCTCATTTCCCATGAATCAAACAGGACCTAAAAGGCCAGAGGTTGAAGGCAGCTCCCCAAAAGAAGAATTTCTCACCCTCTATGCATATTATAAATGGTGCATGCATTTTCTTTCAAATGTTAGATGATGTCCCAAACAAGAATCTTTGTTTATTCCTACCAATTCAAACAAAAGAATGTATATAGTTGGTGGTGAAAATTTCAAAAGGTGAATTTGAGGGATTCTTTGGCGTAATGACTTTTTGTAAGGTTGTTTTTGTAATCCTCAATTCACAATTGATAAGATTAGCATCTTCCTATAGTCTTGTTTTGAGGGAAAAATAATAAATAAATACAATAAACTCTTCATAATCTCACTATTTTATATAGTTGAATAATTTACTCAAGCTGATGTTTTGGCCTTGATGTTAATAACGTAATTAGCAGCTTTCTTTTCCAACAATTAATCTCGTGACTGTCCAAATCATTGTTTGCGTATAACCTGCTTCAATTCTAACATCATTGGAAGGGATAATTTTATGGCTACGTATGGTCAAGATTTGCTAACTTAATACGTACCTAAACAAACCTTGTTTCCATGTCATTGTCTAATATTTTCCTCCTCCTTTGAAAATCCAATTCAATTGTCATCTCAATCGTATTAACCTCGTCATTAAGTTAATTACACAAGCCAACAAGATCTAGCCCTATAAAAAAAAGACCCTTAACATGTAGATACGTGGTTTCAAGTTCGAACACCTATGATGACTCATTTATAGTGTGTGTGAGAAAAATCTCATCTCCTCCAATATCGCTTGAAATAAAAATAAAATAAAATTTTAATTACACAATTAATTGCAAAGTACTTACATAAAACTGCCTTCTAGCAAATACTTGTTGCTTAATTATAATTAATGATGGACAGCATAATACCATGCATAAAATATTATTTCTGTCTAAAATGGTGGATTAATAAATGTATAAAAGTGTATCTCCAACAACAAATTCCTTTAGCTTTTAATACATGTCACTTAAAAAAAAGTAAGATAAATTACCAAAAAAAAGAAGAAAAAAGAGTAAGATAATTATTTAAGAAATATAATATAATAATCGTCCTATCTTTATATACTGTCACAGATATTGTAAATTGGCATCAGATTTCAAGTAGCTATCAAATTAAAAAGAGGTGGTCCAAATATCAAAATGTAGCGAACCCAACAATCCCACCTGGGTCCTAAAATCAATGGCCTCAAACGTAAAGGACAACTTAAACAATTTTACACAATATTAGGAGTAGAGGACAACTTAAAAAGATCTTCTATGATCAACAAAACTTGCGACTCTTTTGGCCTGTATTGAAAGAGAGGAGGGTAATATATCCTTCTCAAACAATTTCACTTTACACATGTAACTTATTAAAAATACTAAAATAAAATTGTATACGTCCGTGTTAAATTGTAATTTATCTTTTAAGGAAGAATGATTCTTTTTATATAATAATAAATAAATAAAAAGGAAGCAAGTATTTTCCTTATTACTATTATTCGCATGTGGACTTGTGTTTTCAGCATTGTTGATGAACCGTCAACGTGCTGTCAACAATATAAAACACACGGAATCTACATGTTCACTTATATGTCTAATTTGAACAAATCTAGAATACGATATATTTTTATGTTTTACTATTGTAATTTATACATTTCTTTATTAACAACAGGATTTTTATTTGAGTAAACTTAGAAGTTAAAATGATTATGCACTTTTACCTAATCTATCTCAAATACTCCAACAAATATGAGTATTTGTAGCTCCAAAGGTAATTACTTTATCTCCACTCCTATGAAGAGCATTTGAATATTCGATAAGAGGGTCAAATTCTTGTGGAGTGGAACCCATTATACCTGCTCACCAAACAACAATCTTCAATTTAAAACATAATAACAAGATATTATAAATATATATATATATTTTTGGTTATGCAACCGATATATTAAGGAAAGGGGAAAAGTTTTTGAAATAGTTTTAATACTTATGTTTATATCTAAAACGAGGTCCCGTTGAAGGTTAAGAAGTGTTTTTGGCTAGAATAGCAAGTAATTTATATTTAAAAACTAATTAACAAAAACAAACGTTGTTTATACATAAGCAAAACATCCACCAAAAAACCAGTGAAGAATATAAATTTGGACATTTTCCTATATACGAAATATATTAGCCAATGAAGAATGAGGTTGTGGGTCTGCCTTGACTGACATTGGTGGTGAGAGTAGCTAATTTCCCCATAAATTTTCTTTCACCCAAAAAAAAAGAGAAATTGACCTGCTTGTCCTTGAATTGCTGTTATTCAATGAGACTTGAGATGGAGAGAGAAAGAGAGTCAAAAATACGCAGAAAGAGGAAAGAGGAAAGAGAAAAGAGGCCAAAAATGAAAGGGAAGATCCACACGAATCCTTTTACTCTTTTCTAACATTCCCTTTTACTAAATCTTTCAACTCCAACTAAAAATTTAAAAATTATTAAAAAGAAAAACTCCATTTAATTTAATCTCAAAAACCAAAAGCAAAGCAAAAGTAACAAATAATAGTTGCACTATACATATGTTACGACTCGAATTCAGGACATTTTATGAGGGGAAATGCTTTAATTTCCTTTTTATTAGTGAATTTGTGTGCTGTACTAATAGAGCAAAGCTCATACATTTGTTTGACTGTGCCCACAAATTGTGGGCAGCTCAGCTTCCTCCTCCTCCTTCCAAATCATTGCTCTTCTTCACTTTTGTCTCAAAAAAGCCAAGCCCTCCTCTTCAATTACCACTCTCTTTAATCAAAACCCTTTCCTTCTTTATTTTTTTCCTCCATAGCCCATTTCCTCTACCAAATCACTAGGGCTTTTGCTTTGCTCTGCTTGGTCTCCATAGCAGAATAAGCAAAATGTGCAGGGACTGTGAAGAGAAATGAGTCAATGACTGAGAAGAGATGGGGTGCGTCTTCGGCAGGCAGGCTTCGGCGAAGCCAGTAGGGAAGAACGAGGGTGGAGAAATTAGGGTTTCTAAGAAAGCAGAGGCGAGCGGCGGCGAGGTCACTGAGGCTCGGAATGGTGTGAGTAATAGTAATGATAACAGTAACAATGGTCGCAAGGAGAATGAGGAGGAGAGGAGTTCGAGGCCCAAAGGCGAGAAGAGGCGATCGTCCAGGCCCAATCCTAGGCTCAGCAATCCCCCCCAAGAACCTCCATGGCGAGCAGGTCGCCGCCGGATGGCCTTCCTGGCTCTCCGCCGTCGCCGGCGAGGCTATCAATGGCTGGACGCCGCGCCGTGCCGATACCTTCGAGAAGCTTGATAAGGTGTGATGCTTGGTTGTTTTTTTTCCTCTGCATCCGATGATCTTTGTTTGTTTGCATCACATTTGAGCTTCTTTGGTGTTCGATGATTTTGGAGTCTTTTTAATGTTTGGTTGTTGAGAAAATGTAAGGAAACATAAAAGGATTAATGTGAAGTTAAGAGTAGGAAACAAAAGTTGAGTCTTTCTGTATCATGTATGGTTTCTAATAATAGCGATCAACTCAAATTGGTAAGCTTCATTAATGGATGGATTAATTAAACTTTGATTTAATTACTTAGCTGTTTACTTGCTGAAGTTCTTACCTTTTGGGTGAATGAATGGCTTAGTCAGTTGTGCTTGTGCATTTGTTGTCTTGATCAGATTGGGCAAGGGACGTATAGTAATGTGTACAAAGCTAGGGATGCTTTGACGGGAAAAATTGTTGCGCTAAAGAAAGTTCGGTTTGATAATTTGGAGCCAGAGAGTGTGAAGTTCATGGCTAGAGAGATTCTCATTCTGCGCCGTTTGGATCATCCTAATGTTGTAAAGTTAGAAGGCTTAGTGACTTCAAGGATGTCGTGTAGTTTGTATCTTGTATTTGAATATATGGAGCATGATTTGGCAGGACTTGCTGCAAGCCCTGCAATCAAGTTCACAGAGCCTCAGGTATTGCACAATTCTCTTGCTTTGCTTTAGTTTTATTTTGTTTAGTTCACATATAAGTGTACAAAAATTCCCCTTTTTCTTGGATAATGGGGTCACTTCTCTCTTATCTTTTATTTGTGAATATGGCAGGTTAAATGTTATATGCACCAGCTATTATCAGGGCTTGAACATTGTCACAACCGCCATGTGCTTCATCGTGATATTAAAGGGTCCAATCTTCTTATTGATAATGGTGGAGTCCTAAAGATTGCGGATTTTGGATTGGCTTCCTTCTTTGATCCTAATCACAAGCAACCAATGACTAGTAGGGTGGTCACTCTTTGGTATCGGCCCCCAGAGCTTCTTCTTGGTGCCACTGATTATGGTGTAGGTGTGGACCTTTGGAGTGCTGGCTGCATTTTAGCTGAGCTGTTGGCTGGGAAACCAATCATGCCAGGTCGCACAGAAGTAAGTTCTAAATGCTTCTATTTATTCACCGAGTTCCTTCACTGCACTGTGTTTAGTTTGTTTGGTTTGTCACTGGTGGATCCTGTGGTTGGGCTGTCTTTGATGCTTTGAGATTCATGGATTTAGTTACATTGTTGGTATTCTGGGTATGTTTGTGTATAGAAAACATGTTTCCAGTCCTCCTAATTAAGCTCTTACTTTAAATAGGTGGAACAGCTACACAAGATATTTAAGTTATGTGGCTCCCCTTCTGAAGAATATTGGAAAAAGTCAAAGTTGCCTCATGCAACCATTTTTAAGCCTCAACAATCATACAAACGATGCATTGCAGAGACATTTAAAGATTTTCCACTGTCATCGTTGCCACTAATTGAGACGCTCCTTGCAATTGACCCAGCTGAACGTCAGACTGCCACTGCAGCATTGAGGAATGAAGTGAGATTTCATTTTTCACTATTAAATTGATCTTGTCAAATTTCCCTTCTTCTTTATTCTCTTGTACAGGATGTTGAATGCCGGTTCTTTTATATTTATTTTATTTTTATCTTCATGTAGTTTATCATCCTCACTCTGGAATAAGTTTTCTTCTTACGATTTATAATCTATTCAATATTGTCATGTGATGGTTGTCTATCTTTTGCAGTTCTTCGTAACCAAACCTTATGCTTGTGAGCCTTCTAGCCTTCCAAAATATCCACCCAGCAAAGAGATGGATGCTAAGCTACGGGATGAAGAAGCTAGAAGGTTGATGATTGCAATTAATGAATTAATCTTAAAGTCTTAATTATTACTGTTTATCTGACCAAATTTTCTGTAGTTAGATTAACAGCTGACATGAACGCGAACCTTTAGAGTGTTATGTAGACGTCCTCCTGAAGTTTTAAGCAACAAATCTTAATATGTAGAGAATTATCGACACTATTATTTTGATGAAGCATATGTATTTCCTTGACCCTTGACTTTCCATATATTTTCACATTTCTTTGTAAGGTTATTGTTCTTCTATCAGTTTTAAATTCTCTCAGTCATTTCCATTTTCTTCTTCTGATTCACCCCCCTAAAAATTGCTTGATATATGCAACCTGAAACGAGTTTAATGATTGTAGATTGAGAGCTGCTGGGAAAGCTAATGCAGATGGTGTGAGGAAATCTCGCCCACGTGATCGCAGGGGACTTCCTGCTCCAGAAGCGAACGCTGAGCTTCAAGCCAATCTTGATGTATGTCATATAAGCTGCTTTTTTATTCAACAATATTTTCTTTAGTAAGTTTTAAGAATTAACATAGGCAGTCCCATCCATTCTTATAATTGAGTTTAGTTTGTGACAGTAACTGTTTTCAATGGTATCTTATCTGTTCTATCAAGAAGTAAAAATTGTTGTCTTAGAATACCTGGAAAAAAAAATTCCCTTGCCAGTTGCCACCACCATTGTTGTTTAGGTAGAATTATGAGTTCAAAATGAAGAGCACATGGATGGCATACACAGCACTTTCTGTACGTAGGTTACCTAACCTATCTTGCTTTTCCCTGTGCCTTATATGGAGATAAGCTTATGTATGCCTCCCTCTCACAGTTTAGCTAGAGATATGCATATTGTATGTGCTGCTTATCATTTTTAATATAATAATACCATGGTACATAACTCAAGCGAAATGGGGAACAAGCAAGTTGGTGCTGACAACTTATCGATGTTGTGTCAGTATTTTAAGAAATGATTTATTAACACATTGCCACCTTATATGCTATAAAATGAAGTGACTAAACCTCCGTCAACCTTTCAAGTGGGGTGATATGGCTATCAATGGTTTGGGATTCCAAAATTACACTTAGGCTTCTGATCCCAGTGGGGGAATGGCACACAGGGTTTACTAATGTATATGAAGTATTGAGCATTGTTGGTTGAGTCAGAAATGTATTTTAGCATTGACTGTGTACCTTGACTGTGTACCTTCACTACGTGAGCAGTTAAACTGGTGTCTGTACTTAAATTTGAGCACTTGTTAATTGTCCTTCTTTATGTTTTGTCCTATTGCAGAGGCGACGCCTAATAACACATGCAAATGCAAAGAGTAAGAGTGAGAAGTTTCCTCCTCCACACCAAGATGGAACGCTTGGCTATCCTTTGGGTTCGTCAAATCACATCGATCCTGTTTTTGATCCTCCTGATGTTCCATTCAGCTCCACAAACTTCTCATATTCAAAAGAATCCATCCAAACTTGGTCTGGCCCATTGGTGGACCCTGGTGCAGTAGGGGCTCCAAGGAGGAAGAAACACACATCAGGACATATTCATTCACATTCGAAGTCCTCAAAAAAAGACTCAAAAAGATGAGGGTCAGCTCGGATCAGTTAGAAAAATGTCATTTCAAACTACTTTCTGTCATTTTGTGAGACTGCTCATGAGGGCTGCAAATGCTGCTGATTCATCCGAGCCGGGAAAGCCATTCAAATTGAGAGGTGATATATAATTATATATCTTGTAATTCAGTTTTCTCATTTATTTTCCATTATTTTTGTATGAGAGGCTTATTTATATTGTATATTTTATTTCTTCATATTTTCTCTCTGCCTTTAAACAATGTATTTAGGTTAGTTGTAATTCTAATAAATTTGTTTTGGGAACTCCAATCTTGATTTCAGTTGTCATCTCCAATTTTGTTATATGTTGTAAGCTCTACGCCACGTGTTCCAAACTTGGTAAACAACTTGTAAATTCTATTGTGAACTAGGCTTGGTTTTGGTTGGATGTAATTCTGAAGGTGGATCAAATGGAGAGTGCTTAAATTATCTTTTTGCAGTTGGTGCTCTTATCTCTTGTAAAAGTTGTAGTGGCATTAAAAGTGAATGAGGTTGAGAGGACCAAGTGCTCATATAAAGGTGGAACATGTTGATTTTCTTTTTAAGTGGCAATGCTCAACAAAGCAAGTACAAGATGTCAAGAATTTGCCGAAGAAAAAGCAAAAGGATTGTAAGAAAGAAAGTGATTATGTTCTTTTCAAAAACAAAAAATGAAAGCGACTATGCAAAGGAATTGCTTAAACACTTTTATTAGGACCTCAAAAATTTTATTAAAAATCCAAGTGCTTTTCGGTAAAGCAATTTGAAGTGCTTTTATAATTCATAAGCATTTTGAAGTTTTCATGTCAAACATTGTCATAAGTGCTTTTCAACTCCTCGTATGCATATGAAAATGAAAGAAAGCAAGCAAACAATTCTTAGAGCATCTCCAGCAGAGTTGCTATACTCTGATCCTTAGCCATTTTGGCTAGAATGAGGGCAAAACGCAGCTCCGGCAGACTTGCTATCTGGCTCTCTATTTTGGAGAACTTCATATTTGAGTTTGGTGGCTCTCTACATTTGGAGAGGATGAGAGAAAAATTGAGGGTTCTCCATTTCTTCCTCCTCTCTCCCTAGACACAACCATCTCTCACGTCTTACTTTTTGATTTTTTTAATGAACTTTTAATTTAGAGGGGATGAGAGAAATAATAAAATATGAAAGATTAGCCGAGAAATAATAAAATAATAGCTTTATAACTATTTTAATTAAAATTTAGCTAAAATTTGGAGAGAGATGCTCACCCAACCCAGCAATGAATGGTTTGCCCAGCCACCCACCTCCTCATCCAGTTTAGCCAACAGCTGGCTGGCTGGCCCCAACCTCCTACGCTTTTTGATCTCCTTGAGCCACATTCCCCCAACTTCCACAGTTTTTCCTTCATTCTTTCCTCAACCATTGGGCCTGCATCCAGGTTGTCCCCAACCATCACTGCCTTAATTGCATGAATATCCAGTGGTATCAGCAAAATGAAACTCCCACGGAGGGGAAGGAGTGATTAATCTCATTCACTCAATCTTTTTCATTTTAATTATTTTTTCATATTATAAAATATTCAGGTTAGTGACGTAGTCTATTGTCCAAAGAGGTTTGCACGACTCTCAGTCATTGATGTACTTGAAATTCACAAACATTAAACTTAGATAAAAATAAAATAAAATAAAAATTTCACATCCATCTAAACAATTGTTATTCCGATCATCGATGCATGGGAGATTCATATAAAAATAATTCAGACACACGCACATTAGCTCTTGCTTTGTCTAAATTACAAGGAATTGAACTGAGATGTAGGGAAATGCAAAATTGGCCAATGCGGCATAATCTATGCAACCAATAGATAATAGAGATGATTCTTTGACATGCTGTCTGCACAAAGAGAATTTATATAATACTACAGTAGTATGGCTACATATTACATCTTATTTACATGTTATAATATGGATGGAAGACATGGTTTATTTCTCCTCTTTTAGGGAATAATATCAATAAATATCCACTTATATTATAACATGGGTATAAGATGTAGCACGTGACCGTACTAACATAGTATTCTATAATCACTTGTCCAACGTAAACATCGTGTAAAACTTTGAAAAGCCTACCCCTCTTTAAGGCTTTTTTTTTCTCTTATTTGCAGGTCTTTCAAGGGATTTCCCTAGGCATGTGAAATTTGGTTTCAACAAAAAGTATGATGATGTTGCTTAGGATGACATACAAGTAGGGTGTTCACTCTTATTAAAAAGGAAAGATAAAATGATCATTGAGGAAAACTCAAAAAGTAGTGACTTCAAATTATATAAACCTAAAAACCCATATACCAAAACTAAAATTCATTGGTAGAGCCAATCAAGGCTCACAAGGGTCACTTGACCCTTCTCAACATTTTGAAAACCTTATATTTATCTATGTTATTCAAGTTGTTTTATAACTATATTTACTGTTGACCCTTCTCGCAAATGTATATTGTCTACAATAAACATGAATATGATCTATATTTGTTTGCATGTCTTCATATGTCATTTATATGCGTGTGCTATGGATTTTATTTGATTTTCTCATTCTATCTAAAATCAACTTTTAATACTCTTTCATTATTTTTAGGTTGCTAGAATTTGGGTTATACTTACTAAGATATTAAATTTGTGATATTGAAATTTAATCATTATAATGAATTCTTAAATATATTTTCTTATAAAAACTAAGTTTAATGTAATTATAAAGCTATTTAAAGTTGACCATTCTTGATAGAATTTCTGGCTCCGCCATTGCTAAAATCCAACGTGTGATTTATGTTTCTATGAAATTCAAAATATTATTTAAAGGAAGGGGGATTTCTCTCTCACACACACACACTACCAAAGTGTTATTGGGTTTCGAACTTGATACTATTAATCTGCAAGTTAAGGTCATTTTCCACTGCGCTAGACCCCAATTGACAATTTAATTCTTATTTTTGTAAAAAAAAATTTATACAAATGATATTCTATTTTAATCTAATCTAAACTATGGAAATGGAGATTCAAACTCGGATGAAGAGTGAGGAGAACATTCGCTCTAGCCAACTTGGCTAGCCCATGCCTACCTTATTTTTATAACTTAAAGTCGAAGGAAAAAGTAATTGTCAGAGAGAGAAAATTACGCAATAAATAAACAACAATATTGAGTAAATGTCATAATATATTAGATTAGTTTCAGCATATTTACCCAAAAATGAATCATATATATTAAGTTCTTTTTGTCTAGAAATTAACTCAAAAAATTATTGATCTCTCGTCTACTTATATTTCTTAAATATTCTAGGTTAGTTTATGATATTTGCACCAAAAACTCCTAAATTTTTAACCTTTATTTATGTTTCCTTTTTTTCGACCAGGTAGGCCAATTGAAGAAGTTTTTTGCCCTTCTTTAATTAAATGCACGAGCGTGCTCCCACCAAGCCACAAATTTGGCTTGAATGGAATAAGAATGGATGATGCGTCCAAGATTTGACTTTAATCAAACAATTGTCGGCAGAACAAAGAACCTCCACACGACTTAAGTTCTTTCACTACCTAGGGGTCAAGGCTTTATGTGAGAAACCAAGTGATGTAGAGTGTGTGGAGATGAAGATTGAACGAGAAAGTAAACGGAATTAAAAGTAAATACAGTTGAACTGAATAGAAAGTGCGTAAATTAAAGTGTAAAGTAAATGCTAGAAATTATAATGTGCAAAGTAAAGATATTAAAGACGAGTGTGTGATATAAATTGCAAAAATTAAATAATTGAAATGCGAGTGCATAAATTAAAATGCGAAAAGTAAACCAATAAGAACGATAAAGATTAAACTAAGACTGTAATTGAAATACAAGGACAATAATTTAAACTGAAATGTTCCCATTTTCCCCATGTTCTGCCATCAACCCCCTTCCCCACCTACCCCAACAGTACCCAGTCCAACCATCCCTTCTTCCTGCGCCCACCACCACCTAACCCCTTAGGCCACCTAACCACTTAACCCGTAGGATATAAGTCGACCATGATCTTGAATTCTAGGAATAACGAAGCAACGCTTTTTTTTAAAAAAAAATATAGCCACAACAATTTCATTAATGTAAGGGCAATACAAGATACATAGCCCCATAGAGGGTTTTTGCAAACAATATAAAGATACAAAAAAAATAAGTAAATAAATAAACTATTGCAACGCAATTAGCAAAATCAATTTCACATATTGAAAACCAATTCGTAAGGAACTAAAGACATAAGAGGTTCCATAAAACCACTACATTCAATGTTGCAAGAAAATCATATGAGAGTTTAGCTCTCTACCAGTTTGGATTCGGGGACAAGAAACACCTACAAGTAGAAAAGCAAATCCCGCTCAATTTCCACCAAGACACATATTCACAACACTCATAAACACTCCTAAACCCAAAGCACCAATTTATAATAGATCCACAAAATCAAACAGCTCCACCCCTCACCATAGATATCTAATGGAGATCCACCTCATCAACCCCAAAATTGCAAGGAGAACACAGTAGAGGCCAAACAAAGATAGTATTAAAATTTAGAGAGACGGGTCAGTGGCCCACTACTAGTAACACCAATATTGTCCCCGACTTAATTTTGTCACAAAATGCCCCAATAAATCAACATGACTCTGATACCATGTTAAGTTTCAAAGAGATAGGCTAGCGGTCCACTACTAGCAACATTGATATTGTCCTCAACTTAACCACCTACAAAACCCACTAAGTGTGGGGTTTTATCACAAAAGGTCTCGGTGTTATTAGAAGTGGTACCATATAATATATTTCATTAACAATAAATCTACACAAATCTACAAATATCCAACTAAAAAGTTGGTAAGAAAACTCTAGAATAACTAGGGTGAGACAAACCTTGCAACATACAAGGGAGACAAAAGCCTAGCACAAAACGGCTAGGAAAAAAGGCATCCACAAGTAGGTAACTCAGTTTATTCGTAAAATGGGATGGTTACAAGGTAAAATCCCAAAACAACTAGCAGAAATGTTGTCCAAACTTAACCATCTGTGTCAAATATACAGTTGGGTCAAGCCCATGCATCCATCCAAAGTTGAGTTTCATCTCAAAGCCCTTAGAACTACTAGTACTGAACCACCTACTTGTAAGCATGCCAGAAATTGCACCTTAGTCTTTTTTATTTTTTATTTTATTTATGGGTCTGCTTCACTTTGAATCTGCCGCATCTCAACCAAATCAAACTCCAACTTAGCAAGATTTAAGCCAAGCTAAGTGACACATGATCCCTTGAAACTCCACCTCATGTTACAATTTTTAAAATGACATATTGGGGAAAAATGAATTCTATTTATTTTTTGGTTTGATAAAATTATATAGAAGCAAAATAATTGTGTGAAAAAAAGGTTATTTCGATTTCTTTCTTAAAAACTTGGTGGGCTGGGGAAATGTTTTTGTTCAATTGCAGCAGAATTTTGCCAATCGCTTCCTCATCCAGTTTAGCCAATCATCTTCATCTGGCTGGCTGGCTGGCTGGCCCAAACCTTCCACACTTTTTGCTTTACTCCTTTCCTCAACCAAAGCCTGGATCCAGGTGGTCCAGACTTTAATCAACTTCCACTGCCTTAATTGCAAGAAAAATGAACTCCCATGGAGGGGAATGGAAGGGAAGAAGTGATTAATCTCACTCATTCGTTCTTTTTCTTTTTCTTTTCTTTTCTAAAATATTCAGATAGTGACATTGCTTATTGTCTAGCGGTTTGTATGGTGAATGATTCTCGGCCATGTACTTGAAATTTACGAATATTAAACTTAGATTTTTTAAATAAAAAAACATTTCACACTTAGGATCATGATGTATGTAAGATGATGGAAAAATTGGATCTAATTGCTATTTTAATCACACAAAAATTCAGAAATAATCATTCAATTCAAGCTTAAAAATTAACACATGCTTACAAACGTACACAAAGAAAAAACCACATAATATGGATTAGAAGAATCTGAATAATTGAGTTGAGGCAAATGTTGGACACTCTAATCTTAAGATGAATAACACTTTACATAGGTGCTTATGGTTACTAGCGCTGGCATCCTAGGATACAACGACTCATGTCCTTGTGAAAGAAGCACTACAATTCACAAGGATTCTTTGAACTAGATTATGTGGGAAACTCTCTCACAAACTATAATCATTAACTATACTAAGACTCTCTGTATTCAAATGGATAAACATTGACTGAATCAATTCAATTTTTTAATTGCAGAAAGACTACTCTATTTATAGATACTAAAGAACCATTTCCAAAAGGGTATGTCCCAATGTAAAAAACCGACTAATGCATCCACTGAATAAACAGGTGCTTTGATATCTCTTCCTAAAAATTGACAAAAGGACATCACGGTCCAATGAACTCTACTAATTTTCATTTAAATAGGAA